AATTAAAAAAAAAAATAAAATAATATTTTATCTGTATGACATTTCGAACAATATTTCTAAAATATGTTTGTGTGAATTTGAAATAAATACAACGTCATGTTATTTGAAATATATACGAAAACTATTTTTACTTACATTTTACACTAAAAATAAATGAGAATTTGAAAAATAACACATTTATAACTCACCTGCCAAAACGGGCTTTCCGGAATTTGAAGTACTTTTGGCAATTTACTTTTCACTTTTTATACCACAAATTACATATCTACGTGTTTACTATATTACAAGGAATATAAAAAAGTATAATACTTTCGTTTTTAGTCCAGACACAAATATAAAATTCTATAAAAAAGACGGAGCACCTACAACAAAGTGACACGTGGAACGCCGGAAGTTCAGAGTGATTTCTTTTTTTTTTTCTAAGAAACATTGCCAGGTTATGGTTTAAAATAAAAGAGCATATCTTTTTCTTTGATACTATTATCTATTGCATAGTGTCTTTGGTTTTGTTTTAATTAAAAAAATTCTTTTTCAAAGGGTAGTACTTGTCGCCCACATGTGCACCTTGATCGAGCGAGCGTAAGGTGTTTATTTCTTGAGCACATGTGGGCGTCGCGAGAGCTAACGGGTGGACCCAAATAATCCCTTTCCATTTTTTTTAGGAGGACAACATAAAACAGCTGCCGCTAATTTTATAGATTCATCCTCGCTGCCGCTGCTTATCATGTTTCTCAATTGACAAACCTTTATGGAATGACCGAAGCGAGGCGTCCGAAGACGCCGTCTCGACTGCCGTGCACACCGCTAAGCCGCGTCAGTCAGCCGCGGCTGACGGACACGTCCAATAATTTGTTCTCAGCTTTAGTCATATGAAGTGATATTTTTATTAAACCATACAAACTGATATTGCTAACGATTATGGGCAACGCTATTGGCTAAATACATTAGCGGTTGATGTTAAATTTATGTATTTGTTTGTTACGCTATTGGCTGAAATATTGGTTGGTGTTAATTTAAACTGTATAAACGAAGTGCGTCAGTTTATTATTATTTTATTTCATTGAAGTTATATGTACTTACGTAGTACATAATATAGCTCAATGTTTTATTTAGAGTATATTTACTTCATCGGTAGGAGTAATAGTGTTCCGTGGTATAAAAAAAGTTGTAAAAATAAATACTAGGGCAGTTTTTACTTATATGTATTTAGTATAACTTAGTGTAGTGTACAAAATCATAGGATTTTAATTTTCACATTTTATAATGCCGATAAGTCACACACAGCTGTGGGACCATCTTCTTTAATAAACAATTTCTTATAAATCATAATAAAAGGTATTGAATTGAACAATGATGACATTGCTGGACAAAACAACAGTGATTCGGATGACAGTGTACCGCTTGCAGTTTTAAAATACCCACAAGTTTTAAGACTAGTCAGAGCCGACAAATAAATAGTTCTTTGTTGGGGTTTCAGAAAGAATGCACACTAGTTAGTTATGTGCCAAAAAGGAACAGTTATTGTCAACAATGCACCACGATGGAGCAATAGATGCTACTACCGGCAACGCAAAAAAGCCTGAAATCATAACTTTTTATAACCACAAAGTGTGAGGTGGATATTGTAGACAGGGTGTGCCGTCAATATGACGTATCTAGAAATAGTAGGCGTTGACCTCTTACATTTATTTAAATTTTTTTAATATTGCCGCTATAAATGGCCTAGTTATTCACCAGTTGAATAATTAAAACGAAAACATCATCAGACGCATTTTTCTTCCGTCTTTGAGGTTTGAGCTTGTGAAACTATTAATTTTAGAACGAATTTATCAGGATAATGTTCCAGGAAATATTAAAACAAAAGCAAAACTATTGTTGAACATTTCAGAAGCTCCTCAACAAGGACATATTTCGTGGTTGGGTTGCACGCTGTGCGTTTTGGAGCAGAATTCGCGATCACAGAACCTGATATACTGATCACCAAATTTTAATTTGTCCTTCGTGTAACGAAAACTGCTTTTTTTAAACCAAGTTAAAAGTTGATTAATCTTAAGAAGTGAAAATTATGTGATTTTTAAGAAGTCTGAAGTTTAGTTACTATTTTTTAGTTTGAGAAAGAGAAGATTTTCTTTTATTAGTTTCAGTTTACTTAATAAATGTTATTAATAACAAAAAATGTGTTTTATTTTAAAATAAAACCGTTATATTTCATTATATTTCAATTTTTAAATGGGCTAATAGTCCTCACGATTGGATCGAATTGATCATTGGCCGAGCAAGTAGAATCAACAGAACGTACTAACAAATCTAAAGTACGGTTCAAAAGAGGGCTCTGCGTCCAATGTGTTAAAAACAACAAACTTACGGAAGTAAACAGTGGATGCACGAAATGCAATGTTGTTTTATGTCTCAACTGTTTTAAAGATTGCCATACAATTTCAAGTATCTAATTTTTATGTTTAACTTGTCTTTAAAGAAATATTTAGCATTTGAAAATTTGTCTATTTGTTGCATACTTCATTTTTCAAGAAGTTATTTAATTTGGTTTTGTATTGTAGAAGATGTGTTGTTCGTGAATGTTTCAATATATAATTTATTAGTAATCTTAAACACATAGATAAGACTAGCAGCAATTCCATCAGTTTGTGGAAGTAAAACATACATTTTCCCATTTTTTCTATTCCCGTCCTAATTTTATTATTTACCAAACGTTATATGCGTCTTTGTTTCGTGACCGGAGCGCAGATATACGCTCTCACTTTGTGAATGCAGCGTAGACTTATTACATATATTTTTATCAATTTTGGCTTATCTATGATATTATTGCGCGCTATAATTAGCGCCTGGTATGTGGCAGAGGATTATTAGCGCCATCTGGTATCAAGCAGCAGAAATAGGAGCGTCAAGATATTTCTAGAACTCTCCCACTAGCGCCATCTAGTATAGAATGGAAGAACTAAGCTTTCTAGAAAGCTCCACACTCGAACTTTCTGCACCTGGTCGGTCGGGGGCCGGTATTCGCAGGATTATTCTGGATGTTTCGGTGGAAAAGGCTTATTTAAAACCGTTAAGGGCCGCGACCGCGAAGTAGTATTGAATTGGCGATACAAGCGAAGCTTTGGAGCGAAATAAAGTGAACTAAAGTGATCAGTGTGTTTAATTATTAGTGTCTTTTAAGTTTTAATTGGTGTTCGGTAATTAAAGTGTTAATTTTGGTAATTCAATCGGCAGTTTAACTGTTACGAATCACAAGTTCGTAACAAGATATTTTTCCACCATTTTGTTGTACATTTGACATGGTTTCAACATCCAAGAAAAGAAAACACGTGACGCTTACAATTTCACAGAAGTGCGAGATTTCGAACAAGATAATGGAAAGCATGTCATTAACATTTCTTACGCAGCAATACAACGTTGGAAAATCGACTATTACAGACATCAAAAGTAAGGAGGCAAATATAAGGTAATTTGTAATAAATACAGAAAAGGGTCCAGGTGCAAGAAAAACATTAAAAACTCAGGAATATCCTCAGGTCGAGGATACGTTATTTACATGGTTCTTAAAGCAGCGAAGAAAGAAAGTCCCTTTGACAGGTGAAATCCTAATGGAAAAGGCAAAATTTTTCCACGAAAAACTTGGAAGAGGAGCCTTTGTTGCTAGCAGAGGATGGTTAGACAATTTTAAGAAAAGACATGGTATACGACAGCTTAAAGTAACAAGTGAATAATTGTCGAACAACGACGCGGCGGTGCAGTCAATCCAGAAAAGTTCTTAGAAGTCATAAGGGATGCAGATCAAATATATAATACTGATGAGTCAGGTTTGTACTGAAAATCCATACCAGACAAAACCCTGGCGTCTGGATCGGAAACTAGTGCCCCATGTGTGTGTATCAAAAGAAAGCATACATGCAAGTGAAGTAAGTTGATGTTTCATAATTATTTCTAGCGGTACAGCCAAATAAAGCTGTACATTTGTCTATTCGCCTTAACCACAGGCTTTTATTCCAATGTTTTCTTGACATCAGCTTATTTATTAATTTCAGAATAACGTAATAAATGCGGAGACTACCAGAGTTACACCAATCAATGTTGTTATATCAGACTCTGAGTCAATATTTGACACTCCAAAGAAAATTGCATTAAACAAGCTTGCAATTTACAAAAACAAAAAATACACCATCAAGCTAAAATTAAAAAATTAGGCCAAAAAATAAATATCTTAAACGTAAATATTAAGCTATTTTATATAGCATAAGGGTGACAAATGAGCACACAGCCACCTGATCGTAAGTGGTTTCTGTGGCCCATAGACATCTACATTTTTATCCTCGATTAAGAATCAAAACGCAGATGCGTTGTCACCCGTGAGAACTAAGATGGAATGCCTCGTTACCAGTAAAACGGGGTTACGGGATCTCTACACTCACCATAAGAAACAACGCAGCATTAAGCTGCTATTTTACGTTGGTGTTTTGTGAGAGCGTGGTCCTTCCCCGGACGAGTCGATTCGTGATTTATTTAGATTTAGTTAAACATTTATAGAAAAGAAAAAAAATGTGGTTAATTCCTTAAATCGCAAGCCCTCTATGATAGAGTCAATAAACAATCGACAAAAGAAATCTTTTCGTAAATTTGCTTGAATCCTCCATTATTACTCACCAGCTGCTTACAAATATGCTAGAAAATGTTTTGGTAACGTTTTCCCACACGTAAGAACATTGCGCAGATGGTATGTTAGTGTAGACACGCAGCCGGGTTTTACGAACGTATAATTCCGCGCTTTGAAGTTAAAAAGAAATAAAACGGGAAGGGAATTAATTTGTTTTTTAGTTTTTTACGAGATTTCTATAAAATGTCAGAAAATATGGAACACCAAGATAAATGAAGGTCGGCAAACGAGTTGACGGATGCATGTGGATCAGGACCTAGCTTTATGGCATACCTTGTAAGAGTTGTGTGTGAATGAAGTGCATATAATAATGAAAGAAATCACTTACCACAGACTTAATGGGTGGCGCTTCCTTTTTCTCGTTGGGCTGAACTCGGGTTAGGGTTATGCCCGGAGGCAGCTTCAGGTCCGCCACCTGAGATTAAAAAGTTGACATGAATAAGACTTTTCTTAGCGGTAGTAACTCAGATGGTTAGCACTCGCTGTAAACTTTACCACACGCGAGCAAGCCTGGTTTTATCCCCGCCGGCACCAAAAGCTGTTCATTGCAATTTTAAATGTTGATTTATCACATGCTAAGCAGTGAAGGAAAACATCGTGAGGAAACCTGCATGTCTGAGAAACAAGAAAAAATATTTCGGGTTTCCATACTCTATGATCGGTGAGACCAGCTCGATTCTGTCGATCGTTGATTACTATACTCTTTGGTCAGTCGTGGCAAGCGTGCGTAGATCGTTCGGTTTCAATCGAACACAGGTAAATACTTCATTTGACTGTTTATTTATTTATTGCATAGTGCTCTGAAATTTACTGTCTGTTAATGATTTAATATTTAAAATTTTATTATCTACTGAATAACATGTGAAGGGGGTAAACATGTGAAGGGGCAGTTCGGTGGACATTTACTTGCCCTAAAACCCTCTTAGAAATTACGGGAGGCCTGTGCCCAGCTGTGGGGCGTATATAAGCTGTAACTTTCTTCTCCTTAACGAGCAGAAAATATTTCTTTAAAGATTTACTAGCATTAAATTTAATTATTTTTTTAATTCTGGCGTTTCACCGGTCTGTTCTATCCATTAAAGAAATTTCTCAAATTCATTGCAATAGTCATTTCATAATTCAGTTAAATCTAACATCCGAACCAGTGAAAACAATACAATTCTGGTTTTAACACAGACAGGGTCACCAACATAATTACTTTATATTACATTAAAAATAAAGTCCATCCATCGACCATCTTACCAGGAGCGACGTCCTGGTAAGACATGCAGGAAGTCGATGGATGCAGGTGGCTCGGGACCATGCTTTGTTGTACCATTACTTGGGGGAGGCATATGTTCCGCAGTGGACTCGTGAAGAGGTGTAATGATGACATTAAAAAATACTAGCAGAACTATTCTACTATTTTTATGTCTTGATAATAGGTGCTCGGACATCTTTTCTGTCTGGAAGTTTATGACTATAATATGGAGGCAGTAGATTTTCTCGGAATGATATTGGGTGGTATAGGATGACTTCACCTGAGGAATAGTTAAAACGTTAGTGTTTACATAAAAACACTCGCGCCTGTCACCCAGAGGGGTAGGCAGAGACTACAGACTTCCATTTAGCACGATCCTGACACACCCTCTCGCCTCTTCCACATCCATATACCTACGCATACATGCTCGTCGGTTAAGGGTACTCTTAATTTGGCCCATTTTTAGTATATCGCCAATTTGGTCGACAAACTTCCGCCTAGGACGTCCCTTTCCGACTCTTCCATTCACTTCTGCAACATATATTTGCTTTGTCAGTCTTAATAAGGGATAAGTCGCTCGCGTCCGTAGGCTTCGACCACCTAATCCTAGGCCCACCCTACATGTTTCCCCCGGGTGGTGCTAAAAGAACGACAAAGCCGAAAGAACAGACTCGGCTACTCGCCGTGTCTGTTCTTTCACCATGAGGCAAAGAGGAAAAGAAATTGTTTATATCTATTAATTTTTTAATTTTTATTAATACACTGTTGCCTATCACACGTTTCAATGTCTCTGTCGACTCTTACCACACCACGGGGCGATATGAGGTAGTCGATATTCTTACACTGACAAAACAATCAGACTTTAAGATGCTTAAAATTGTTGATTGTTGGGAGAAAAACAGTTTACTTGCCGCTTCGTCTCACAAGATCTTCCACAGTAGAGACTTGTTGAAAAGATGGTGTTGCTTTTGAATTTAAAAAAATGTTTTGTCAAGCCATTATTGAATAATAATATTTTGACTTTAAACTATGATTATATTGCTAAATAACAATGAGTATAATTACAGCTACAGAATTTAGGCATTCCATCTTACTCGTCAGAAATCATCATCCATAGACTGCTGTACACTTACCATCAGATAGACTAAGATCCTTTGCCCCTTTAGGCTTAATTTACATTGCGGAGGATTGGATCGGAACGGAAGTGTCAATTTCGCGTGCCAAATAAATAGACGTATGCACATGCATACGTACATATCCTTGAAAACGTTTTTTTTCTGGGGCAGTCAGATAAAAATATTTTATTAAATTTTAATTTTGTCAGCAATATTTTTCGAACAGGCGCGCGAATTCACGGGAATGCTCGAGCATACGCGCGACTTGCGGCTCTAGAAAAGTTAGTCTAGATTCCACGCCCTTCGCGCCACCTCTCACGAATTCGACAGACTTCGTCGACAGTAGCTACGGGAATCCTCGAGAATTCCCCGAAAGACGCGCGTTTTTTTTTTGGGTGATACCAATTTGCGCTTTACACAATTAACATAAGACTCATTTTACGCCGCTCATTTTTTATTTTGTACAATTTCGATACCAAAATTCGCTTACATTCAGTTTCGCGGCAGTGTAAATTGATCCTTAGTTTAATAAAACCAAAAACGAACAAAATTAATCATTTAAAATTAAAGGTAGCCTGAAATAACTGACGTCAGTTTAAAACATTAGTGCCCGGTGACCAAGGCTGCTGTAAACATTCGCAACTGGCGTCGGTAACATAAAAATAAATAAATAAAATGTGTGTGCTGATAGTTCTGTTATATTTTCCCATTGCTAGGGAAAACCCTTAATCATGTATAATAATTGGTTACATAGATTTTCTCTAAGTTGACTTGTTATCATTTAAAGGCCTCCCGCTCTACCATCTCCGTATTATCGCGTGTCTGCCAGTTTCGACTCAGGGCCAAGCAAAAATTGTAACAAAGTCAATTCCTAAATTATACTATTTCCGTCGTGTATTAACCTTTCAATCCCTATAAAATTCCCATACAGTCGCATGCACCTGGTAAATGCCGAGCGGTTGCATGCGACTGCACCCACCCACAGCAATTAAAACCATTATTAACACTTATATTTAGAGACTACTTTTCTATGAAGAAGATTAGCATTATAAAATCTATACATAATTCTCTATCTTTTGGTCTAAACAAAAGTCAGGTTTTACTTCATTACAAAAAGATTTTATTGTATTTTGATAACAAAAAAAAATATACCAAGAGGATGTCGGTAGCGTCAAAAATTACAATTATTTCTATATATTACTCGAAATTATTTACGTAAAAAGATTTAAAAAGAAGAATTATATTCGGCGATGTGGTTCGCCACCCATCACGTCTCGTTTCTCGCGGGGGTGAAAAGCGGCCCACGGAGAGCCGCTTCGCTACGTTGATTGTAAGAGGAGGGATGGATGGTAAGGTAGATGGAGTATGTCAGATGATGGATGAACGTTGCATTGATATTCTGTGCGTGAACGAAACCAAGAGGAAAGGATGTGACACCACGGTTCATGGCCCCTACACGGCATACTGGTCGGGGAGTCCCCCAAACCAGCCGAGGCTGTCAGGGAGTTGGTGTGATTCGTTCATCTCGAATGGTTGAATGTGTGATGGAGCATGAATGTGTAAGCCCAAGAGTCCTCTGGATTAGGTTAAAAGTCGGACTCACCCGCTTGTTTATCCTTGGGGTCTATGCACCGACGGAGCTGCGTGGAGGTGGGTAACTAAAATCACAACAAGAGAGAGAGGAATTTTGGGATAGTATGAGAGAGGTCTTGTATAAATGCGGAGAGAATGAACGGATCGTGATGTTAGGGGACTTTAATGGATGGATTGGAGTAAAGCGTGATGGGTATGAAGGAGTTCTGGGTATGTTTGGGGACGAGAGAGTGAATGACAATGGGAGAAGCCTGCTTGAAGTATGCTTGGAATGGAATCTGTGCGTGACCAACACAATGTTTGACCACAAAAAGATCCATCTGTACACAAGAGATGAGGGTGAGTCTAGAAGTATGATTGATTTTGTAATTGTGGATGAAAGACTGAAGAAAAAAGTGCTAGACACTCGGGCATACCGCGGTGTAGGCCTCGACACAGACCACTTCCTGGTCATAGCCCGAATGCGTGGCCTCTTTAAACGGTGGCGACACCGAGGGGCCGAGCCTACGAGTGTTTTGGACAGAGTAAAAGTGGAAAATCTACAAGAAAAAGAAAAGAAAGACGAGTATGTAGAGAAACTGAAAGAAAGTTTTAAAGGGATAGAAGAGATAGGAGTGATTGAAGATTTGTGGGAGACATTTAAGAAAGGGGTTGTAAATGTTGCGATTGAGGTATGCGGGGTAGCTAAAAGAAGGAAAGGGAGAAAGAATGATAACGTGTGGATGGATAAAGATGTACAAAGGATTGTGCAAGAAAAGAAGAAAGCGTGGTTGGATTGGTTAGCAACAAAAGCTAACCAAAAAGTTCAAAAGGCAACGGATGACGAGATAAAGGAAGCAAGAACGAAGTATAAAAGATTGAAAACAGCAGCGAAAGAAACTGTGTCTAGAAAGAAAGAAGAACGAAAAGATGATTTCGATAGGAGGCTCACCGAAGATTTCCAGTCAAACATTAAGTTTTTCTGAAAAACCATCAAAACAGCCAGAGGAAAAACTTCTACCTCGGAGCTGAGTACAATCAAGAGTCAAGATGAGAGCATTATAAAAGGAGAAGAATGTGTGTTAAAGAGATGGAAAGAGTATTTTGAAAGTCTGTTTGAAAGAGAGGAAGTGCAGGTACAGCATCTGCCACCTACCACGGAAACGAATATAAATATCGATGAAAATGAGATAAGCATGGATGAAATAGTGAAAGCGTTGAAAAGTATGAGATTAGGTAAGGCTGCAGGGTATGACAGGATTACCGTCGAGATGCTGAGGGCTGGACAGGGCCTGGTGGCTAGTCAACTGTACCGCCTTTTCAATCTGTGCTGGCGAAATGGGCAAGTGCCGGGAGACTGATGCAAAGCCGTAATCGTGCCATTGTATAAGGGAAAAGGGTCACGGCAGGACTGCATAAATTACCGTGGTATAAGTCTTCTTAGCGTCGTCGGTAAATTGTATGCGAAAGCGTTGATTGAAAGGGTTGTGAATGAAACAGACGAGAAAATATGGGATGCACAAGCGGGATTTAGAAAGGGAATGGGATGTACGGATCAGGTCTTTCCATTGTGGTCAGCACTGTCCATGAACGGGGTGAGCAGTGTCCTCATACGAGCATTGCAATCTCTTTATAGGGATTCTAGTGCTTGTGTAAGGATAAACGGGGCATACACTGAATGGTTTAATATCGAAAAAGGTGTTAGACAAGGATGTGTAGCGTCACCGTGGCTGTTTAATCTGTTCATGGGACAATTGTACGACAGATTTAAAAGAGAATGAAAGTGGGTTGAGAATGAATGAGTTACTCGTCAAATGTTTTCTCTATGCTGATGACCAAGTATTACTTGCGTCTTCGGCCGAGGAGTTGCAGGAGATGGTAACTGCTATGAGTGGAGCTTTTGTTAGAAAGGGAATGAAGATGAATGTAAAGAAGACGAAAGTGATGGTGTTTGAAAAAGATGAGGCAGTGACAGACTGCAATATCGTGATTCAAGATGAACAAATTGAACAGGTGAAAGAGTTTGTGTATCTGGGGTCAAAGTTTACAAGAGATGGAAAGTGTGAGAGTGATATCGAAAGAAAAGTGAATGCAGGAAACATGGTGAATGGAGCTTTGCACTCCTTTATGAGCAGTCGGAAAGTGTCTAACAAGGCTCGTTTGGCTGTGCATGAGGGGGTGTTGGTTCCGACACTCATGTACGGAAGTGAAAGTTGGGTATGGCAGAAGAAACATGAAAGTAGAATAAATGCAGTTGAGATGAGAGCATTAAGAAGTATGATAGGAGTTAAACTGAGTGACAGGATAAGAAATAGTGAGATAAGGAAACGTTGTGGTCTGAAAGAAGATGTAGTGACAAAAATTGAGAAAGGTATGCTGAGATGGTTTGGCCACATCGAGAGAATGAATGAAGAACAATTGACGAAAAAAGTGTATAAGGCGAGTGTGAATGGAAGTGCTGGAAGGGGTAGACCTAGGCGGACTTTTCTAGACCAAATTAGGGACGTCTTGAAAAAAGGCCAGGTTAAGAGTACCCTAAACCGTAGAGCATGTATGAAGGGAATAATGAAAGTGGACGAAGCGAAACAAGTATGTAAGGATCGTAGCAAGTGGAAAGAAGTGGTCTCTGCCTACCCCTACGGGAAAGAGGCGTGATTATATGTATGTATGTATGTAATTATATTCACACAAAAACTTTTATAACAATTTTATAATAAAACACTATAGTAAAAACTAGAAACATCCGAAAATCAACACAACAACAAACAAATGAAAATGGCATACGTAATGAACGCAGAATATAAATTAATATCCATAGACTGTTTTTTTTATTTCACTAGAGGATAGAAAATTTCGTATTTATTCTATAATGCCAAACTTTTTTATAGAAAAGTAGTCTCCAAATATATGTTTTTATAGGATAAAGTGCTGTGGGTGGTTGCGGTTATATTTGACCGCTTGAATTTTGACGGAATATCAAAGCGGTCAAATTTGGCCGCTTGGTGTTTGAGAGGTTAAAGTGTTTTTTTTAAACCTTGTTTACGAGGCCCCGTATAAGAGTTCTTACACCGCCACTACATACGTGAATGGTCCCCTTTAAAGGGTTACTAGAGACTAACAAACAAATATATATGGAGCACTCACTGAAGGATATGGAAAGAGAGTTTTGTTTTTCTATTTCAATGTAGAAAATTAATAGTATTTAATGAATTACCTGAACACCGCTGCTCAGCTGTTCCATTATACTACAAGATGGCGGTTTATCGTTTTCGCTCGAGCAAGGGCTCTGTAACAGAAAAACATTACAAATTTAAATTAATGGTATAAAGAAATTAAAGTTTGGATTTTCTGCTCAGTATTTTGGAGTTGAAATCCAAACTCACTATCTACCGGACGATCATAAGACCTGTTGTGAATTATGCATGCGAAACCTGGATACTTACACAGAGGTACAAAGCGAGACTGGCGGTATTTGAAAGGAAAGTGCTCAGAAACGTATCTGGACCAGTCCGAGAATCTGATGGCACGTATCGCCAGCGCATGAATCACGAGCTTGATGCTCTTATAGGACGTGAGACAACAGAGTTCTGTAAGGTACAGCGGCTGAGACAGGCGGGCCACCTGGAACGAATGCCGGATTCTAGGGCCGTGAAAATCATGACCAGGTGGACTCCCCAGCAAAAGAGACCAAAAGGCAGGCCAAAAAAACGTTGGATAGAAAATGTGCAAGAGGATCTGAGAAGAATGGGTAAATACGCCAACTGGTGCAGGGAGTCGAAGGACCGCGATAAGTGGAGGAATATTGTGGAGGAGGCCAGGGCCCACAAAGTGCCGTAGCGCCACAGGACAGGAAAGAAACTAAAGGCAAAATTTATAATCTTTAACCCGTAAAAGTCTACTATTGTGCATGTATCGGTTCCCTTTGTAGGAAAGATTTATCTTATATAGCAGAAAAATTATTTTTTACCTCCTGTAAAGCTAACTTGAGACAGACACTATTGATTCTTAACCGTCGATTTACTATTTTTGTGGTTAGTACAAGAAAAATCTTGTATTTTTTTGTTTTTCTAAATTTGTCCATGAATATATTTTTTGTGTTTATGCTATGATATTTTCTTTTCAGTCAGGTGGTATTATTATTGTTAAATTGTCAAAAACACCTTATTTGGGCTTTTATAGTAGTGTAAAAGTCCCGCTGGGGTTCTTGCTGGTACTTCCTAGTACAGAGGTGCTTTCCCGAGACAGTGGTAAAATTTAAATGACTTTCAATAAGTATTCTTGTAGTCTATCTCTTTATATAGAAATCAATTGCTCTTTTTTTACAGCATAAGGGTGACAAACGAGCACACAGTCCACCTGATGGTAAAGTGTATGCTGTGGCCCATAGACATAGCTTACATTTAACCTTGCTTATGAATCAAAATGCAGATGCGTTGTCACCCGTGAGTCAGTAAAACGGATCTCCGGATCTCCACACTCACCATACAAAACACAGCTGCATCAAGCTGCTATTTTACGCTGGTATTCTGTGAGAGCGTGGTCCTGCCCCGGTCCGACCAATTTGTACTACAACCATAATAACTGCAGTGTGGCTCTACTCCGTTAGTCTAGCTAAAACTCGAAACTGGCTTGACCGATTCTGATGAAATTTTATGCGTGTGTTTGAAGTTTTGACCAAACATGGATGGATTAGATTCACAATAGGACCCGGTAGGTGGAGCTGTTGTCGAGATCCAGAAATCACCTCTACGAAGCCTGGGAAGATCGATAGTGTTAAATTAAAATGATTATCTTCTATTCTATTGGTCGTCAATCTTAAACTTAACCGGATTATATCCCTGCCCCACGAATCATATATTATGAACATTTCACCTGTTAATATTGCAGTGGCAAAGGTACTGCTCAGTTACAAAATTACCGTTTTGTAAATATAATAGAATAATACTTTGTAAACACCATTTCTAATATAAAAATTAGTAAAACATTAACATTATCATGTTCAAGTATCTAAACATTTTAGCCAGATAATATAGCTTGGTTTTAAATGCGATAATTTATAGAAATTAAGTATGATCAATACTTTAGAGAAATTAATTTCTTAATCCCAACAAAAGCCTTTGCAGTCGCATGCACCCGGCAAATCCCGAGCGATGAACGAAGATTATAAATAAATATCTATAGGATAACTTGACTTTCTATTGCACTAGAGAACAGAAAATTTCATATTAATTCTATAATGCCAACCTTCTTCATAGAAAAGTAGTCTCTAAATATGAGTTTTAATGGTTTTAAGTGCTGTGGGTTGCATCCGACCGCTTGGACCGTTTGGAGACTGAAAGGTTAAGTACAATATTTATTACATTCATTAAATAAAATTTCACTTTGAGAGTAATAACACCACCTTCAGTCACGATTTACAGTATCATATCATCCTGTGGCTGCCGTAAGAAGCGATAGAGAAAAATAAAACAGGAGATCGGCAACAGAAACTTCCAGAAAACAACTCACAACCAACCTACCTGCCAAGTGTGGCAAATATCACCCTCCCCCCTTCCCCCTTCCTAGACACAACTTATTAATGAGGCCCATTCAAGTTCAGCAGTGGACTCTCAATGAGCTGTAGTTAATAATGGAATTTTTTTAATTTAGCAAACAAAACATTTCATCTTAATACGACATACCTTCTTACTGACTACTTCGATGGTGGTATCGGGTGTAATGTTGATAACCTGCGGCTTCTGTTGCTGTTGCTGCTGCTGCTCCTTCTCCTTCTTCTTCTCCTTCTTGCTGGTATTCTGCTGCTGCGGTTGAGTTTGCTGGACGGGTTGTTTCGTCTTTGCTGTAGCCGGTGGGGCTGCAAATTCAAATTTAACTTTTAAGATCAGTTGTGATCTTTATATCACAGTGTATAAACGTTTACAATCTAAGTCTGTCCAGTTCTTTACCCTCACCATACGAAACACAGCAAGATTAATCTGCTGTTTCAAGTTGGTATTATGTTAGGACTTTGTCCTTCCTCGGCCGAGCAGAGCCAATCGTACAGCTGTCATAATATAGCTACAGCATGGTTCTACTATGTCGAACCACAAAATAGGTCTAGAATTTTCTACCGACTGATTTTTTTTTCAGTTAGGAAGACTTAGGTGAAAAGGAAAAAAACTTTTTCAAATGAATATTAAAACAGCACTAAAATTTTTGGTGCAAGCAAAACGCAACCTTATGATTTCTGCCATAAAACGTTTTCTCTTTCGGAAAATTTTGAAATCGCGAGTATTGTAGTACAATCCCATTTAGTTGAGAATGAATCATTTCGGGAACGCGAACGTGAACTCTACTTCGGGGACAACTACGATTCCCAGTGCCCCGAAGCTACAAAATTTATCGTTTACGCAAAAAATCACCATTATGAGCAATTTTTCGATTCTTATTCCTTTTTCCAATAAGAAAAATTCCTCGATAATCTTTATTTCTTCGATTAAAAAGATTGATTTTTGAAAAAAATCCTTCAATTTCCTATATGATCCTTATTTCCCGAGTTATTGATTATCAAAGTTAAAAATAACTCCGCGGCAAATCATCGTTACAGGCTTTTTGATTACGTCACATTAATGGGCATTAAGTTTCCTAAATGAGCTTTCTAGTTATTTGGAAATTTGGAAAAAAAATTTTTTGATAGTTTCCTTAGACCAAACATACAAAAAAATTTCATGGCCAGATTTGTAAACTACACAATTTCTTTTTTTCTTTCGATTTAATCTTTTCTCTGGCGTTAAAGCTTGTTGACCTTGTTTCACCCAAAAATTTAGATTTTTTTAATTTTTGTGACTAGTGTATTAAGGAATTTATGGATAATTATAAGATAATAATGTTGTAATGATTTATAATCTATATTTAATAAAAAAGTTTAAACTTATATATTTAAATTTCTAAACTTACCACTCTTTTCTTGTTTATTCTCCTTTCCTTTCTTCTCGGCTGCTTTCTCTTCTTTCTTACACTCTTTCTTCTCTTCCTTTTTCTTTGTTTTCTCCTCTACCTTCTTACTTGCCTCCGCTTTTTTGTCCGCCTTTTTATTTACAGTGTCCTGCTTCGGTGGGTCTGCTTTCTTGTCCGCTTTCTTTTTAGCATCTGCCTGTTGCTGTTGTTGCTGTCTCTTTCTCTCCTCTTCTTCCGCCTTGAACGAAATAATTATAGCAAAATGTTAACTGAGCAGTAGACATTACATTAAAATATCGCCAGACAAAATACACATGCCCAAATAATCAAACGCTGCTCAATTTTTTTTAATGTGGTAGAGCCACGCTGCAGCTATATTATAGTTATAGCACGATTGGGTCGGCTCGACCGGGGCAGGACCACTCTCTCACAGAATACCAGCGTAAAATATCAGCGTAATGCTGCTGTGTTTCGTATGGTGAGTGTAGAGAACTGGAGACCCTTTTTACTGGAGTCCAGGAATTCCATCTTAGTCCTCAGGGGTGACAACGCATTTGCATTTTGATAATTGAGAATAAATGTGGATGTCTATGGGCCACAGCACCCACGTATTGTCAGGTGGACTGTGTGCTCGTTTGTTACCCAATGCTATAAAAAATTAAGATTCCGTTATGTCTCGTACCGTCTCTATCACTTTAAGTGAAAATGAGTGTGACATCTTAAAATTGAGTATGGTTTGAGTTTTTGGCTACCAAAATAAATCAACAACAACTTAGTAAAAAAAACCTCTATATTTTTTTTATAGAAGAGGGGGCAAACGAGCATGCGGCTCACCTGGTGTTAAGTGACTACCGCCGCCCATGATCAACCGCAACACCAGGGGAATTGCAGGTGCGTTGCCGGCCCTTTAGAAAGGAGTAAGCTCTTTTCTTGAAGGTCCCTAGGTCGTATCGGTCTGGAAAATCGCCGGTGGTAAACTATTCCACAGAGAGGTCGTACGCGGAAGAAAACTCCTTTTGAAACGTACAGTGGTGGACCGCCAAGCATCGAGATGGTGTGGATGGTATCGGGACGTTTGCCGCGTAGTGCGTTAACGAAATTTGGCGGCTGGGATTAATCCGAACAACTCCTCAGAGCACTCCCCATGGTATATGCGAAAGAAAATGCAATGCTATATAGTGTAAGACGCCTAATCCAAGAGAGGGTTTCAGCAGAGGGATAAAAGAGTAGAAGCAAGAAGTGAGAAATTAGGAGGAAATACCTGTTGCTTTGCCAGGAGCTTTCTCTGCTTCTTTGACAGGGTCTGAGGTTCAGGATCTGGTTGAGACTTTGGCTGCTCTTTTGCCTGTTTCGCCTCAGTCTTAGCAGGCAACGTTTCTTTTTGTTTCTTCTGCTATGGAAAAAAGTAGGTGCCGAATAAACGGTAAACGAATATGAACTATCGGCAAAGTTGTACCCATTTAACATACAAATAAGTTTTTAACACTGTTTATGTAAATAGATTTTTTGTAAATACTTGCATAAATATTTATGTTTATTGTTTAGTACTTTAGTTATAAGACAAAATAGTTGTTTATGTTCTAGTGTAATATATATGTTTATTATTAGAAAAATTAAAAAATACATTCGTTAACAACTTTGAAAAAATAAGAATGATAAAACCAGCAAATAATTTACTAAAATTATTAACTAATATAAATTTTATCACTCCGTGTAAATGTTTTCCCTCCCGGTGTTTAATTAAAATTATATGTCAGATTTAGAGTTTTTTTCCACTCTTTAGTTAATTAACCGTTAGTTTAGAGACGGTGAAAAAAGACATCATATAAAAGTTAAATAGTTATAAATTAAATAACTAATCAAAAGGTAACTATATACATACTATGTTTTTTAATCTTTGTTGAAAGCCCTTGGTATACATAAAATATAGTCAGAAAATATAGTAGTAGATCTGTAATTTATTCTATGCTACTAAAATAGCTCTATCTGATGTTCGATGAGTTAGTTTTGACGGCTCCGTGGCGCAGTGACTAGATGAGTTACAGCGCTGTGGGCCGCGGGTTCGAATCCCGCACGCCGGGTCTGGATGTTTGTCCTTGTGCAATTTATGTATGTAAACTGCCTCCACGATACAGGAAATTTTTTTAGTGTTTACGGCTATTGCAGTGTATGAACAAATTCAGCCAGCTTCAAACAAAGAAGGCCAGATACATCATCACCTCTGAGGACTTACATGCAATGACTGAAAGCCTGTAATTATACTGGCTCCATTCACCCCACATACTTAAAAAAATATTTAATTTAGTTACAAAACTAATAGATCTGGCTTTCTGCATTCATCTTTCACTGTACAATTCATTCTCCTCTGAAACGCACTCCCTCATGAAATTAAATTTTAGAAGCTTGCGAACATTTTCTGGATAATTTGGCAGAATCATTTCATCACTAGTTCTTCTGTATTTATACAATATGCAACGTAATTAACGCACACCCTCAGACACCCCAATTAGTATATTACGTTATAATCATAATACATACACTGAATTTTTAATTAAACATTTTTATGTACTGATTATTTATCAAATTAGTTGTACTAATTCCGGAAGAATGTTGTGGAAGACTTTAACGTGCTTGAAATAAAGTTCATTTTTCTTTATTTTTATTGAATGACAGAATTAGTAATAATACAAATAAAACTGCACTCTTAAAAGACTTATTGCCTTAAGTTACGGTCCATTTCAGTTTGTTTTGACTGTACAGATTTAGTGTGACTGTAATTTACGTAGTTTTAATTATTTTTGGGATAAAATATTACCTACATTAAAAATGATAGGAATCGATTCAGTATACAATTCTGAACAAACTACTTTCTCAAAGTGCGTTAATTACGTTACATATTGTATAAGTATATTATTTATTTAATTAATTAATTTTTACATATGCGTAATTTGTATGTAATGTGTATATATTCATTTTTTTTGATATTCAAGTTTATGTACGGGTATATTATGTATTATTTTTATTTTATATTTATTTACTTTAATGTACATTTATATCCTGTATCAACATATACACCTACTTCATTTCATCTCTGCATCACTCAAAGATAGGCTCGCAGGTAATGCCTCATGCATTACGTGCACCTATTCTATATATTTTGTACGAAGTTAAACAAATCTATAAAAATAAATAAAATTAAAGTGTTTGTTTGTATTGTCAAAATAACAGCTTTTTAATCAATGCATATGAAAGTATATAAGGAACTTATAGCAGAAAAAATTTGTAGTTTTTGTCCGTCTGTTTGTTTGTTCCGCCTAATCTACGAAATGACTGAACCGATTTTGATGAGACTTTCACTGCAGATAGCTGATGTAATAAAGAGTAACATAAACATACATACATAAACATAAACACTCACGCCTGTCACCCAGAGGGGTAGGCAGAGACTACAGACTTCCATTTGGCACGATCCTGACGCACCTCTCTCGCCTCCTTCACATCCATACACTTACGCATCCATTTTACCATTCATTGCCCCACATACATTCAACGTAGCAAGACGGGCCCCTCTGCAATCCACTTTTAGCCTCTCTGGGAGACAGAACGTGACGGGTGGCGATCCTCAACGCCGGTTTTCCTCCCGGAGATTCTTCGCACCCCTCCCCCATTCAAGGGGCGCCGGGAACTCGAGGCCATTTCTTTTCTTTGGTTCCTCATGGTGTGAAATATGGGGTAGTATATTTTATAGGCTCTCTTATTTAAGAAAAAGAGTTGGGATTCCGCGTCAAAAAATGAAAACCCATTAAATCAAATCTTAATAAATTCCACGCGGACAAAGTCTCGAGGAACAGCTAGTAAATAAATAAAATTTCTTGACAACTCCTTGACTGCCTCATTGGTCTAGTGGTTGTAGTAGTGCGACTGCTGATCATGAAGTCCTGGGTTCGAATCCTGGGTCGGTCCAAAAACCAATTATTGAGTTTTTTCGTCAGGAAATTCTCAGTAGCTGCCCGGAGTCAGTAAGTTGGCGGTGTCTCACCCCCGTGCCTCGGAAAGCACGTAAAGCCGTTGGCCCTGCGGCTGATCTCTCTCAGGTCGCGTCAGTTTGTTGTCCCATCGGATTATGAGAGTGAGGGAATAGAGAGTGCACCTGTGCTTGCGCATACACTTGGGCACTATAATCCTGTCCTGCGCCGATGACTAGTCTCCATTGAGGCAGGACGCCGTGGCCGTAATTCGGTCTGGAGGACATTATTATTATAAATAAAACCTTTCAAATTGATTCGCTAACCTTTTCTTTGTCCTTATTGCTGCCTTTAGCCAGTTGGTTTATGTGCGCCAGCGCCTGCTCCCAAGTTTGCTTGCGTTGTGGCGCCTCCTGTTTCGGCTGCGGAGCCGGCTCTTCGAGTTTATTCAACCCTGAAATGTGACCAAAATATATTTCAAATGTGCGTTAATGTCCTCCAGACGGAGGTCAATGAGTCAAATAATGGAGACTAGCATGAGTGTGTGCGCAAGCTTAGGAATAGGTTGTGAGAATTTCTTGATATAGTTCGTTCGTGTGTTCGATTGAGAAAAACGGGCGATGACCTCAGATATGAGCCGAGTGTCAAAAGGCGTAACTTACAAAATCTCAATTTAGATGTGATAACAATATTTAAATATTGATATTATTCACACTTCTAGGTCAACATATATGTTTTGTTTTTTGGTTTCTTAAATAATATTATTTGTGGTTTCTATAAACATCGTAAAATCTTACGGTACATCGCGTACAAATGTGTTATATTTTATATTTCAATTTATGGTAAGTAACGCAGCAATTCATTTAATAACAGTTTCATATTAAAAAAATATTTGAAGCAATATAATCACCATATTGAGCTTCTGCAAATTCATCCCTTTAAAATAAACAAAACGCGCATTATGTCAGTTCGTTCTAAAAGAAATGTGACAATGGCAGCCAGAGATGCGTCACTTTTAAATAAAGCTCTTATATAATATTGAAAATAAAGTTTTATATTTTGAATAAGTACGTACTTATTCGGTGTCGTATCACTCGAATCGTTATGTTATAAATTAATGCTTTTTGTTGTTAAATGAATAAAGCACTTTATAACAGTAGATGATTTTTCGTCTACAGCGATCTTTTACATATCTTTTTAATAATAGTTAATAAATATATATTATATCAATCATTATAAAAAAAACATAAATAAAGAAAGTACTACATATAAATTGTGCCTATATATTGAAGGTTTTTAGCCCTTGGTTAAACGACCGAAAGGTCAAACTCCGATTTTCTCAGGATTCGAACTCGGGACCACATGATCACTAGTTTGTGTGTGTTAACCACTACCAGGCTAACAAGATGTCTACATTAATCTTCTATTGAGATTCAAAATGCACTTGCGTTGTCACCTGGGAGGACTAAGATGGAATGTTTTGTTTCCGGTTCTCTACACTCACTATATGAAATTACAGCAGCATTAGGCTGGTATTTTGAGAGCTGGTGCTATCTTGCTCGAGCAAATGTATGTGTATTACAATCATGATATAGTAGCAGCGTGGTTCTACCACATTATTGTTCTATTATTGTGTATATTTAATATTTAACATAAGTTAACTATACACATTTTGTGTATAGTTAACTTATGTTAAATTATTGTAAATAATTTAACATAAGTTGTGTGTCTGTATAGACGAAAAATGAAATATTTTCGTTTGCAGCAAAGGTTGTCGTAGTGATCGTTAATGTTGATAAGTGTCCGTTAGGATTATTCAAAGTAGTAAAGAAGTAAAGATAATATCGTGGGCGTGGGCGTGTACGTGTATGTGTACGTACGTTTTCATGCATATATACATGGGTGTAAATATGTAGGACGATTGCGGATAGAGATCGCTTTTGTATATTTTGTAGATTTAGTCACATTTTTCAGATAAAGTGTCATAAAAATCAAATTTTGATGCTCTCTTTGTATTTAGTAGATTTTAGCAGTTTTTATATATTTAACATGATAAAATTATTAAAATCTACTAAAGAAAACAAGAGTAACGCGTTCAGTTTTAAATAAGACTGCCTGTACGTGTGTGTGTATATGACTGCGTTTATATAGGTGCGTGTGCGTATGAAGGTGTGTGTGCGTGCGTACGTGCACGCAAGAGTAGGTGTGCGTGCGTGTCTGCGTGCTGACCGGCGTGCAACAGGCGCGCCAGCGGCACGTCAGCGCGGCCGGCTACAGACAGCGTGACGCCGCTGCCCGCGCGCCGCACGCGCACCACTCCGCCCCCGCCGCTACCCCCGTCACCACCCCCACAGTCGCCCGCGCCCCCACCCGACACCGACCCGCTCTCGCTCCCGCCTATTAATACCACAGTTTCTATTGTAGCCCCCACGACAATATATATTACTATCAACGTACAATAACACTACTAGTCTATTGAATAAAACTATTAGTTACGGATTTTGTCGCGTTTGATTACTACTTTAACTTATTTTTATTATGCCGACGCTTCGAGTGCTTTACAGCTCCCATGGTCACGCGGTTTTTTACCGTCCATCAAACGTAATATTCCTCTATAAGATGCAGATGTGTACAAGCTAGATTGTGAATGTGGTCACTCTTACATAGGTCAAACAAAAAGATCTATAAACACCCGCGTATAGGAAAATATAGCTGACGTGAAGCACCGACACTCCGGGAAGTCTGCAGTCTGCAAACATGTACAAGATCGTCCCCACTATTACATTAGATTAGATAAACCACAAATCCCCGAAAAAGAACACCAATTCTTACCAAGGATGGTACGCGAGGCTATTGAAATTAAAAAACATCCAAATTTCAATAGAGAAGATGGATGGGTGCTGCCATCTGCTTGGGATCCTATAATTAACAAAATTAAACCCAAACCCAAGTATACCACTGCAAGACTTCAAGATACGTAAGCTCGTTTTGCGTAAATCGGACCGAAAAATTAATATTAAAAAACTGAAGGTTAACAATGACATTGGGACGTCAAACATCTCAGTCCCCCCCCCCCGTGACCACGGGTGCTGTGAAGCACCCGAAACGTCGGGATAATAAAAATAAGTTAAAGAAGTAATTAAACGCGATAAAATCCGTAAATAATAGTTTAAACAGCAACACACCTCTTATTGGCACCTTTCAAACATCACAAGTTGGACCTGAATCAAATTCAGTATTATTACCATTTATATATATATATATATATATATATATATATATATATATATAATATATATATATATATATATATATATATATATATATATATATATATATATGCCGCCGCAAGGATATCTTCTAAGCCTAAATTTTGCATTGTCTTTTAATTTTTTATAAATTATAATTGTTAATATTACAATTTAATAACAGCAATTTATCAAAAACATAACATATAACTAACTAGTTCTTTAAAAACTCTTTTGGTTTACAAATCTCTTTATTGACAACTAATTCCTGGTAAAACAACTATTTATTCCATTATCGACTTTTAACTCAACTATTGTTTTAAATCGTAGAATAAATAATTGTCGATTTGATTATTAATCCTGATAATTGAAATTGCTTAAGTAACCTAATGAATTCAATAAAAAGTTATTGTTTAGTCAAGTATTGACCAATCAAATCGTCGACCAATCAGAGCACACCTAAGTCGTTATTACGTTTTCCTTATTGAATGAACGCAGGAACAGACCCACTTCAGTTCCAGCGCTCGTCAGTGTAGTTCTATTTTCCTGGTAAAACTTTGCAAGTATTATTTGTGAGTCTCATAATAGGAAGTGTAGAATAAAGTTGTAGTGCAAAATTAAAAGTGTGTGGTCTTAGATCTCTTTCATTACAATGGAAACAATATGCGGTAGCTCGACTGAACTCTTGTCAAATGGGGACAGTGGTGCTGCCTCACCATAAAAACAACCACTAGGTTTTCCGCCCCAACAATCATGTAGTTGTGTCCTTCACATTGCGCCGGTGTGTAATTGTGACAGGGACACACTGCAGTACGGTCAAACTGTAATTACTCTATGCTGAATGTATAGAGCGTTACGCTGTCCTATTATTGATAACAATAAAATTGCGCAAGCAAGAGAGCAAGTTGAATATCAGCTCTCACATTATTACCATTTTTAATAATTAACGCTATCCTGTTATTTCCAACACAATTTTGGCTTATCGTGTTACACCATTTCCGACATATATATATATATATATATATATATATATATATATATATATATATATATATATCAATGAACTATCTAGATAAAACAAATCAAGTTCAAAATCATCTGTGAGCAGGACTAACCCAAGGCTTGAGCAGCAGCGTCCTCCAACTCAAGGAAGTGCTGCAAACGTAACTGCTGCAGCTGCTGAGCGTCTATGTTGCCCTGGTCTTCGGTGTTTTGCGTCTGGAATTGAATTATTACAGTCAATTTCACAAGGAATGAAAAGATAATAAAATTAAAAACTAGTAAAATGGCGACAGTTTCGACGACTTCCTCTTCATATCTGAGAGGATTATGAGGTAATCAGTCTGCTTTCTACGCTGCATCAGTGCGTCTGGACAAACTTCATGTTTGTGAAATAAGTTATTTCTCAAACGTGCAGGTTTCCTCACAACGTTCTCCTTCACTGCCGGGAATGCGGTGAAGCAATGAATTGCGTTTGAGAATTCCAATTACAACATGTGAACTTGCCCGTTGGTATGTGGGCCATGCCGGCTTGCCCTGCAACGCTCTAGCTTCGTTCAGTTCACGTTCGCATTGTTTCAAGCGATGGCTTGCATCTGCTACTTGTCTTTCCGCCGCTTGAAGCTCCTGCAAAGAAAAACATTATTAAGTTCACTGCTGAACATATGCCTTGCAATTCATTCATGGGTGGGGGATATATCAGCAATAATTGCCAAAGGAGATCATTTCTTTTTGTATGGTAAATGGGTCCATCACAAATTGAGGCGTAACTTGATAAAATTCATGTCGATTTATTCCTCATAGTCTATAGATTACAATAGTAATATCAGATTTACTGTATCTAACGGGAATACTAAGAAATTAACTATTAAAATATGAATATCACAATAACTAAAAATAGATATCATAAGTTAAAATAGTGCATGATTTCAGTTAGATTTTCATAAAATCTTTATGCCGTTTATTACAATAAATTAGTTATCTTTTTATACCATTAAGTTACGTTAAATTTCTAGTGAGCCCAAAAACGATTGTCTTCTTTGACAGGCGGGTTGGCAAAGGGTTCTTTATTTCCTTTTGTTAGTTGTATTGTAAAGACGCTGTTGTCATCCCCATGATTGTTTCCCTCTGTTACTTTTTACGCCACTTACGGGACTATATGGGGTAGTGGTACTTTATTACACAAATTAAATAAAAATTAAGTTAAATTCAAAATATCGACTAAACTCAAACTACACCAGTGTCGGATATACATATACTGGATGACCTTTTTACCGACTGGAAAAAAATAGGGTGTAACATATGAACTCCGTCTGAACAAAAGCCTATGGCACTGATATTTTACAAAAAATAAAAACAAAAATTTGAATTAAACGTTTGAAATTTTTTTTGAACAATTATATTGCCCTTGAGCTTGTGACCCTGCGAAGTGACAAACTCAAAGATGCCTACTAAATTTATTGTTTTATTGCCGTTCGTAAAGTACGGCGGATATGATTTGAATTCTGATAGATTTTAATTGATTTATTTGTTTCATTCAAAACTTTTATGTTTATTTTTGTTGAATATCCGTGCTGTAGGCTTTTACTCTGTTCAAATGTTACACCCTATTTTTAGACGATATACCAGACGGTAAAAAAGGTCATCCAGTATAGACTCGGTCTTGATGATGCCAGACGTAAAATATCCAGGACGGCGACGAGCAACAGCGTCAAAAGTGCTCACATCTGGTACTATGTTCCTCAATCTGACTTCCAATGCCAAGCGTGGCGAATAAAGCAGTCTCCCCACAACGTAAGAAGCCAATGTCAAGAAGTGGACTTTAACAGTTTTACAGGTTAAAAATTAAATTTCATTATAGTTTATCATAATTAAATTAAAAAAAAAAACTAAAGTTGTTTATAAATAGACCAGCATCACTAGAGCCATAGTTTGAGTTACGCATTAATTTTGCTGCTAGATTTTCTGGAAGATTTTTTTATAGCATTGGGTGACAAACAAGCACACAGTCCACCTAATGGTAAGTGGATGCTGTGGTCCATAGACATCCATAATTATCCTCAATAAAGAATCAAAATGCAAATGTGTTGTCACCCCTGAGGACTAAGATGGAATGCTTCAATTCTAGTAAGAAAACTAAAGGATGTCGAGCTCTCTACCATCACCATACGAAACATAGCAGTATTACACTGCTAATTTGCGCTGGTATTCTGTGAGAACATGGTCCTGGCCCGGTCAAGCCGACCTATTCGTGCTACAACCATAATATAGTTGCAGGTTGGAGCGTAACTACCACATATGAAACTAACTTTTATGGTGATTGTGGCCGTGGAAGGAAAAGGGGAGATCTCCCGCCGGGCAAGGTGTTCTGCCCGGGGAGCGGCCAACACTCCGTTTGATAGTTCGGAGATGTTCTATATATGATGTTTATGATTCGGAATGTTGATAGCGTGATTTAGGTTTCGGTGTGTTTTCGCTTGCGGCGCGATGACAGCGCCGCCACAGTGATCGATTAAATAGATTTTGAGTTAAACGATTACATGAATACAAACATCCTCTTTTATATTATATTTTGCTAGTGGTGACCTAGTGGTCGAAATTCTACAGTTATTCAGTATATTTTTAGGTTTGTATATTTGGCAAGCTGTGTTTCACTTTCACCTGCACATCATTATATAAAACACAGATATCTAGTATACAAAAAATAACAAACTTTTTTGCCTTGATATACACTTTATATTGTTGAAAAAGAAAGTAATTAATTGTTAACACTCTGTGCGACTGTATGAGCACAGGCCGTTAAGTGTTTAACACTGCCTTGGGGGCCTTGGGGTAATAACATACACATTATGTTTGTACTTACTCTGAGAAATTAGCACTATGAACGTAAACAATGGGTGCGTTTGGCAGAAAAAAGCGCTAGCAAGCGTTTACAAGCGCTGAAATAGTTTTCGGCCAGGACACGATTGCTACTTCAGTAGCGCTGACACAATCCGCCATTTTGCTTATTAAATTTGTTTGTTTTGAAGTAGAGTTTGAAGTTGTTTTGTGCAATATTAATTTTAAGTAATATAATGACATGAATAGACATATACATGTTATTAAATTTTCATGATTGGTAAGTTTTTAATATGAATACTTTACAAACATAATATATTTAAATTAGGTTAGGTTCCCCGGTTAAAACTAAAATCGTGTCCTGGAAGAAAATAGCTACTTACGATTTGTCAACGCTTACCGCTTACGATCGCCATTTTGCTTACAAGCACTTGCTAGAGTTATTTCTGCCAAACGCACACAATGTGATTTATTTACTTTAATGTATTTGTAACCAACGTTACATATTTTAGCTTTCGGCAGTATCCATATAAGCTTTAACAAAGCACAAATCACACACTTTACTGTCAGCGCCATGTTTTAAAAGTTTTCTCTTTACATCTTTAAATAATATAAATTTTTTCTGTTTGTGTATGTGCGTAAACGCCTAGACCGATTTTCATGAAATTTTGTGTGTGTAATTAAGTTGATCAGAATTTAACTGTTTGGATAAAACATTTACTCGACAGTTCCTTGCCATTTTTTACAAGGTCTCTCGAAGTAGCGATTTGTATAAGTGACAGCAAAGCATAGCTTCCTTCACTTTCTGCGTTCCTCGTAATGGCCATAACGAATAAAAATATTTAGAATTAGCTTATTGATTACTAGTGATCGAAGGTCGATTTCTGGTTGAGCCGAATTCGAAGCTCATTTATCGGTTATCGCCACTACCTTCGACTGAATCGGAAGGCTTTAAAAACCTCAAGATATTCACAGTTCAATATTGGCTAAAATTAATAATATAAATAATTTTATAACTTTTAAATAAAATATCTTTTAGAAGTTGATCTAGAGATGATGAAATTGCGTCGCCACGTCTATTGCGCTCTCGCTCATTCGTTACAGTTCGTTCAAAGAAGCATCCACGAATTTTTTTCATCACTCACAAATGAGGTGTAATATTGGACAGATTTCATAGTGTGGAACTCAATTTTTCGAAAAATGTAAAGGTTATTGTTTTTTATGCACTATTAGTTATATTTTATATTAATTAGCTTAAAAATAAATAAACCAAACCACAGATATTCATAAAAGTACAAAATTAAAAAAAAAAGAGTTAAAATGCGCAAAAAATTATACCCCAAACCCCTGAGGCATTATTTTGTGTATTAATATAAAACTGTAGAAACTGATAAACTTTTATTTAAAACTATCTTCTCAATTAAATTACATTGTGAAACAGAAAACCTTCGCCTCAGTGTCTACCAGCGACATCTGGTGAACGGAATACTATTAGCTCTCATTTCGGCGCTTGCTAGAAACCTTTGGCTTCGGCCAAAAACTCGGCCAATTTTAACCGAAGCCAAAGGTGTTTTTTGATCGATGATGGCAAGATTACACAATATTTTACATAGAATACTATAATACACAATAGAATGGCTGTCAACCTTATTTTGTACGACGATAGGCGTCGCCGGGAGCACACATACAAGCAATTACGTCGTATTATCAGTTAATCACTACTACAAACCCAATTCGCTGTGTTGACAGACGGATGTTAATACATATTTATTTGTAAATAGCGTGCAATTTGGCACTTAATAAATAATTTGCATGCGAAATTTGGAAACGATTGTAACGTCAAAACACATCTCGTGTTGACAGATATACGTGGGAATTGACGTGTTAGTGGCTACACTGGCTCCGCCCACTCCCCGTTCTACTGTGTATGTATTATAGTATTTTATGGTATTTTACTATTTTAGGACATGCAACAATACCTTCGCAGTGGTGTTTATGAAAGTGTTCATCTTGGTGAGTTGTTCCGTCAGCAGCTGGACCTTCGCCTGTACAGCTGGATTCAGTTTTTGCTTCTTACCTGTGAAAGATACAGCAGTGTTAATTAGGTGGTTGACATCTTCAATAATCAATTATGGTAAAGTTTGCTGTCTCGTTGGTCTAGTGGTTGTAGTGGTGCGACTACTGATCATGAGGTCCTAGGTTCGAATCCCGGGTCGGGCGAAAAAATTAATTAACGAGTTTTTCCGTCAAGAAATTCTCAGTAGCTGCCCGGAGTCAGGAAGTTGGCGGTGTCTCACCCCCATTCTTCGGAAAGCACGTAAAGCCGTTGGTCTTGCGCCTAATCTCTCTCCGGTCGTGTCGGTTTACCGTCCCATCGGATTATGAGTGAGGGAATAGAGAGTGCTCCTGTGCTTGCGCATACACTTGGGCACTATAAGCCTGTCCTGCGCCGATGACTAGTCTGCATTGAGGCAGGCCGCCGTGACCGAAATTCGGTCTGGAGGACATTATTATTATTTGAGGCATGTATATAGTTTTCTCATTTGGTTGGGTTCTATAAATATATAATTGTAAATAAAAATGAAAAGATAAATATACATAAATATCAATAAAATAAATACATAAATAAATAAAGATCCAACCAGATGGAAGCCCTCGGTAGGGGAGACCAAACGGCCGAGGTTTAGGAGGAAAGGAAAAGAAACTGGCGGACGATGCGGGCGGTATCGAGGAGCACCGCCTTCTGCATTTGAGCCCGGAGCGGTCCGTCACGGAGTCCCAGTCGCCTCAGATGACCCGAGAGGCTGAATGGGACTAGCCCATTCGCAGAGACGACTACAGGAATAATTTCGGTCGACAGCCCACCCCATATGTCGGTCACCTCGTGAGCCAGGTCCAGATATTTTGTTCGCTTATCTGTTTCGGCTTTCACGAGGTTCTCGTCATACGGAATGGTAATGACTCGATCAAAAATATCCTTGACTGTGCCCGGTCCATCAGCACAATATCAGGCTTATTCGCAAGAATAGTCCTGTCTGTGATGATGGCTCGGTCCCAGTAGAGCCTGGCAGTAGAGACTTATTATTATTATGGTAAAGTTTAAGTTACAGCTATAACAGGTCCTATTCACATTGTTCAGATTTTCTCTAGTTTCCGAGTGTTTTATGGAGCAATTAATTTGCCACAATGCTGCAGTAAGTATTGTACGAGCCGTAGTAACTCAGGGATTAAGCTACGAGCGAACTAGGCGCTCGTTGTAAATTTTACATAGTACGCCAGTAACCTGGGTTCGATTCCCCGCCAGCACCAATGAATTGTTAATTGCAACTTTAGGTATTTATTTACTATGTGTTCAGCAGTGAAGGAAAATATCGTGAGGAAAATTTGGACCCTAAGAGCGCTCCGCGTGCGGACGTGTGTTAGATATTATTACTTATCGGAGTTTGTGTTCCTACGCGTGTCGAAAAAAAAATGGTGCAGTGCAAAAAATGTTAACTGTTTTTATCAATGGCTAAGGACGAGGTATTAAAATGTAAAGGTGGATGTAAAAGTGTGTATCATAAAAAATGTGTGAGAAACTCAAAGCAATTTCTGCAAACCGAAGTATGTGAGGAGTGTCAAAAGTAGAGCTCTAAAATACAATCACGGATCATCGACATAGATCCGCACAACATTACAGTAGAATCACTATTGGTAGAGGTGAACAATAAATTGAAGGTGATATTCCAGGTCGAAAAAAAACTTGATGAACTTGTGGAGACAGTTGATTTTTATGCTGAGCAGTACCAAGAAATGCTGGAATTCAAAAAGACTGCGGAAAATAAAATAAAAGCGTTAGAACAAAAGAACGTATACCTTGAGAAATGCAATGCTGCATTAGAGGAAAGAGTTGTTAACTTGGAGAAGAAGGAAAAAGAAAAAAATGTTGAAATTGCATGCCTAATGAAGAACAAAGATAATGAAAATATAAAAGAGGTAGTCAAAGATGTTGCCATAAAGCTTAGTTTGAACCCAGAAGATATAGAAAGTGTCGAAAGAAGGAGCCCACCAACCACAACAAAGACGAGGATAGAATGACCAAGCCCAGTTATAGTGAAGCTGCGGTCAAAGCAAGCTCGAGATCAATGGATGCAAAAAAGAAGAGTTCAACTAACCAATGGCGATGTATATGGCAACGACAACAACATGCGTATATACATAAATGAAAAAGTTACTGTTGTTGTAACTTAAATCATTCAAAAACATTACGTAGGTAAAGATAAATAACATTACTTAGTTTTTTTGAAAGAAAATCCAACTAAAATCACAATCACAAAACTTCAACGATTACGCAACCAACCGCACCGGCACGCAAAAGCGAATGGCTGTATATTTGATGATGTCTTTGTAACCGAGTGAATATAATGCTACAGAATACTCTTTAGTTCGTTCAGAATCGAATGAAATAGTGTTCAATAGAAAATATACTGTATTTTTATATCAATTAATGACGAAAATAGCAGCACGTAATGCAGACATGTATACATGTCCTCTGTACTTAGCGGTCACAAATCTTGGACCTATATAGGGGTACTCCTAAGATACCGTGGACATGTTGACAGGTCCAAGTTTTGTGACCGCTAAGTACAGAGGACATGTATACATGTATATCAATAATACGAAAATAGTAGCACGTAATGTCTATTTTCGTCATTAATTGATATAAAAATACAGTATATTTTCGATTGAACACTATTTCATTCGATCTATGATTCTGACACTATCAACATTGATATATCGCAAGGTGCAAATACGAGTTTATGTGCCTACAAAAACATGTGTGAAAACGGCCTACAGAGTGCAATACCCACGTCAGAGATAACGCGCGAAGCGATCGTGGATGGCAGAGTGAATTCCTCGAATATTGACCACGTGTGCGTGCGGGCGAGCCGCGGACGGCTGCTAGACGCGTGCGCGCACTTGCTAACTTGTACCGTATCGGATCACTATATGGTTGGAATTAGCGTAAAAATAACTGGTAATGTATCCAACATTAATAATAATTGTAAATTACAAACCATATTAGACGAAAAATGGTATGCAATAGTTTAAAAACAATTGATTGGTCTGATGTCATTGAAACGAGTTGTCCAACTTATTGTATGAAAAATTACATAGGGTTTTTATAGATATATATGATAAGTGTAAGTTAAAGAAAACACCAAAGAAAAAGAGAATTACGCAACTAACAAATGGGTTAACGAACTATGTAAAAAGATAGAACATAGGGACTTACTGTTCAGGGCTTGGAAATCATCCCCTAAGAATATGAATACAAGACTAATGTATACGAGATATAGAAATAAGGTTAATAAATTAATAGATAAAGCTAAGAATAAATACAGGCAGAATGAGATACAAAAATGTAAAAATGATTTTAGAAAAATATGGTGTAACATAAATAAATGGATAGGCAAGCCTAAACCGGGTTTAGATGACGTTATTTTAAAATATTTAGGCCAAACTAGCAGTGTGTATAATATTTGCAATAAGTTCTCTGAAACGTTCACAGGGGGAAGTACAGAAAATAAAGCATAACTGTGATAAAAAATTTTTTGGATAGAATTTCATACGTAAAACCAAGTGATAAGTCTTTTTACTTTAAGAAGGTAGGAGCGTATACGATAGAAAAATATATAAATAATTTAGATTTTAATAAAGCACCGGGTTTAGACAAAATTAGAGTACAAGATATAAAGCAGGTAAAGAAAGAAATAAGCCCAGTATTAGCTAAATTGATAAATATGAGTGTGGGTGGGGGAGTTTACCCGGATATATTAAAAAAAGCAATAATACGACCAATATATAAACAGGGGAGCCACACGGACTATAGTAACTATAGACCAATTGCTATATTATCGGTAATAAATAAAATAGTAGAAAAAGTAATAGTGAATCAGATAAGTTGTTACTTAGAGCAATATAACATAATATCAGATGCGCAGCACGGGTTCCGTCGCGGACGCAGCACGGACACTGCGCTTGCGCAATTCACCGACTGTATCAACAACAATCTCAATGAGGGTTAAGTTTGTCGTTGCTCTTTTTATTGATTATAAAAAGGCATTAGACACCCTGGAACACGAGGTACTACTGCGTGCGATTGATGAATGTGGAATCAGAAGTCCCATCAACCGATGGTTTAAATGCTATTTGCAAAATAGATCCTTATGTACATTGGTAGACTGAGTAACAGGGGACGATGTAAGCGTGAGTCTTGGAGTACCAACCGGATCGGTTTTCGGTCCAGTTGGGTACATTATGCATGTTAATAGTGTCATTAATGTGATAAAGCATTTTAAAACGGTTATGTATGCAGACGACATGTGCCTAATGTACTCAACCAATAACATGAGTGATGCACAAAAATACATACAGGAGGACTTAGAAAACATAATTAAATGGGCACATGATAACGGTATAATTATAAATTTATCCAAAACAAAGGCTATCTATATAAGTTCACCCCACAGTAACGTCTTTAAGCAAGGTAAATTAAACATAAATATAATTGGTCATACATACGAGTGTCTACACATCAATAAAGCTGGCTGCCAGTGCACAAACATAGATGTAGTAGATAAATACAGATACTTAGGCCTAACAGTAGATAGTAATATGAACTGGAAACTGCACGTCAATGGTGTGTGTAATAAATTGCAATCAATACTGGGTAGATTCTTTCACCTAAGCAATTTCATGAATCGAAAAGTCTTGTACGTACTGTATTATGCACTGGCTGACTCGGTAATCAGTTATGGATTGAGCAGTTATGGGCAAACATTCAAAACACAGTTAGATCGTATAAAACATTTATAGATTAGACTACTTAAGTATTTAGTAAGTAAAAAAGTAAAATTACAGTGTAAAAAAATTATGACAAATTATTTAATATATGTAAAATACTTCCAGTGCATGAAAAGGGTAGATTACCTAATAGCTTTAGAACAATATAAAATAAATAAATTTAAACAACCTATAACGCATAAATATCGTACCAGGCAAGTTGAGAAGGGTAAATATGTGATACCACATATAAGAAACTATTATGGTAAGAGAACTAGGCAATATTTAACTCCGCATATTTAATATAATAGATTTTATAAGAGATACGTCCAAAGACATAAGCACTGTAACATTAAAGAAAAGACTGAAAATACATTCCTATGAAAAGTATAATGTAATATAATAAGTATTAATTAATAGATATTTATTGTAATAAATATACCTAAGATAAGTATGTATGTAACAAAAAAATACATATTAATGTATAACAAAAGAGCGCCATTATCGCCAACAAACTGTTGCACAGTTTGGCGATGTTTATTATTATTTTAAATCTGTGTATTTTATATTAATAAAGATTTAAAAAAAAAATTGCATGTCTGAGAAATAACAAAAAAATATTATGAAAACATGTAAAATTCGCCAACATACATTGAGGTAGCGCGGCGGACATTTCTTTACTCTAAAACTATCTCAGAAATGAAAGAAAGCCCGTGTCCAGTAGAGGGATGTATATAGGCTGTAATTTTAATTTTTTTTATATAGAATAGGGTGACAAACGAGCACACAGTCCACCTGATGGTAAGTGGTTGCTGTGGCCCGAATAAAGACGAATGTAAAATGCAAATGCGTTGTCACCCGTGAGGACTTAGGTGGAATGCCTCCTAAACAGTAAAAAAGGGTCTCCGGTTCTCTACACTCACCATACGAAACACAGCAGCATCACGCTACTATTTCACGCTGGTATTCTGTGAGAGCGATGTCCTTCAACGGTCGAGTCGACCCATTAGTGCTACAACTATACTACTAGTATAACTGCAGCATGGCTCAAATACCATTTGCTGTAACTAAACTAATTTTGCTGCATGTTAGCGAACTTCACATGTATTCAAAATATTTTAATTCTTAGAAAAGAACATGCTAAATATAAGCACAAAAAATGCAATTAAAATTTCATTTGTATTGGCAACAATCAAACAAACCGACAGAAAGTAAGAGAAGTGACGAAAAGCTTCTCAGTAGATTGACTCAAAGGTGGATTATTAACCACAGTGGTCATATTTGGTAGACGGGTTACTTGGACAATATGATTTGCTTTTGCAGGTGTTTATATAAATAACACGAGGACAAACATCAGGCAGGTGTGTCAGTACTTGTTGGGGCGATAGCTGATAGAATTTCCCAGGATGGGAGTGGGGTGGGATGACTGACCCTTCTTCTTGACGCGGTAGCTGGCGAGCGCGGCGCGGGCCTCCTGCGCGCGGCGCGTGGAAGCGTCCAGCGCGTCGCGCAACGTGGCGGCCACGGCGCGCAGCGTCGACAGCTCGCCCGCCACGCTGCAGAACTGCTCGTGCAGCCGCGACTCCATCTGCACCGCGCACGCGTATCCACTTCTATCAACATGCTCATACCACAATACTACCAGGTACCAAGCGCGTTGCTGCCGCACAACAAATTGCTGTGCAAATATCCTTTTAAATTTGGAGCAGTTACATTGCTCCATTAGAAATAATTGAATGGTACATAGAATACTATAATACACAATAGAATGGCTGTCAACCTTATTTTGTACAACGGTAGGCGTCGCCGGGAGCACACATACAAGCAATTACGTCGTATTATCAGTTAGTCACTACTACAAACCCAATTCGCTGTGTTGACAGACTGATTTTAACACATATTTATTTGTAAATAGCGTGCAATTTAGCATTTACTAAATAATTTGCATACGAAATTTGGAAACGATTGTAACGTCAAAACACATCTCTTGTTGACAGTTATAAGTGGGAATTGACGTGTTAGTGACATTTTAGTGGCTACGCGGGCTCCGCCCACTCCCCCGTTCTATTATGTATGTATTATAGTATTCTATGGAATGGTATTATATAAACAGAATGATATTACATAACTTTTAAATAAATTTATCAGTACAATACGCAAGCCACCTAGTGTAAATTAATCTTACTATGCCTATACCCTTCACAAAACAGTGCAAGCAATAAGTTGACAAAATTTTACCACAATCGGCTAAACAGTATGACAACAAACAAACAATAATTTTTATGTATTAGAAGAGTAACAATCGACCACACAGTTCTCAATGAACTGTAATCTCGTATGTTATAGCTTCCAAAGGACAAGATTATCAAGATCTCGTGTACGCCAGCTGTAAATTAACCAGACCGACAACAAAAAGCAGTGTCAAATGTAAAAAACGTCTTATAAAAGGGGAACTCACAGTCCACATGATGGTAAGTAGATGCCGTGACTATCCACAATTAGGAACCAAAATATTGATACAATCTCATCCCTGAGCACTGACATTAAATAGCTGGTTTCCCCCATTCTCTACGCTCACCATACGAAACAAAACAGTTTTAAATTGCGATCCCACGTTGGTGTTCTATGAAAGCGCAATCCTTCACAAGTAGAGTCAACCCATTCGTGCTACAACCATATCATATAAAAAAAATTAATTTTATGAATTTCTTATCTCATTTAATTTAACTTTTTGAATTCCCACCAATCACATCGGTCCAAAAATTTGTAATTATAAAAAAAGGAGGAACAAATGTGTCTTCTTTAACTATGACATTGAAACGTCATCGTCGAACCATCGAAACCAAAAGTGCTCTAAACATAAGATATAAAAAAATAAACACAATAAAATCCATAAAATTAGTTTAAGTCCATAATGTAGTATTTTATAAACAATATACATTCAAAAATTAAATACAATGGAAGTACATAATCGAACTCATTATGCAACATATAAACCCCCCTTTTTTTACGCTTATATCTGAGTAGGCTTATGGGTCAAATTATTTGTACTTATACCTAGTTAAACCTAAACTGAAGCTCACCCGCTTAGCCCGTTGCCTCTGCTTTTTGGCCCGTTTCTTGCCTCGATCTACGTGTCTCTGCGGTCCCTCTATGTACTGCAGAAGAGCGTCCAGGTCCCGAGGGTCCTCAGCTCGACCGCAACGCCAGAACGATCCACTGCAAAATATTTCATATTTTTCAAAATTTATGAACTGTGTAGAGTACATTACCAAAGTTCTCTTTCTTTTTCTCTCTCTCTCTCTCTCTCGCTTTCTCATCATCTCAACAGTGCATAACCGGACATGAGCTTCTCCTAATAAGAAGACTTGTTCTATAGTCACGTTCGTCTCCAATACCAATCGCCATTGGCTACCTTCGACGCTGTTTCCAGCTCACCCGTCTGCCGATTTTATATATGAGTTATAAAACACGATGGTTATACCCCTTTCTTTTAAAATTTAATATGAAGCCTTTTCTTAAATAGACTCTAGAGCTCTCGAGAGCCGTAGTAGCTCAGATGGTTAACGCTTGCTGTAAATATAACAGAACACGAGTAACCGGGGTTCGATCGCCGCCGGCACCAATGAAATAGTTAATTGCAATTCTAAGTGCTGATTTACCACGTGCTCGGCGGTGAAGGAAAACATCGTAAGGAAACCGGCATGTCTGAGGAATAGGAAAAAAATATTTCGAAGATATGTGAAGTTCGCAAATACGCATTGGGGCAGCGCGACGGACACTTTCTTGCCCTAAAACCCTCTCAGAAATGAGGGGAAGCCTGTGCCCAGCAGTGGGACGTATACAGGCTGTAATTTTACTTTTACTTTTACAAAGCCAGTGCAGCGCCAGTGCCATATATGATAAGTAAGCAAACAAGCGAATTTTACACTATTTTCTAATCCTTCATTTTTACCGCCTTAAATAAAAAATACTAAAATATAGACAAAGCGACATATTGGTCATCGATATTTACTACCATTCGACATATTTATATATATATATATATATATATATATATATATATATATATATATATATATATATATATGTATGTATGTATGTATATCGATATATTTTGTCGTTTTCGTCTTTCACATTCACATATTTACGCACACATGTTCGTCGGTTAAAGGTACTGTTTTTCATGAAATGAAAATATCCTTTTCTAAACAATTTAAACAAAAGTTTGTTCAGGCGCTTCTCCTAGCGAACGACCTTGAGAGTTCAGTCCTATACACTCCACGCGCTCTCGCTACAATATATCGCGTAATAAATACGCCCAAATTTTAAAATTATTTATTTATAAAATCGAATTTTAGTCCTTTAAAAAAATTAAATAGATCAAAATATTAATAAATTGCCTATTCATTAGTGTCAATCGCAAAATAAAATAATGCTTACTTTATGAGGAGCATGTTATCGATAATTATTTCGCATTTCTGTGTGTATAAATTTTTAGTACACTAGTAAATACGCTATGCTATAGCGCGCTATTTATAAGAAAACGTCTTGCAGCACACTAAATCTCGTAGCACGTTACATTACACGAAGTTCCTTCGACAGACCGCGTGCTATATAAGAATATTAATTATTATCACGTCGCATTTATGTTTAAAATAAAATAAAGCAGTAATGTAATTTTAACGTTAATGTAAAGTATAAATCAATTTAAGGCGTATTTGAAATTTTATTGAGTATCTATACAAAACTCAACAATTTAAATACACTTTTGTATCTATTTTTTATTTACATAGAAAAACTTATAAAATTAGTTAACTTACTTTTATAAGTTAAAAACTTACAAAAGTAGTAGCTACTTTTGTAGCAGACAACCATGTCCCTCAATCACTTATAAATATACACTATACACAAACTAAACAATCGTCTAACACTAAACTAGGTCGAATAATGTGATGCTACATCTAAGTTGCCGCTAGATATTCATAGCGCTAAATCGTCATGGCGGCTACTTACATACTCGTAGCATGCGCTATACGCTATATAAACCACCTATACTCACAAGTATCCAGATGATATGTATGCTTTTACGAATATTTGTTTTAAAATAAAGTGACATACCCGGAACATCCAGAAGAGGTGGAGAACACGCTAGTATCTCTACTCGAAAGAGAGACAGCGGCTCCTTGCTGTTGAGGTCGTCCTTGTCTTTGCTGTTGCTGCGGTATCTGCTGCTGTTGCTGCAACTGTTGTTGCTGTTGCAACTGCTGCTGCTGCTTGTTGTTGAATCTGCTGCTGCTGCTGCTGTTGTTGAATCTGTTGCTGCTGCTGCTGCTGCTGCTGTTGAATCTGTTGCTGCTGCTGCTGCTTTGTTGTTGTTGAATCTGTTGCTGCTGTTGTTGAATATGCTGCTGCTGCTGTTGCTGTTGAATCTGTTGTTGCAATTTCTGCTGATGTTGTAATATCTGCTGTTGTTGTATATGTTGTCGCTGTTGTATTTTTTGGTGCTGCAGATGCAATTGTTGCTGCTGCTGTAATTGTTGCTGTCTGATCTGTTGTTGTTGTTGTGGTGTTAAAGTCGGCTTATTGTGGATCGGCAGGTCGTATATTGGTTCTGGCTTCTTTTGTTGAGCTTGCTGCTGTTGATGTAACTGCTGTTGCTGCTGCTGCTGTTGTTGCTGCTGCTGCTGTTGTTGCAGCTGCTGTTGTTGCAGCTGCTGTTGTTTTAATTGCTGAAAAAGGACAAAAGTTAATTTCTAGATTATTTTATTTAAAATATGTTGCATAAACATGCGTCTTATATCTTTTAACAAACATTTAACAAAAAGTATAAAGCAAAGTATATAAAATATGATTAATGGGGTACTGGGTTTGAGATTGTGTAGGTGTTAGGCTAGCCACTTATTATTTCTAAATTTTCTATCTTTATCTATTTTTTCGCGCGGTTAGTGGTTCACTGCCCTATGGACTCTGCATACCCTCTTAGGCGATTACAGGTGGGACATGTGTAGTAGGGCTATAGGCAAACGATTCCTACCAGAAATAACTCAATCACACTGCAGATCTTTTAAGGAAAAGTTTGATAAACTGTAACACAGTATTAGCATTATACTTCGAAATATTTTGAAAAATGTCCTCCAGACAGAATTTCTGTCATGACGGCCACTCTCAATGGAGACTCGCCATCTTGCACAGGACTGGATTATAGTGTTCGAGTGTATGGGCATGCGCAAGCACAGGTGCACCCTCTGTTCACTCACTTTCACATTCCCATGAAACGATGATCCAACACGAGTTGAGAGACCAGGCGCAGGAGCAGGAGCAAAGGAGGGAAGGGGGTTTGAAACCGACAATTGACAAAACTTCTATCGATAATTTCTGGACAGAAAAACCCAATAACAGATTTCGGCTCGACAATATCAGCAGTCTTGCTTATGACCATTAGACTCACAAAGCAGTTGATTTAACTAAATTGACAGCAAACGAACAAAGAATCCAGACCGACGACAGGCAGCAGTCTCATAGTACTAATGTTTTAACGTGGTACAGCCATGTTGCAGCTATATTATGGTGGCAGCACGGTCCACGACCACCTCAGTGCCGTTATGTTTCGTATGGTGAGTGTAGAGAACCGAAGACCCTTTTTACTGGAAACGAGGTATTTCATCTTAGTCCTCACGGGTGACACTGCATCTGCATTTTGATTCTTAACCGAGGAAAGATGTAGATGTTAATGGGTCACAGCATCCATTTACCATTAGGTTGGACTGTGTGCTTGTTTGCCACCCTTATTCTATAAAAAGAAATTCAAGGCTCCTGCCAAATGTGATGGTTAAAGCAAATCTTGCTTACAACAGCAGAGGAATAACACGTGTTCAGCAGTGAACCTTTAGAGGCTAATGAAGAAAATGAAGACAGCGAACATATCCCACCTGTAGTCTAATTTGTTCCATAGCATTAGGGTTGACTTTGCCCTCCGCCTTCAAACCGGACGGTATGTTGGCTTGCGTGGGAACAGTCCGTTGTACCGCCTGCAACATGGAATTATGTTGGTTTAGTACTAAGTATTGATTTAAACTACTTTTACGGATTTTGTGGCGATATAATATGATTTTTGTTTAAGTTTGTGGTTAATAAAAATTAATCGATAATATGTTAAAGTACGATTGTATTTACTGTTGCACTGTACTTGGGGTGGGAAGGCGGAACAACAATCACAAAGTTAATTCCGATTATCCACCCCGTCTAGGATGGATAAATGGACACGCGTTTCCGAGTATCTAACCGGTAGGGTGGATAAACGAAATAACCCGTATAATGGCGGTGTACGAATATCCACTACCCCATATTGTCCCTTGGGTGTTCTAACAGATGGCAGAGGGAAGCAGCATCTTCTAGATAACAAGTCGAAAAAATTTAACCCTGCAGTTGCCAGCCAGTCTGCCATGCGTTGCCACCATGACAATAATTTATGGGGGAGGCTTATGTTGTAATGAACCGATAAGTTAGGCAAAAAGGATGAAGCCCACACTCTGTTCGGAAATTAGTAACAAATCAAGATAGATTTTTCTCAACTTCCAAGGCAAGTCATACTTGGTGCAGCTTTAAAGGCTGCGTCAAGCGTGTGCCACTCACCATGCTCAATTTTGTATGAGATTACTCATTGAAAATTGAGCATGGTGATTGGTAGAATCTGACGGAGGACTGGTTAATGTGGAGGTGTATTCTCCAAAGTTCTCAAAGAAGGCCGACTAATTGTTACAAAAAAGATGTCCCTTCATTCGGCAAAGAAGTGTTATCAGCCACAGGTAACTTGAATTGCAGCTATGATGATACAAAGATAGTCCTTTTGGTATTATAAACTATAATTAAAAATAAACAACAATCTTGGAGTGCGTAGGTTTGTAATCTATAAAGTTGGTTTTCTTTCTCTTATGGTAATCTAATGTTTTTTAACGATACCTCCGTATAGTTTGTGCCAAATCGATTGAGAAAAACGGACATTTACCACAGATATGAGCCGAGTGTCAAAAGGCGTAACTTACAAAATCTCAATTTAGATGTGATAACAATATTTAAAATATTGATATTATTCACACTTCTAGATCACCACATATATTTTTTTGTTTCTTAAATAATATTGTTCCTTAAACTCACTACTCGTGAAAAATGTGTTATAATTTATAATTTCAATTTATGGTAAGTAACGCAGCAATTCATTTAATAACAATTTCATATAAAAAAAATATTTGAAGCAGTATAATCACCATATTGAGCTTCTGCAAATTCATCCATTTAAAATAAACAAAACGCGCGTTATGTCAGTTCGTTCTAAAAGAAATGTGAACAATGGCAACCAGAGATGCGTCACTTTTTTTGGGCCGGTCCGCATGCACCGAATAAAAATATAGCTCTTATATAATATTGAAAATAAAGTTTTATCTTTTGAATAAGTACGTACTTATTCGTTGTCTTTATCACTCGAATCTTTATATGTGTTATAAATCAATGCTTTTTGTTGTTAAATGAATAAAGTACTTTATAACAATAGATGATACAACAATTTTTAATAATTGTTAATAAATATATATTATATCTAACAGAGGACCGAGCTCCTTTGTGTTTTTGAAAAATGTCACGTCACTAATGTATCTCGTGGAGTTACTTAAAGTTTAATATTGAACTGAATTACTTACGCTTTATTTTGATTAATTGCTTTCATCCTGTAGGTCGTGGTTTGTTGGGTCTCGTAGAATCAGAGGGACAGGCTCAATTGAAATTGAAGCAGAGTCCTGATGACCAGGTGATACATTTCCCGCCAATACGGACAACTGTTCACCAGGTTGTGAAGCGCGGCGCAGCTGATCATGAGCCACCTTGCGAGGTCGTCCACTGCCGATAACTTTCTTCGCCAAGTAGCGATCATTTTCTAGTATTCTTCAAACTTCATATGGTTCACTGAATTTAAGGTCTAGAGATGTTGGATTGAGAGGGTTATTCTTAATGAACACGTAGTCTCCTCGTTGGAAGTGATGAATTTTGGCTTTATGTAGATTGAATCTTAGTCTGTCTTGTTCGCTCGAACGGGACATTTTCTATTGTACCTGTTGAGTAAGTGCTTCGATATCAACGGTTTCATTGTCAATATTCACCAAGCAGAGAAGCTCAGGAGGTACACACTACTTTATTCGTGTAATAAGCGTCAATTAAGCAATGCCAGTGACACGATGAGTTGTAGTTCATTGCTAGTTGCAGTTCCTCAAGCGTAGTGTGCCACTACTCTGCTTCGTAGTTTTTTATCACCACCAATGCATTTTTGAGAGTTGCAATGACCCTTTCTACCTGACCATTCGCTCGGCTAACTCCTGGCGCTATGACGTGAATATGTATTCCAGCGTGGTCGCAATAGTCTTTGAATTCACCAAGGAACTCTCTTCCTCTATCGACTATTACTTGAATCGGTGTACCGAATAGATGCACGGTGCGTTTCAGAGCAGCTAATGTACTGTGTGAGGTTTTGTTGCTGGAGAAGTAGAGCAGAACGTACTTTGAAAAAGCGTCAATGGTGACTACGACGTACTACTGGTCATCTGGAGTGCCCAGCTTTCCAGTTACATCCATATGAATAACTTGAAAAGCAGCCTTTGGTTTTTGTATTGGGTGTAATTGGGCTTGGATAGCACCAGATCTTCCTTTGGATGTTCGACATATAACACAATTGTCTACAAATCTTCGAATTATAGAACTCATTTTGTCAAACCAATAAGTTTCTCTGATTTTCTGTAATGTCTTTTCCCAGTCGGGATGTTTCAGTGCGGTGTGAAAAGAGTTGATAATACTCCATTGGAAGGATTTGGGAACAACCAAGTTGCTGACCAAAAACAGGATCGTTTACTTGTTTTTTCAAGACGTTATCCTCCAAGACATAGTCCTCTACTGGGTTATTTTCACTAAGGCTGTCGATTATAGGTCGCAGTTCGTCATCGCGTCGTTGTTCAATTTTAAGCCAGTTCAAGTCTCTTGTCATAATATTGACTGCATACTCAGTCGATCCTGATTAAAGTCAGCTTGTTGGAGGCGTTCACCCTTGCGGTACTCTACCTCAAAGTCGTAGTTTTGTAAGAATGCCCACCAACGATGAATCCTTGGTAAAAGGTTCTTCTTGTGCTTGGACGCTTTCAGTGTATTGCAATCTGTTATCACAGTGAATTTTCGTCCATACAAGTACTGGCAAAAGTGTTTTATAAAGCGCGTAACACTGCTAAAGTTTCCAACTCATAGGAATGGTAGCGGCTTTCCGTTTCAGTAGTCTTCATGCTCATGAAAGCAACCGCATGTTGACGTCCGTCAATCACCTGCACCAGTACTGCACCATATCCAAGACTGCTAGCATCCGTATATAGTTGTATGGGTGCTTTCTCCTGGAATAATGTCGGTACCGGTGCGGACGTTAAGCATTCGATGATTGTGTTACGTGCTTTCTCGTGGTTGTCTGTCTATTTCAATTTAGCACCTTGTTTTGTCAGTTCGTACAACGGTAGCATTATGCGTGAAAAGTTAGGAATATATTGTATCCTGCCAGCCCATTGAACTGTCTCACCTGCTTGACCGTCTTAGGTACTGGAGCTTTCACAAGAGCTTCCACTTTACGTGGGCTTGGTCGTACTTTTCCATCAGAAACCACATTTCCGAGGTATTCGATGGATCTTTTGAAGAAACTGCACTTCTCGGCGTTGATAGAAAATCCGGCATCTTGTAGTACTATGATAATCCGCTCTAGGTGTGATATTCCTTCTGGGAAATCTGCGCATTAACTCAACACATCATCCACATAAACCTGTGCAGCTGTTCCCAGCAACGACGTTAGGGCTCTGTTGATGCATCTCTGGTAAACAGAACAAGCATTACTCAAACCAAATGGCATGGTGAGGTATTCATATAGCCCATCTGATGTGACGAAGGCGGTCTTCTCTATCGAGGTCTCGGCGATAGCAATTTGGTGAAAACCCGCTGCCATATCGAGGCTTATGTAGAAACGGCCATTTGCTAGCTGGTCAATCTGATCGGAAATCAACGGAAGTGGACAATGATTGCGTAGAGTATTTGAGTTGAGTAAGGTGATCTGAAGCTTTCACGTATGATAATATGTTTTAATTCTTGAATTATGGTATGAATCTTTTCCCTTTCCACTGGACTAAGACGATATGGTCTTTCGACGAATTTATCTGAAAAAATTTTTCAGTCTGATCTCCAGCTCGCCGGTATTTTCCCGAGTTTTAGGATATCCGTGAATAAATAAATGCTTGTATTTATTCAGAAGTCCACGTAGTTTTGCGATTTCATCTTCGCTGGTCAAATCACAGTCCAATCGAATCGAAAACAGGAGATTTCGTACTCACATGATTGACAAGTGGGTTATGAACTAACTTAATCCCGTTGGGTGTAATTATAACACGTAAAACTCCAGTTCAATACTAATGGTGTCTATAACGCATATGGTCGTAAGCTTAGTTAAAGATAGTGCTGGAAATTGTCCAATCCCTTTCAAATAGTTGACTGCTGGGCTCCTTTGACTAGGTAGAACTATAGCAACTGATTCGCGCACGATTGAGCATTCTGCCCCACTATATAACACAGCCTCCAATATCTTTTCCCCTATTTTGATGGTGATAGGAGCCAGCTTACTGCCTGCCAAATAGTTAACGTTTGAAGTCAACGAACGTTTCCGTTGGAAGCAAGTTTCATAAGTGTGGCCTGGTTTCTTGAAATGGGTACATAGGTAAAGTTTGTGCTTTAGTGTCGTCCAGCCTCGGGTTTATACTCCAAAGGTTTAAATCTGCAGTCATTGGTTGAGTAGTTTGTCTTCTTGCATATACGATAGCTTGAATTGTTGACAAAATGTTTGTTAGGTATTGTGGAACTTGGGTTTACATGAGAGCGTTTTTTCCGTATAGATATTGCCACTTAAATCAATTCAGGCAAAGTGGTTGCTCTAGCGTTCAGTAATTCGATGCGTAAACGGTCGTCATTAACACATCCAATCACTGCCTCCATAGCGTGCTCATCTCCCAGCTTGTCCTTGGTGACCCTTCTCCATAGGACCCATGCTCGTGATAAGAACTCTGCAATGTCCTTTGAAGAATCGTAAACATGTTCCCTAAACATAACGATGTCTCGGGAGTATCTGTTCTCAGGTTCAAATGTGGTGATGATGTTTTTCCGCAACTCTTTCCATGTACTAGAGGATCACCATCCAATCATCGATCCACATTTTCGCACGCCCGTTCAACAAACTGCAGACTTTCATGCGAACGTCGAAATCACTCGGCTTATATGCTTCGATGGCTTGATCTATATGCTGACACCATTCTCGTACTCCGACGTGGGTATCCGGGTCAAACGATGGCAAGTAAATGTCTTTGATCCTTATTTTTGATTCAGTGGGTGGAGCGCACAAACGTTCTGACATTTACTGCATCATCTCCATCATTTGCATAAGAAATTGTGGTGGTATTCCATTCATCTGCATTTCTTGATTAGGGTAGGTATGTGGTCTTGATTGTAGTATAGCTTCCATTGCTGTATTGGTGACCAGCACAGGCTCTTCATGCTGGTTGTTCACTGGTTCCAGTTGCTCAGGTGGTAAGCGAGCTGACGAGGAAGTGGCTTGAGTAGAGATCCCTTGATATCCCACTTCTGATAACGGAGGACCGAGCTCCTTAGTGTTTTTAAAAAGTGAAGTGACGTCACTAATGTTACCTCCATGGTGATCACTCATTTTCAATTTTAAACACTTCAATGAAAACACTACAAGTATACTGAAAGCCTCGTTTATTCGACCAACAGCGTAACGACGTACTTAGAGAGGTGTACACTGTCCGACCGCCCGAGCGAGACTGCCCTAGCACGCTTTGTGCCGTATTTATAGCGTGGCGGACACGTGTTCACCGGTTTAGGTTAGGTATTGAATTATGTGAATCATGGCGCGACGGACACGTGCTCACCGGTGTGAATCATCGCGCGGCGGACACGTGTTCACCGGTTCAAGTTAGGTACCGATTTATGTGAATCACCAGATATTTACATTTTAATATTCAAACAGTGATTAACTAATGGCTTATCAACTATTTTTAACACAATCAAATTATTAAACAGCGTAATTAATGATTAATCCTTATTATAATCGACGAACTATTGTTGTTGCGCCGATATATCAATCATTATAAAAAAATCATTATAAAGTACTACATATAAAAAGTGCCTATATATTGAATGTTTGTAGCCGTTAAACGACCGAAAGGTCAATGCCCGTTTTTCTCAATCGATTTGGCACGTACTATAGGACTTTCGCCTGTATCGTGAGGGCAGAGACACTTCGCCGCAGGGCCGTCAAAACTCGATTCCTGACGAGCTTCTAAAAGTTCGAGCTCACCTTGGGCTTACTGTCCGGCTTCTCGGAGACAGTCATCTTGGCCATTTTGTCCGCTAGCTGGCGCTGTTGATCATCGACACTCGGTCGTTTCTGTTGCGGCTGCGTCGATGTTGTGTTCGGTGGTAGGGTCTTCGGCAGTGCCTGATACAAAATATTTTTTACTTTAAATAGAAATCATTTCTAATACAAATGTGGCACTGATAATAAGGGTGATGATGCAGGAAGCCAATGGGTCCAGGTCAGAGGTCGGCAACCTTTTAAGTCAGAAGAGTCAAAAATTACAATTAACAAAATTTCAAAGTTTTAAAGAGCCACAAAATTTTTCTTGCCAACCATAAATAGTAGGTACTTGCACAAATAAAGTTTTTTGATAAAAAAAAACTTATCTGTTTATTCATACGAAAAATATATATTTATTCATCATATAACAGTAGTGTTTTTTCACAACAAATTAGAATCTATTTTTTTTTATTAGAATTTGGGAATTAAAACGGGTACCGGATGACTGGTGTAAAGCAGTTATAGTACCAATATATAAAGGAAAAGGGTCACAGCAGGACTGCAAAAACTACCGCGGTATCAGCTTGCTTAGTATTGTGGGTAAACTGTATGCTAAGGTGTTAATTGAAAGAGTTATGAAAGAAACTGATGGAAAAATTTGGGATGTGCAAGCGGGTTTTAGAAAGGGAATGGGGTGTACAGATCAAGTCTTTGCCATGCGCATGATTGCGGAGAAGTTTTTGGCCAAAAACCAGAAAGTTTTTTGTGCGTTCATGGACTTGGAAAAGGCTTATGACAGAGTGGACAGGAATGTGTTATGGCAAACACTGAACTCATATGGGTTGAGCGCTGGTTTGATACAGGCATTAAGGTCTCTTTATAGGGACTCTAGTGCTTGTGTCAGGATCAATGGGGTCTACTCGGACTGGTTTGGCATCCAAAAAGGTGTCAGACAGGGCTGTGTGGCTTCCCCTTGGCTGTTCAACCTATTTATGGACCGGTGTTTGCAAACTTTGAAAGATGAAGAATGTGGGTTAAGAATGGGCGAGTTAACCGTCAAATGCCTTTTGTATGCCGATGATCAAGTCATACTTGCGTCATCGGCGGCAGAGTTGCAAATGATGGTTACATTAATGAACTGGGAATTAAAAGAAAGGGGAATGAAAGTGAACACAAGTAAGACGAAAGTGATGGTTTTTGAAAGAGAAGAAAGCAAAACGGTATGTGAAATAAGAATAGAAGGAGAGTTGATTGAGCAAGTGGATGAGTTTGTGTATTTGGGATGTGTATTTAGCAGGGATGGTAGATATGATAGGGATATAGAACGACGAGTAAATGCAGGTAATAGAGTGAATGGGGCACTACACTTTATTATGAAGAACCAGAATTTGTCAAAACAGGCACGTATGGTAATTCATAATGCTGTGTTAGTCCCTACTTTAATGTATGGTAGTGAAAGCTGGGTGTGGCAGAAGAAGCACGAAAGTAGAATAAATGCTGTAGAAATGCGGTCTTTAAGGAATATGCTAGGGTGTAATCTGAATGACAGGGTGAGAAATTGTGTGATAAGAGATAAATGTGGTATGCAAGATGATGTTGTGACCAGGATTAAGAAAGGAATGCTTCGGTGGTTTGGTCACGTAGAAAGAATGAATGAGGAAAGAGTGACAAAGCAAATTTATATGGCAGATGTGAATGGCCGAGTCGGGAAGGGACGCCCTAGGAAAAAGTTTATCGACCAAATTGGCGATATTTTGAAAATGGGCCACGTTAGAAGTACCCTTAACCGACGAGCATGTATGCGTAGATATATGGATGTAAAGGAGGCGAAAGAGGTATGTCAGGATCGTGCCAAATGGAAGTCCGTAGTCTCTGCCTACCCCTCTGGGTGACAGGCGTGAGTGTTTATGTTTATGTATGTAGAATCTAATTTCTATTATTATTATCTATTTATTAAATTATAATACACACGCATACGCACATGTTTTTTAAAAACGATCATTTACATTTCTAGAAATCCAGTATCAACTTCAAATGGCCCAGTGTAGATTTCGTGTGTGTGAGTGTGATGAAAAGCGAGTACAAGTGGCTGAGAGATAGAAATGGTGCCTAATACTCGTTAATCGATACAGAACGATTCTTAAATGTTTTTTTTTTATAAAATAATTAATATTTGCGTGTAGAACTAAAGAGCCGCAGCTTCACATCCAAAGAGCCGCAGGTTGCCTACCCCTGGTGCAGGTGGCTCAAGATCATGTTTTGTACAATTCCTAAGTAGAGGTTTTTGTTCAACAATGGCTGTAATGGATGGATGAAAGGGTTTCAAACGAGGGTTTGTTGGTATGTGGATTAAACTAGACCCATGGACACCTACATCTGATCTTGATTAAGAATCAAAATATTATTGTGTTGTCACCTTTTCGGGCTAAGATGGAATGTCTTATTACCTGTAAATAGGTCTCTCGCAGCACAATGATAAAGGGCTTTTCTCAGTCGAGTCCACTCATTTATATTCCAGCCACAATACATCTGACTGTATTTTTTTATAGAATAAGAGTGACAAACTAGCACACAGTCCACCTGATGGTAAGTGGATGCTGTGGCCCATAGACATCCACATCTATCCTCGATTAATAATCATAACGCAAATACGTTGTCACCCCCTGGCTGACCCCTGACTTCGATGGGATGCCTCGTTTCCAGTAAAAAGGGTCTCCGGTTCACTCACTACACTCACCATACGAGACAGCAGTATTAAGTTGCTATTTTACGCTGGTTATTTTGTGAGATCTTGATCCTTCCTCGGTCGAACCTACCCATTCGTGCTGAAACCATAAATTATAGCTGCAGTGTCGCTCTACCACGTATCAAAATTATTTATTAGTATTTAACATAACCTATACGTTGATTTACGGCCACTTTCAAAATACTAACTCTGCTAGGCTGTAGGAATCTTTTACTGCCTACGAATCTGTTTGAATAAATGCCACTTTAACCTATTTCTATATATTTATTTATCTGTGATTGGTCTGAATAGTATAGAGCCAGTTTAATTACAGGCTATGTATGGATTCCATCTTAGTCCTGAGTTGACAACTCATTTTGAGCCCTTATTTGAAATTAGTTACAGGTGTTAATGTAATGCAGTAGCAATTTAGTTAACATAAGGTATACTGAAAGTTTGTTTTTCATTTCAATTTTGTCAAAAAAGTCTCTAGTATACAAGTATAATAATATAATAAATTAAATACTGTTTCAAGGGTAAGTATATGATTAGCTGTTGAAACGAAATAACGACAATATGAATAAAGACAATATATTTACACGTTTATTATTTGAAATTTTAATATAAGTATTTTATTATCATATTTTACGTGTAAACATCTTTTGTGCAATGACTAATATATGTTTATGTTTGTTATATATTAAAATAATAATTATGTATCAGTAAACGAATTTTATATGTATACTAGCTCTCCGCCACGGCTTCGTACGGTTGATTTCTGAAACTCGACAACAGCGCCACCTACCGGGTACAGTCAGAGTTTTTAAACCATCCAGGGCTCCACTAAATACACAAACAAAAATTCAACAAATCGTTCGATCTGTTTTCGAGTTTTAGCGAGACTAATGGAACGCAGTTGATTTTGTGCATGTATATAATGTATGTATGTATAAGATTGGAGTACCTACGTATATATGTAATTGTACCTGCAACAATATTTCATCACGCCACAAACTGAGAGGCAGAAAATGTAGTGAGGAATTAAGGCCGCACTTTATTAACTTACTTATATACGTGGTAACATTACTATTAAACAAATAAATAAATAAAATAATTAACGGAGCTCACCGGTGGCTTTAGTTGCGGTTGTACCGGCTTCGCTTGCTTCGTCTGCTGCGGAGCGGCTTCGGTGGTTTGCGTCTGAACTGTCACCTGCTTCCTTTCCTGCGCTGGTTCCTGTACCTCGCCCTGAATAAGCAATAAGCTTATTTTACTATATGGAATGTAGTGTTGCCTAAATTCATAACATAATAATGTTCTCCAGATCGAATTTCAGTGACGGCGGCCAGTCTCAACGGAGACTAGGCATCGGCGCAGGACAGGATTACAGTGCCCAAGTGTATGCGCAAGCACAGGTGCACTCTCTATTCTCTCACTCTCATAGTCCAAACTAAAAACCGTCACGACCGGGGAGAGATCAGGCGCAGAATCAACGGCTTTACGTGCTTGTACATAACATAATCAACCACTGCCGTAACCCAGAGTACTCTTGACTAAACTTATTATTAGATATAGCTCAATCTGTAAATGTGGGCTAGACGAAGGATGCGCCAATCAGCTGTTCTTCGAACTGCCTAAGCTTTCATAATATATGATATCCTGCCAAATCACTTCCCACATCCTTAAAATCTTTCTGCTGTTTACATCTTGTGTAAATATATTTGTGATGTGATGATTGTGCTTTGTGGCATTTCTTAGGGGAAGCCTATGTTCAGCAGTAGACTTGTGAAGGACTGTGGTGATGATGATGATGTATTTCGTTGTAAATTGTAAATCCTTTAACAAAATTGACAACTCACAATATAGTAAAGTAAAGTTACAGCCTATATACGTCCCACAACTGGGCACAGGCCTCCTCTCATTTCTGAGAGGGTTTTAGGGCAAGGAATAGTCCGCCGCGCTGCCCCAATGCGTGCTGGCGGACTTCACATGTCTTCGAAATAATTTTTTTCTTATTTCTCAGACATGCAGGTTTCCTCACGATGTTTCCCTTCACCGACGAGCACGTGGTAAATCAGCACTTAAAATTGCAATTAACAATTTCATTGGTGCCGGCGGGGATCGAACCCGGTTTGCTCGCGTATTGTGAAATTTACAGCGAGCGCTAACCATCTGAGCTACCACGGCTCACTCTCAATATAATTATCTTTTACTCGTCCCGCCCATGACTGATTTGACATGGGCAGAACTGTATCACAAGAAGTTTTTTAAAAATATAGAATAAGGTTGACAAACGAGCACACAGGCCACCTCATGAAAAAAAAATGTGACATTAAATTAAAACAATTTAGGGACTGAAATGAAATGCTTTGTTTCAAGTAAAAAGTGTCTCTGGTTATCTACAGTCACCATACAAAACACAGCAGCATAAAACTGCTATTTTACGCTGGTATACCTCTGAGAGCGTGATCCTTTCCTGGTCGAGCCGACACATTCGTGCTACTACCATAATATAGCTGAAGCGTGGCTCTACCACGCATAAAACATAAAAGAAGAAAAAGGCCTTGAACACGTGTCGTAATGGTAAACACACCCGAATGATGGGTGCAACATGGGTTTGTACCCCAAGTATATATGACCAAATATACAAATTGATTTCCAGGCCTATAAGTATTGTTAACTGTCCCCGTGTCTGACACTGCATCTGCCTTCGGTCTTGTGAAAGTTTTAAGGAACAGAGGAAATGGGAATGATGCATCAAAATTAACTTACATTTGTAGTTTTGCATTTCTGCTTCTTTTTGTTAAGTATGGACCGAAGTCTTTCTCTTGTTTCGTTGAAATTTCTCGGTACGGGAGTCGTTAGTGGTGGCTGCAAAAGACATGCATTATATTTTTCACAAATATTAAAAAATGTGTCAACGTAATTACTTTGCGCACACGATAAGTTTAATAACAGAGTAGTTTTAGTACAGCCAACAAAAACATGTACTGAAAGTACTATATGCCTTTTTACTTAGTAGATGTTATGTGTCATATTTGGGTTTTAATTTTTAACTTTTCTTTTAACTTTGTTTTCTATTAGTGTAAAATGATATTGAATATCAGACCCCTTACTCGAATTCGGGCCTTTGCACTCGAGTTCGGTGAGATACGTATCTGCGTACGCCATGACATCCGCCGAAACCGCGTCGAGTATCTTGATTCGGGTAACCAAAACTGAGGCGAGCGTACTCGACTCCGTTCATTTACATTTAGTAGTTTGTCCGAATTCCATAGGCAATCGAATACGGACAAACAACCAAGTGTAATTGCGCCATAACTTTGCTGGTGACCACACTATAATGGATATCTCATGTACTGACAGCATTATGAGAATCGGTCTATAAACCCGCCAGGCAAGGACGGTTATAATTAGTTGAGCACGCACAAATATTCCAAGCGAAGTATTCTGGATAAATATTCCGAAAGCACTATGAAACAGTGAATTAAGAAAGGCTGATGAAGTTACAGAATGCACAATGATAATGATGTACTCCTTGCAGAGCATAGTTGTGGTAATGTGGAAGATATACACGAGCAAACATAGACACTGACACGTAACTGTCCATATCTTATATAACGGCGATGCGACAGGATCGGAGGCAGACTAGGATGCAGTGTCAGAAACACGGGGATGATCTCCAATAATTTGTTTTAGCCCAAATTATTGGCTCTAACAATAATTCCAACTTCCGATTCAGAAAGCAAATATCACAACCCGAATTAAGCCACCAGGTAGACACATGTTTATAATTAAAGTTGCAATAATTCTACTCATTTAATAACTTTATTAAGGTATAACTCATAGGCCTGCTAACCTTGTTTGACTAACAGTGATTGTTGCTCGTATAAATTAACTAACAAACGACTTAGAATCCACCTGATGGTAAGTAGCTAGTGCAGTCTATGGACACCTGCAGCCATCTTCCAAAAAGAAAGCTTTAAATGAGTTGCACTTTTCATTACCTAGACTATTATCGCGTTTGTTAATTTTAATATTGTACAAAAAAAAATTCTTTGAACTAGTTTGTTATTTAAAAATAATATAAGTTTAGTCTGGATTCGTAAACATTCTTATTTTTTATACATTTACATTTACAATTCAATGAATTTAAAAAAAAAACTATTTTCTTTCATAAAATTTAAAAAGTTTCTGTCTGACACCGTCCGTAAATTCATGGATACCCTATGCGCCCGAGTGATATAATTACTGTAAAGATCACCGCCCGCGCTAGCTACCTACACAACATTCCAATAAAAACACAATAGGTACACAACACATAACCTGTGATTTCATCCTGGCTTAGGACAGGCAAAAATTGAAGAATTAAGGAAAAATTGAGATTTTACTAAAAAAAATGTCGTTATTTTTCATTGAATTTACGTTCTATAAGTGAAACTAAACCACTGGTTTCAAGGATAACGGTGTTTACACTAACACCCTGTATTATTGCGCTAATTTTTGACGTCTTGTTGATTGCATCAAAGCAACTTATTTAATTGCCGACATCAACAATATCATTATCATCTCGGAAAAAAAACTTACTGCTGGGAATAGTCCTCTTCAATTGTAGAGTAATAATATAATATATAATTTTTCACATATGACCACCATACGTGGCCCCTACATGGAAACAAATTATACTTATAATATAAAAATATTAGTTTTCACAACTGTAGATATTATGGTCCTTCGAGCCAGACTGTGAAACTTTTTGCCTAGTCCAGAATTTCAATGCAAATGCAAAAACCGTTATTTCAAAGCCTGAATTATACGAATCATTTAAATTTCCTTAAAACTATACTGTAACTACTATAAACGTATGGTATGCTTTAATTAAAGGTGGAAAACGTCATAGCCATCATTGCCGCATGTAGGACATTAGGCAAACATTAGTGTACGTAACGAAAGTTATTTCTACAAAAGCTACTGCTACTCACCGCGTGTCCGAAAACAGTGCAGTAGCAGCACGAGCAAGGCTGGTCCGACACCGTTTCACCTGCGCAGGTATTACCACCGTTGTGGCCCACTACACGGACAAACGAAAACAAATTATAAAGGTTTATAATAAGAAACACACAGCTCGCTTCTTTTAGAAAGAATGTCAGTATGGTGATAATATTGGAGCTAGGTGGACCCCGCACAACGTGAACTAATGGCATTGTAAGTCACACTGCAGCATAAAACAACTGCAGCACTTCAGTTTAACTAGGGAAGGACAATGCTCCACAAAAAGTCAGCGTGAAATAGCTGCAAAAATGACACAAAAAGACCCTTTTTATTGGTAACTAGGCATTCCGTGCATTTTGATTTTTTATCAAGGATAGGTTTGTGTTCGGGCCGCAGCATCCACTTACTATCACGTTAACTGTGTGCTAGTTTGTCACTCTTAAAGTATATAAAAGATAGGTAGTGTATTAGTAGTATAGTTGTAGCACGAATAGGTCAGCTCGACCGGGGAAGGACCACGCTCTCACAGAATATCAAAGTGAAAGAGCACCTTAATGCCGCTGTATTTCGTAAGGTGAGTGTAAAGAACCGGAGACCCTTTTTACTGGAAACGAGGCATTCCATCGTAGTCCTCACTGGTGACAACGCATCTGCATTTTGATTTGTAATCGAAGATAGATGTAGATGTCTATGGGCCGCAGCAACCACTTACCATCAGGTGGACTGTGTGCTCGTTTATCACACTCTATCTTATAAAAAAAAACTTCATCTTAGCTCTAAGATATAATAATGCTTTTCTAGCCTCTTCAATTTTAAGTGTCGATGTCTCATCCACCACTTAACATCAGATGAATGGTTAACTCGTCAGTCATTAATACTAAAAGAAATACTCAGGTAGACGAATAAATTGCAAAACAAGTAAATTCAAGTCTCAACAATGTAGTTTTACCAAATCTATGGCAAATATAAATTAAAAACCACTTTAAAACTAACCTTTACATACGTGCTGCTGATGCGAAGCGTTCTCGCAAACCTTCGCCGCCGGCTTCGCTTGCTTCGGAAGCGGTTTAGCTTGCTTCGCCTCCTTTTTCTTCTCTTCTAAGCCATTCTTCGACTTCGCTTCCATATCGTAGCACTGCTTAACAATGTCCCCCAAGCAAACCGGGCCGGTAACGTCCGAACTTTTGCAACTATTGCAAATACAGTCATTTGTCCACTTGCAGTCACTTTTCGGTGTGTCACACGCGTCGCTTTCAGACTTCGTCTGTCCATTCCGCATCATGTTTCTAAACGCAACGGCGTTTAAAGTCTGCTTTGCATTCCTTAACGCCTGTGCAGAGTACTTCGCAAGTAACTCCGGATTCTGCGACCCTATTACCGATAAAGGTGTTTTATCTTTAGAGACCTCGGGATCTCCGTCATCGTTTTTATCGTCAGTCTTTAGTTTTAACGTTTCTTCGATGTCCTCGTCAAGTAATTTTGCATCTATACTAGAACATATCGAGATTACATGTTTTTTGTACGTTTCCGGAACCGGTAGACCTTGTGTGATATAAGATTTGATGGTATAAAAACTTTCTAATAGTGTTTTTTCGCCTTTTGAAGTTAGAATAGCTTCGCATTTAGCTAACAGAGCATCATTTTTGCACTTTCTATCGTCTTTGTCGGTTTCCTTGGGTATTTCTTTAATTTCAACTACTTCAGAAGCTTTCTCCTCTTTTTTAACCGGTTTAAGTGGTTCAGCGTTAGTCTTTTTGGCGTTTCGAACAGCGTTAGATTTGCCGATGATTTTGCTAAGACCTCTAGCGGCAAGGATTTCCGCTTCACTGGCGATCTGAGTCTGTGAATTAACTCTAACTGGAGGTGAGATCTTTGCGAATGTCTCCTTGAGGGATTCCTCTAGTTGTTCTAACCTGTACAACATAACTAACCATTCGTCACCCGTTAGCGCCTTCTTGGGCAACGTCTGCATAAAAATTCTATTCATTCCTCTCAAACGCTGTGTGAAATAGTCCTTCTTTCTGTCCAAACTCATGGCAGCAAAGTCAGGAACGCTGTCAGGCTTTTTGGCCGGCAGTCCTGTATGTTCCAGAATGACATCAGCCGCTGTCTCGGGATCCGACAAAATCCAATTGATCAGCTGTTGCGAATCAATGCAACGACGAACAACGTCAATGTATTTAAATTTTAAACTTTTCACTGTGTTCTTTTGATCCTCCGTCATCTTGGACAATTTCATGATTAGCAAGTCAAAAGTGTTTCCAGCCTGTGGACTGAGTAACTTCGTTATTTGTTTTAGCGATTCCTTAGAAGCGGCACAACTCTCATTGTCAGAGTCAGTTTCTCCTTCCATGCTTTTTCTCACTTCTTCAATCTTTTCCGTTATTTTATCGGTATCGTTAGCACATTGTTTTCCCGCTAGATCTTGGATGTAAGATTGGAACTTATCAAGCATTGTTTCTATTTCATTTTCTAATAACTCGAGGGGTATACTTTTAAATTTCGCCGCAACATAATGCTTCCAGGAGTTGAACCTGGACCTAACTAGTTCTCTCAACTCGTCCATACTGAGCGCGTCTTTAACTGAATTATCAAATAGTGTAGACTCTTTCGTATACATTTCCGGAGTTAAAGTGGTTTTCCCGAACAAATCTCTATCCTCCTCTAGACATTGAACTAGCTCCGGACTTTTGTTTTGCTTAACATATTCAAACACTTTGTTTATCACAACTTGAGCTGATATGGAAAAAAGTAGATCTTTAAAATCTTCCTTATTGTTAGTTTTATTCTTCATTAAACCCTGTAGGTCTTTATCGTCTTTCAGCAACTCCGAAATATCCTTACTATCTAACTCGAAGGTCATTGTACCCATAACTTCGCTGTTGTCAAAATTATTCTTAATCCTACGGTTATTTTTACGCTTGGCAGTGTTTTTAGTGACCTTAACGCTATCTCTTGTCTTATTCAACTTTAGTTCGCGGATCTGTTTCAACGTCTCCGGTGTCAGCTGTGCTTCGTTATTTACATCGGGCAGGCTGTTCATGATGGACGCGAATTCCGGGAGCTCAAAGGACGTGTTCGCGAATTCGGACAATTTCGACGCAATTTCGGGCATGTTCGCTAATATTTGTGGCATGTTCTCTACTAATTCGGCTAATTTCGTGTTCGCCGCACCCATGTCTATCGATTCGTCGGAATCTATCTTTTCTAAAAACTCGGCGTTCTTATCTAAGCTCATCATCACTTCACAGATGTGCTCTAAGGATAAGGGGCCGTCTGGGGTCTCTTCTTTCTCCTTCCCGTCTTTATCTTTAATACTGTTGTAAGAGTTAATTATATTCTGACACTCTTCCATCGCTTTCTTTATTTCCAAGCCGAATGTGACGTATTTGTAAACGTTTTTTTCTTTATTAGAATCGACTACAATTTCGCAGTTGTCCGCGTCGGTTGCTTTTATATCAGTTTCACTCTCCTCTTTCACTAACAGTGGAGTACGGCGTGCGTTCAAAGGAATATTCAATACCTCGGGCGTTATTTGCGATTGGAAATCTATCACTTTGTCGTTCATATCGTTTCTTTGTAAAAATTTATTGACAACTAGCAATCGTTGGTTCGGTTTGGGGGAATAAACTGGCATTGGCTCGGATGACGTGGGCGACATTTCTTGCAGCGGTGGGCTGACGGACTCTGGAAACTTCGTTTCCTGTTCCTTCGTAGCTTCCTTGTTTTCTTGGCTGTTTAAAGCGAAATTGGCGAATTTGGCTAGACAATCTTTCATTTCTTTACATATATCTCCATCCTTCTCCCCCACTATTGTTTCAGTGTCGCTGATATTTTCTTCTCTATCTAACGGGAAGGCTTCCGGTGGTTCTACTTCTGATTTTGCGTCGTCCTTTGACTCTGCCTTCAAATCCTGTGATAGTTCCATGTTTTGTACTGGCATTTTATGTTTTAGCATTTGGAGTATTTTGTGTGGTTTGCTTATCGACGGCGAGACGGGCTTAAGTTTTCGCTTAGGTGCAGTGGTGAGACGAGGTACTTTTGGGCTAGCTGTCCTCCGTTTGCGTCGCGGTAGATCTTCTACTAATGTTACATTGCTATCTGGAAGACTAAATAAAACAAACATATTAACATATGTTTATATGAAGTTGTTTACATGTTGACTAAAATATTAGCCACATTGATGTGTACTGCACGAACATTGATATTGGGTATGTTCCAAAACGTTTCCAGTATACTGCCGAATACAAATGACGTTATCAATTGACATTATATTGTACTGGCGTCCTCCTAATCGATCCGCAAAAAAAATTGTGTGTGCTATGAAGACCTAAAATTTGTTTTTATTTATTCAAATACAAAAAATTATAGAATAATTGCTGGTATCTCCATTAAGAGGATAAATATATTGGAACACAAAAAAATATGAACACTTTTCCAATATGGCCAAATGATGATATCCTATTTTTTAATAATTAAATCATTGGTAACTGGATCGAATAATATCTCTACTTTAAACTAATATTAGCTTATGTATAGTTGAATCGACTGGAATACTATTTGTGAACTATCGAAAAGAAAAAAATCCTATAAAATGTATATGGGAATAAAAGCAATATTACGATTATATTGACATTAATATTATATTGACGTCATAGTTTCTTGTAGTTAAATTTTATTTAAAATGTTATCTTATTGAAATTTTAAGTAATACAATTTATAACGAATTAAAGTTTAAACCTATATATTTAACGTCCCACAGGCCACGTAATGTCGGTAACGGTAATGTCCACTGCGCTGTGCTGCCTCAGTGGGTGTTGGCGAACTTCATATGTCTACAAAATATATTTTTATTTCTCGAGCATGAAGGTGAGCATGAAGGTATCCTCACGTTTTCCTTCACCGCGGTGCACATGATATATCAACATTTGAAATTGTAAGTAACAATTTCAAATGTGCCATTTCATTGGTTCTGAAATATTGATTACCAGCTGCTGGCCCCTTGGGTTCCGTTGCCCTATTCCGAATTTCCATAACTTCAGCTCATCGCTTTCTTTGTGGCTAGTTTTGCGTTAAAGTCTCCCATCAACACCGTATAGTAGGTTTTGGAGGAATGCATGGCTCTAGAGATATCCTCATACATTTCCTCCACCACTCATTGGGGTGTGCCGAGGTTGGTGCATAAATCTGTATGACCTTCAGCGAATACCGTTTGGTGATTCTGAGTATCAGGTACGCGACCCTCGTCGACACACTCTTCAACGTTGTTGAAGAGAGACTTGTGGACGATAAATCCGACACCTCCTTGGGACAGATGGTCACCCTCCAGGTTGTCCAAGTTGCCGGACCGTGTCCTCCCCCTCTCTTCAGACCTCGGATAATCCTATAATATGCCTATACTATATAAATACTTATACTTTAAATAAGTACACTTAACATAAAAAGTAATCTTAACATAAACCCTTGCCTGGATTTAAACCAGATAATTTTTAACAGACTTCAAAAATGATGAGATATAAAGGTAAAAATATGTTAATTTAACTTCAATTTATCTCTTCTCAATTATTAAAATTATATTGAAATATCGAAATATTTATAATATTAGTAAAGTTACTGGAACAGTTACCTTTCTCTCTCTTGCCTGAGCTGATCTTCAAGCCACATTCTTAATCTGTGATAGTAGAGTTGCTGGTCACGCATGTGCATCACTTTACGTCGGACCTGATGATACAAAACGTAACGTTAGTTCGCTACGTACATGTCTAGCGATGTATCTCCTAATGTTAACTAGACAATAAAAAAATTCGACCGATCATGGTACCAATGGTAAATTTTAGTTTATTTTATTTTATGGCACCATTTAGTATTTACAGGGGAATATCGTCCCATCACTTTCAGCAATGATAAAGCATTGGTGTAGCCATACTTAAAATGTGCGTATATTAAAAAATATTATTTCCTAAATGTATAAAAACATCGTATACTATTTATTCATAGTAATAAAAATCTCAATCAGCTCTTGCAATGTCAGTTTTTAATAAAAGGCAAAGCAAAACAATTATTTCAATTTAAATAAAGGAAAGCAATTGCATCTTTTTGTCTGTGGTATCACTTACTCACAGGAAAAAAGCTAATTTTCAAAATCACATTTAATCTAACTGATGTGTTTATGTAAGTGTGCGTGACTACGTGTCTATGAGTGTATATGTGCGTATGTGTATGCGAGTATAGGTGCGTGTCAGTGGCGAAGCTATTGCTCCAAACTAGGGCAAGCCCAAGATATGGTTTTGTCGTTTTAGCAGTTTAATAAAAATACACCAATCTTGAGCTGTCTCCACTCTTTAGTTTCATATTCAGTGCTGTCAAGGACGTGTTTAACAAAGCACACAGAAGGCATACCACCGCTAGATAGATTGTATGAAATATGCAATTGCACAGCTTCGGTGGTTTTGAAAAGAGCCGTTTGAGTTTGCTTGAGATATTTACAAACAATACAATATATGAACAAAAGAAAAGCATGAACAAATTACAAACAAACTATGTACAAAGTTAAAAAAGGGACGCCTGGCAGATGTGAAACCTCGAAATTATATTTTGTTTAAGTTATATGCATAAAAGAACAGATTACGACAGGAATTAGATAGTTATAATGAGAAGATAAAGCTTTGCTAATTTTTTACCATAAAATAATGACTATTTATTATATAATTATTCATTTTCAATTTATAATAAACCATACAAAATGATATTCAATTCATAATAAACCGTACAAAATGATATTTTTAAACTCATATGGTAATATATAAATATTAAATTAGCCGATAGCGTATTTGTGCCATCTAGCATAATCTTTAGGTACCATCGTGAGAATCAACCAATTTTCGTTCGACTTTGCATATAGAATTAAGTAGATGGCGCTATTAAAATTTTATATACTGGAAATAACTAAAGGGAGTATTCTTTAAAAACCTCAATACATTATTCTGTATTCTTTTGATTTATTACATTAAAATTTGGGCTTCACGTTAAAAAAAAGACTGTAACACTTATTTCCTATAAAATTAAACCTAGGTGTCTCATATTTTATGCTGCCGTTCAAAATGATATTTTTAATTCATATGTTAATATAAAAATTGAGTTATTTATACCTTTAAATATGCCTAACTTAATTAAACTTTAATACTAAAGAGTCCTGTACCTATATTTAAAGTATGAAGAAATGTTTATTGAATATTAAATTTCATTTTTAAAGATTTCACCTTTTCCTCGTCGATTAGCACTTCAACACACTTATATTCATCACAATGAACACCATTATCCTCCCATTTTCACTGAAAATCTTTGAAAAAGCATAAATTTTTAACAAACACAACAAAAACAAACATAAACATTGAAATGTGAAGTGAACTTGCATACGAATGGCCCGCACCCCATTCGCTAGTCGCTAACGCACTCCTAAACAACTTCATGGCAAAGCCAAGCTTGTGGCTCAATAGTAATTGCTATATAAACATTTCGTAGTTATATTTCATTAGAGAACATTTTGCCACAGGTTACAAAGGGAGCCATCGCCTTCTCGAAAGCCCGGTAAAAAGCCCACGCGTGCGAGGGCGAAAACCAATCGCTCAATTCAACTCTCCTTATATGTATGACAGCAGTATTCGTAAGGCTACGAGGTCGAGCAGAATGCGCGGGAAATTTGAAATGGTTTGAAACAGTTTACGAGTTATTTTATTACTTGATATAATTGATTGATTCATCTTAATGAGGCAAGCCGGGCTTCTGGGCTTGTATAGAGGCTTCGCCACTGGATCGTGTGTATATGCGCATGTAGGTGCGTGTAGGTGCGTGTGTGTATGCGCGTGTAGGTGCGAGTGTGTATGCGCGTGTAGGTGCGTGTGTATATGCGCGTGTAGGTGCGTGTGCAGGCTGCAGGTACATACCTCCTTGAAGCGCTGCAGGTGGTACTCGGGGCAGAGCGCGCGGCAAGGCTGGTGCGGCGGCGCGGGTGGCGGCGAGCCGGGCGGTGGCGGCGCGGGCGCGCACCCGCCCACCAGCTGCGTGCACACCTGCACGCACACACACACTTTCATCTCCCAACACGCCGTACAAACCCAAACACTGCACGTCATCTCGTGCCATACCCACGGTGATAGCAATGCCCAAAGGAGAAAAGGCTTTATATACACGGGCATAAGGTTGATTCTTGCTTGCATCAACAGTTGGATGCGTTATCTACTTTTATTGCACATTTTATTACTTGACAGAGGTCATTGACCCTTGTGGTCAGGAACATTCTCGTGTAACGTGATGCAATATCTAACTGTGTGTCGTTATAATAATAATCATAATGTTCTCCAGACCGAATTTCAGTCACGGCAGCTAGCCTCAACGGAGACTAGCCGTCGGCGCAGGACCGGATTATAGGGCCCAAGTGTGAGTGTGAGTGCAAACACAGGTACACTCTCTATTCCCTCACTCTCATAATCCGATAGTACGGTAAAACGACATGACCGGAAAATCATCAGGTGCAGGACCAACGGCTTTACGTGCTTTCCGAGGCACGGGGTAGGACACCATCTACTTCCTGACTCCGGGCATTTACTGAAAATTTCTTGAAGGAAACACTTAAATTTTTTTTGGGCCAACCCACGATTCGAACCCAGGACTTCATGATCGGCAGTCGCATTTCTACAACAACTAGACCAACGAGGTAGTTGTTACTACAGCCCTCCCCATCGATTTCGATGACTATACCCTGATATAGCTCGCTAGACCATACTTGATCTTAAATACCCTTTGCCATTCATGACAGTAGAATTGGGTACCTACTATATCATCATCACCATTACAGCCCTTCAAAGGTTCACTGCTGAACATAGGCATACCCCAAGAAATACCACAAAGCACGGTCCTGAGCCACCTACATCCAACAACTTCCTGCACGTCTTACCAGGTCGTTACTATATAGTGCGGGGCCACGCTTCGGCTACCAGTACGAGGCTGCCACTCAAGAACCGTTCCTCCCTATTGTTTATCGGTTCTTTAAGCTATATGGCCGGTCCATTCACCACTTCAGCTTACTAATCCGTGGGGCTATGTCGGTTACTCTGTTTATACTGAGGATATCCTTATCGAATACCTTTAAACGAGCAATTCTTGTATATTCATAATCGGAATCTCGGAAACGGCTCCAACGATTTTTATAAAATTTTGTGTCCAGAGGGTTTCGGGGGCATTAAATCGATCTAGATAGAATTCATTTTTAGAAAATGTTGTTTTGTCCGTCTTGTCGGGCAATGAAAAACTCTTATAATATAAGAAGGTAAATTTTGGCAATGTGTTAATGATTATATTAGCTCAAACGGGATATCGGGCGGTTCCGAAATCATAGTACCCTGATTCGAGTCCTGTCTTCGGTCCGACTATTTTTCCTTTTTAAGCTATTGCATAGCTTCTATCGCGGGCCTTGAGCGCGGGGACCGAATCCAGAAATTCCGTAACGAAAAAAAACCTCACGCTCCCCACTCCGACGGGCACGGAGGTGTGGCGTTGAAAGCCGTGCATCGTCTAACGTCGTTTCAGTTCGGCAGACTTCGGCACACTGCAGACTTCGGCACGGTGTTTGTGTGCGTGCGACTAGACGTATGCGTGTACACTAGCTGCTAACTCAATGATAAAAATTCCTGAATAACCTACATGTACTGCAAGATATTAAAAATATTAACTTCTCATTTATTCAAGAAGAGAAAAAAAATTGTTTTCTTATCGGTCACTACGCTCAAAAAGTGTAACTTGATTTAATATCAAAGACTTAACTGCATAAATAAAATAAATAAATAATTATAATTGCATAAGTTGATAAAAAATGCTATGCAATAGCTTTACCGCGGCAGTCACCGAGTGCCACACGTATTTTTTTTTCAAGTTCCCTTTTTTTTGCTATTATTTCAAGCCCCCTTTTTAGTAGAGATGGGCCGAATATTCATTTTATATTCGGTATTCGGCATATTCGGCAGCTTTACCGAATATGCGGCTAAATCACCGAACATTCGTTAGTGTCCAACGTATTGAAATGTACGAATTCAGTAATGCGATGTCTTTTACTGGATCTACTTACTCTAGAGTGCCTCAAATGCGTGAATCTATACATTTATGTTTTTGAGGCACTGTAGATTTGTTTCAGATTATAGCAAATAGTAAATATATAAAAAAAAATTGGAATCAAACAAAGAAACATTACATTAGATTAGTACCACTTCCCTTTACTTTGATCTTCAGTTTCTCTAAAATAAGTCCAAATAGTAAATCTCCTGCCGCTCATTTTTATCATATAATTAGCAATTTTCACTAAAAACATAAACATGTGCCGGCAATTTGCTCAGTACTAGATGATGCAATAACTGTCGGTGTGGCGGGAAGCGAGAGGTAGGATCCGGCGCTAGTCCCGCGCGCTTTACGGTAACAAGTTTCGACATAAATTGGTTACGTCCCGAGGTTATCCTTCCGAATAATGTTCGGCCGAATATTCGGTTCGGTAGAACTTTTACCGAACATTCGGCCGAATATTCGGGTATTCGGTTTCATTAGTTCTGATTCATAAGTCAGGTCTCATTAGCTTCGATTCATAAGTCATCAGTGGCAACACGCGGTTGTACAATCTTGTTTTTAAGTTTTGAAGTATACCCGACAAGAAATTGTGTCGGTCAAAGTTGAACTTACTTAGTTGGACTATTTGTCCCAAGTAAACATCGTATCGTAAACAAATCGAAAGTGAATGACGTACTCGCCATTAAGGTTAATACCTTATCCTTTCCAGTTCAGTAGCTTGGAAACATCTTCCGATGCAGCAGTAACGAGTTTCGGGGATATAATGTCATCCTGTCTTACACCTCCCTGCAATTGGATAGGTTTCGTACTCTGGTTCTGTATCTAACCAACATTTCAACACTTCGATATACCGACAGTTAACTTGGCAACGAAGGGGACTTTCAACGGAATCAAAGGCTTTCTCATAGTCCATATACGCAAGTCAAAGTGGATGATTATACTCTTTGGTTTTCTGTAGAATTTGCCAAAGGGGTGTATATGGTCTATGGTGCCTTTTCGGAAAGTGGCTTGTTCGGGAGGCCTTCGAAAACAACACATAGACGCAGCTCGGAAGAGAAATCAGTCTGTCGTTCCCCAAGAGAATGTTGTCGCCTCTCTTGAAGAACAAAACCACTTCTGCTCCCCGCCACCATGGAGGACGGAATTGAACAGCTTCTGAGGGACTTCAAATACTGGTTTTCTACCTGTTTTATGAAGCTCCACTGTAATTCCATCTATCTCCAATTCCAGCCATTCTAACCTCGCTTAGACTGACATCCCAGATATCATTAGAACAGTGTCGGATAAAATTTGCTCTTGAATCGTTACTCACACTTGCGTGTGGCTTCAGGGATGACGTGTATAGCTGCCCATAGAACCTATCAATCTCGCTTAAAATCTCGGATGTCCCGGAAACGATGCTACCACATTCGGTCTTCATCTTCGACAGTTGGCTCTTTCTGGTACAGATTTCTGGCAAAGACTTTGGAGTCCTAGTTTCACTTGATCGCTTCTTCAATACTAGCTATGTTGAAGTTGCATAAATGCCGTCGCATGCATTTGGAGATCTGTCTGTTCAGTTGCCTGTATGCTGTCATATCTGCTGAAGACTGCAGCTTTATTTCCCGTGTAACAGAAATGAGACTAAAAGTGTGATTGGAGTTTTGTGAACTTCAGCGAGGGGATTTTACGTGGTAGAGTCATGCTGCTGTTATATTAGTAGTATAGTTGTGGCACGAATGTGTCCTCACGGGTGACAACGCATCTGCATTTTGATTTGTAATCGAGGATAGATGTAGATGTCTATGGGCCACAGCAAGCACTTACCATCAGGTGGACTGTGTGCTCGTTTGTCACCCTAACCTATATTAAAAAAACTTAATAGTAGGCATAATAATTACTATAATAGGGATGTTATTCAAGATTATTAAAGTTGAACCTTTTATTAAATCCATAGAATACTATAATACACAATAAAATGGCTGTCAACCGAGTTGTACAAATGTTGTACGAGGATAGGCGTCGCCGGGAGCACACATACAAGCAATTACATCGTATTCAGTTAGTCACTACTACAAACCCGATTCACTGTGTTGACAGACGGATTTTAATACATATTTATTTGTAAATAGCGTGCAATTTGGCATTTTCAACATTTTATACATTTGAAAATCACACATCCTTGACATTTATACGTGTGAATTGACGTGTTAGTGGCATTTTAGTGGCTACACGGGCTCCGCCCACATCCCCGTTCTATTATGTAAGTATTATAGTATTCTATACGTAAATCTAATAAATTAGTAAAATTTAAGACGTTCTAATATGCTAAGATAATAATAAATCTAGTCTTACCGTTGACAGTTTTTTCTGTCTCCGGTACACTTGCAGCTGCCTGCGATGCACCTCGGGTAAGCGACGATACATCGCCATTAGCTTCCGATCCACCTCAGACAAGCCCAGGTCTACGCGTTTTCTGATTAAAAAATTACAATAATTAAATACATAGCAAAATATTAAAAAAATTGTCATGTAGTTACTCTTACGAAACCCGCTAGCAAGCAGGTTTCGCAATCATAGTTTTAATTTGTTATGACAAAGACACTGCTTCCCAACTCCTGATTCAGTTTCCCTCCGTCGCCTCTTACGACACCCACGGGACGAAATGGAGTAGTACAGTACTAAAGTACTACTAGTAACGTACAATAGTAAAGTAGTGGATTTTCTTAACCGTGAATTTGCACTGACGCGATTTTCACAAAAAACATGTTTTTTAAACATTGTTTTCTATCAATGTATCAAAAAGCGTTTGCATAGTCAAAGAACATGTTGTAGTAAAATATGTTTGACAGTTTATTGTACATGAAATATTTTAACTATATTATATCTTTATAACTACAGAAACAAAATGTTTGAAAACATATTTGTAGAAATATTGTCATGTTGAAAGATAAGTTTGAATATCTGTTGAAAATATTACACAGTTTTTGTGAGCGCGAACGCCACCATCAACAAAACATGTTGTGTGATTTCTGTTATGCGATTTGTTTCAAAACATTACGTGTTGGATGTTTCTCAGTGCAAACGTACTGTTGTAACAATAACCCTCTCAATGAAATATGGCTTGTGCCGATGGCGAGGACAGATAACAACGAATGTATTTTAACTGCTAAGCTGTGTGTAAATACAGACTGCAAGTTTGATTAAAGCATGGTATAAGTATATCATGTAGCCTACAAATAAATGCTTTGGGTCTGAATGTTGGTCCAAATGTAAAATACGACCGCAACGTCCATCATTTGATCCTTACAGCCCTTTACAAGTCCACAGCTGAACATAATCTTCCCCCAAAGAATGCTACAAAGCACAGTCCAGAGTCACTTGCATCCATCGACTTCCTGCATGTTTTACCAGGTCATCTAGTGTGGGCTGCTGAACATTTTGCTTACTGATGTAAGGTTGCTACTTGAGAATTTTTCTTTCCCATCAGTTGTTGGTTTTATGAGTTATATGGTCGGTCTATTGCCATTTCACTTTACTTATCTGTTGATTTATGTTGGTTACTGTGGTTATACTGTTGATATCTTCATTTTTAAGTTTATCATCTAAAGAAACTGAGTATAGCTTTAGCATAAAGAAGGCCGCGCAACCGACCGCGTCAGATCCATATGTAGCGATATCTATGACGTGTTTTCATTACGAAAACAAGCTAATATCAGGTGGTTAATGCTCTATATAACATAAAGTTATGAAGTACAGTAAACAGGTCTCATTAGTCTAGTTGTTGAAACGGTGATAGTTTTTTTTCCCATGTTTTGATAACGAAATGTTGTTCAGTGAGTGTTGATGACCTGGTTATTGTTGAATAAGTTGGTCAACGATCGTCGTTGGAAGAGTGTTGGGATATTTGTGAGTGTTGTATGAGTGAGTGTTGTAGAGTAGTATGAGTGAGTGTCGTATGTGTGTGTTGTAAGAGTTAGTGTTGTATGAGTGAGTGTCGTATGTGTGAGTATTGTAAGAGAGAGTGTCGTATGAGTGAGTGTTGTAAGAGAGTGTTGTAAGATAGAGTGTTGTATGAGTGAGTGTTGTAAGAGTGAGTATAGTAGAGTAGTGTTGTACGAGTCGTTTTGTATAAGTGAGTGTATTAAATTAGTGTTATAGAGTAGTGTTGTATTAGATTAGCGTTGTGGCGTAGTGCTGTTAAGTGTTATGTTGTATGAGTGAGTATTTTGGCGTAGTGCTGTTGAGTGTTATGTTGTATGAGTGAGTATTGTAGCGTAGTGCTGTTGAGTGTTATGTTGTACGAGCGAGTATTGTGGCGTAGTGTTGTTGAGTGTTATGTTGTATGAGTGAGTATTGTGGCGTAGTGTTGTTGAGTGTTATGTTGTATGAGTGTTGTGGAGCAGTATTGTGTGAGTGTTGTAGAGTAGTGTTGTATGAGTATCATACAAATTTCGAGTATTGAGGCGTGCGGTGTCGGCGGCGGCGTGGAGCACCTGTGCTCGTGGTCGGGGTGCGCGGGCGGCGGGCAGGCGGCGCAGTGACGCAGCACGCGGTCCATGAGGCGCTCGATGGCCGCGATCGAGCGCACCAGCCGCCGCACCGCGCCGCACAGCCCGCCCCCGCGCGCACCGCCGCCTCCACCACCGCCGCCCGTGGACACGCCCTCCACATCCGACCCCGACCCCGACGTCGACCCAGAAGACTCCGACGCGGACACTGCACAAGTTAACACATTTCATAAACAACACTATTCCAATAATAAATATATTATACTATCACTTTAAATAAGTGACTGCAACACCGCGAGACTTAACGGCATCTTAAAATTGGGTAACTTTGAGTATTTGACCATATACCGAAAACGAAGACACGATAGTACTAACTATACCTTAGATGATGGGTGAGAGAGAAAATCGATCTCGATGAAAAAAATCATATTTTCACGTTTTATTAATTTATTCACACTCCATCATCTTAGTACAGCTAAACGAAATGAGAATTTAATTTAAAAAATCATGAAAATACTTAAACATAAAAATAATACAATCATTGAATATAAAAATAATACATTCATTCATTGAAATAGAATAGATATAATGATACATAACTTTCAAATAAATTTGTCAAAACGATACGCGCGCAATCTACAATAAGTTAATTGTACTATGCCTATAACCTTCGCGTGCAAGCAATAAGTTGATAAAATTTTGCCGCTATCTATTAAATGATATGGCAAGGGATAAAATACGAACAAACAAACATTAATTTTTATATATTAGATGTTACAAATAAAACAAAAATTCATTAGTATACATTCATATTGCCAGTATCAAAGACAAAACAATCTGCGGTCAAACAGTCGCACAAAGTACAAATTGTCACCAAAAAATATAAACTTAATTAGGTATCTACCTTTTTATATATGTTAAAAAAGTAATTCCGGGGTAACTGTTCATGGCAGTAAATATTTTTCTCTAAAAAGTAATTCTTGGGGAAACTCGTTTAAGTTTATCGACAGACTCAGCTCTTGAGAGATTATTGGGATTACGTACATTTTGAATTAAAATCCAACAAAAGGCAGGTAGGTGCAGCTGTTCCCGTGAACACGTTATTTGAATATCTTTTAATTGTTTTTGAAGATCATGGTAAAAAGTCAACAATTTTTTCAAGTTATTCAGTTTCATGCACTAAACTTATTTTTTATTTTTACAGCTTCCTTAACAATCATTTTTCGATAGGCCTTGTAAGTAAATTGTACATCACTAGCTAACGCACACAATGATAAATCAGAATTTGTGACGCGTTTTCGGGCTCTCAGGTCGTCTATACGCCAGTATATTCTAAGTCCATTGATTATTACCATAATATTTCGTTATACTCACAGTCATCCAAGTCACCATTGGAATCACTGAGATCTCTTTCAGCGCTGATCTTCACTAGGGATGTTGGCTGACCCTCGGTGTCTGGTGGCCTAAAATTAAAATATACTGGTCATCAAAAAAATCGACCCACCCATTTTTTGTTTGAAATTTATCGATTGTTTCACTTAAAAGCTGTTTCACACATTTGTTTTTTATTTTGAGGGTCGGATATGATATTTGACACCTTGTTTGTCGTAAATCTTATTGCACTTGAAGGTACTTTACAATTTTTTATACAGAAATACTGTTGAGTGCCTGACACAGACTTTTGTAGGGATTTCTCGTTAATAACGTTAAGTTTATTTTCTGAGGCTGTAGCTTTGATTACTTTGTCTAAAAATAATGGACACTACTGAAGCTGAGGCGGCCCAAGTTGTAGCTTTGCTGCAACAAGGCTTAAGTCAACGTGTCGTAGCCAGGAGGTGATATCTGAGCCGTTCTGCAGTGCGACGAGTTTACCAAAGGTTTCTGGAGGCTGGGCAGTATCGAAGTAGATCTGGATCTGGAAGACATGGGGTGACAACTCAAAGGGATGACCGATTTATAGTGTTATCAGCACTACGAAATCGGCACCTATCTGGTGTTGATCTGCAGCGACGCTTACGTGAAGATCGAGGTGTAGCTATAAGTGATAGTACTGTGAGAAAGAGAAAATTCTGGCTTGTCGATGAGCTGTGGTCAATTGTGGTCAAGAACTACAATTGACCACAGCTCATCGACAAGCTAGACTTCAATTTGCGCGTAACCACGTCAACTGGACTATAGGCCAATGGGAGTCAGTTCTTTTTAGTGATGAGAGTCGAATGACTTTATACGGTTCTGACGGACGCCGTAATGTCATGCGACGACCAGGTGAACGTTATACCCAGTGTTGCATAAGAGAAACTGTCAGTTATGGTGGAGGCTCTGTAATGTTTTGGGCTGGGATATCTTTGACTGGACGCACTGGGCTTGTTTTTTTATACGAAGAGGTGCTTTAACTGCAGCACGCTACATCACAGAGATCTTAGAAGACCATGTGGTGTCATATGCCGGCTATATTGGAGAGACCTAAGAATTAATGCATGATAATGCACGACCACACGTAGCGCGCATCACAACCGATTACCTTGAAGAGGTCGGCGTTCGGGTTATGTCGTCGCCAGCAAGAGGCCCTGATCTAAACCCTATAGAGCACATGTGGGACACCCTAAAACAAAAGGTTAGAGCCCGTAATCCAGTCCCTACAACATTAGGAGACCTTGAAACCGCCATTAGGGAAGAATGGAACCGAATCCCTCAAGAGACCATCAAAATCTTGATAAGGTCATTAAAACGGCGAATGCAGGCTCATTCGAGTAAGAGGAGGGAATACGCAATATTAAATTGCAACAATTGTGTACATAAAATTCAATACATAAAAACTAGAGCGTATTGAAAATTAATAAAAATAATCGTGAAAATTAAAGATTTTGGTTTTTAAATGAAAATTAATTTAAAAAAATCATTTTGATATTGTAACTGTGATTAAATTGGTGTAAATAAACAAGTTAAATAACATATTAAAAAACATTTCAGTACTTAAACGTTTTGATTGGTTCCGCTTTAGAAAACGTGATTTGCGGCAAAAACGCAGGTGGGCCGATTTTTTGATGGCTAGTGTATTTCAAAAATCCACGTATCATAGCGCTATTGTACTAAGACATTGAGTTGAGTATGCTTGTCGCACTTAAAAGTATTATCAAACACACTCCCTAATCCGAAAGATAGCCGACGTATCATACCGCTATGCGCACAAACGGTATGGGTGTGCGATGTCCACAGGCAAGTCGTATTGCTACAGCAAACCCGCTCACCACCGGCACTAAGATGATATGTCCAGGACACGTGGATTAGCGAGCCCAAGCTTACCTCGGTCTCGGACACTGTGAAGCAGTCTATACGCCACTATAATAATTCTTTTGAAATCCAATTTAAATCAATATAATGCTTTTACGTTTTTTGAGACCTTCCACGTATTTGCTTTCTTTCATAGACCTTAGTATTAAACGTCTTTGATATTTGGGACACCACAACTCTGCTTTTATAAGAGACCTTCTATTTTTTGTATCATAGACCTTACTATCATAAATCCGTAATATAGGACTATACATTGTGGTATAGTACTTTAGAAGTCAGGCAAGTGACCACCCATATACATGTGCAACCATGGGTATGCGTCTCCGGCAAGTCCCTTATAAAAGCAATAATTACGTGAAATCCCTCCAGCAAAACAAAAACACGCTGCATCATTATTTAATACCATGGTTTAAATACAGTCTGTAACTATCTTAAATTCAACTATGATACAATTTCGTACTACCTAAAAACAAGTATCGAAACTTGATGTATATTAGTAGTATTATGTAGTTATAATAATATATCAGGTTCGAGGGTCACCACTAGACTATGTTTTTCTGTATTAATGAATACACACTATGAGCATAGATATATAATCTAATATTTCATCGTAAAATAAGTTTTCTATCAAATAAATTATAACGTGATTAATATAAAAGTGAAACATTTGAACTGTTATGTTCATACAACTGCAATATTTAATTTGTTTATATTTTATTATATGAACAATTTTTATATGAAGGTTGAATAACCAGCCCCTAGTAAATTATTTGCATATAGGACTATGTATATATGTAACTGCACCTGCAAGAATATTTCATCACACCACAGGTAGCTGGCAGAGAATACCTTCAGACAATAGCTTCGTAATTTCTTACGTTAATTTATTAAGGTGATTGCAATAAGTTTAAATTAACTAATGAATTTATATGCATAATATATTAAAATTAAAACATACTTTGCTCCCGTGCCGTCGCCCTGCTGTAACTCTCTGCCAGAAGTCTCGGGTTCTCCATCACTAAGTGACTGAAAACATGCAAAATAAATAATAACAAAAATTAAATACCGAAACATATGATGTATTGTTTTTATATTCTATACGAAGATATTGTTTACTTAAAGTTGCTCTCTCTCGCTCTCTATCTCTCTCGCTCTCTCTCTCTCTCTCTCTCGCTCTCTCTCTATCTCTCCCTCTCTCTTGACTAAATGACTATTGTAAGAGAGAGAGAATTATTTCAAGTGCCGAAAAAAACTTACAGAACACATAATTTATTAGCACACCTTCACCTAACTATCCCCCAACCGTAACCATCATAATTCTTGTCACCATTGCCCCCATGCCCGAGTCAAATATTAATGTTCACAGTAAACACAATGCAACACACACCTTATCTCCAGCTGTCTCCATCTTGCCACTATTGAACTCATTGACTGCCTGCATCATGCCGAAAAAGGATATCCTGTAGTATACGTCACTGAAAATAATACAAAGTTCGTTTTATTTATTTAGTTGACTTATTTTATTAAGCGAAGAAAGAACAGATGCATTGTCACTTTTGAGGACGAAAAGATAAAGAAAGTTTTTTTCTTATTACAAGCCAGTGCTTGACCACAACCCCACCTGGTGGTAAGTGGTGATGAAGGTCTAGTTGGTGAATCGCGGTCTTAACGCAACAAAATCTACTACTACTACTCTTGCCTTGGAGACGCCCAGATTGTATTCGGACGGAAAGATAGATGCCGACAAATTATTCTGTACGTACAAAAACATTTGGTTGTAATGCGTGGAATATCGACAACAAAGGAGTGAAGTCCCGCCGACCGTCTGGTTGTGCGATTGTGGCAAGGAGAGGTCTCCCTCTCCTTGCCACAATTAAGGTGATACCTCGAAAATTTGGTGGTTTTTCTATTTAACATATTTTTTAAGTTTTGTATGTATACAAACCAAAATTTTGGTATATGATTTTTGACTATATGACCTTGGATTGCACAAAAGGAAAACACGATATTATGTTATTTTGTCGATAGAAAAAAAATTGCAAAGTAGCCTCTAATTATTTACATTTCTCCATGACATCACAATATTTTTACGAATAAGTTCATGGAATTATTTTTGAGGCATAGTAAATAATTATATCTAAGTTCTCATAAACCAGTTTTTCAATACATAACGAAGTTTTTGGTATTGCTATCTCATAATTTGCGTAGGTACTATGAAGTCATTGCATCACTTTCATTTTGACACTCCCTCAGTCGTCCGTTAGCTTCACCGACAGAGGAATAAGCCACGCCCCCAAAACTTCGATTCATTTTCAAGGTATCCTCTTAAAGCTTATAATTACTGCGCACACTTTCCAAAATGCATCGTATAGAATACCGAGAAGCTGGCTACTCTGCTACTGCTACTTACAGTCCATCTGATAGTAAGTGGCTACAGTAGTCCATGGACATTTGCTGCCAACTTCAAACAAACAAGGCTACAGGTGCATTGTCAATGCAGAGAGTTAAGATAAGATAAGGCAAGTATATTGGATCTCTATACTCTCTAGAACGGAACACAGCAGTGCAAGCACTGTAATTTACAGCAGATAAAGGTAAGAGGAAGGTACCTAGCGTGTCGTAGTCCTTGATAAAATGTGTAGTATCTAGAACGCTTGAAGTTTTAATTAGGTCAGAAGGTAAGAGAAACACCCAGTATAAAGAGATAGAATGATATTGGGCGAATCTGAATTCTTTTATTCCTGTGTGATTAAAAGTATAGGTGATAGAAGTCGCGGCACGTAAGTCTAGCGCTGAACGAAACGTGGCGGGGATATCTGCGCATGTCTTATCGGTACGGCAATATCCGTAGCCGTACGGTAGCAGTAGCCAATCAGCGCGTGCGAACGACATGCACACCCGCCCCGCGACCCGCTTACCTACCATACGCATGATACCTTCTTTTCGACATCTGCGCAATAACGGTCACCGCTAGACTTTCGTTCCGGTATTTACACCTGTAGTGGAAATTCAATTGTGGTCTAGTTTATTGGTCTTTCATACAGATCGACTGACGACTATTAAAAAGAACTTTAATATTACACTTGTCCACTTAAATTTTCCTGCTAACAGTGTCCTTTTTAAACTATATACAATATATCTAAATCAAAATTAATTTAAATAGTTAAAATAGTTTGCGTCAAAAGGATTAAAAGATATCACCATTATTTTAAGTTTGTTACGTAAATTTTAAGTATATTATTAAAATTACCAATACACAGAGAAACCTTCTTAAAAAGCTAATAACTAAATTCCACGGATGATGAAAACGTGGAGATATGTTAAGATTTGGATATTCAAAACTCAAATTAATTACAATGGGAAATAAATAAAGAATTAAAAATAGGCCAAGTGCGAGTCGTACTCGCGTATGAAGGGTTCAGTACCATCGTAAAAATACGTTTCTAGTAGAGTAAAATAGATAATAGTAGAATAAATTGAAATGAAAGGAGGCACCATTTAATTTTTAATTTATATTTGTTGTTACAGCGGCCACAGAAATACACATTCCGTGAAAATTTCAATTGTCTACCTATTACGGAATGAATACGGATCATGAGATACAGCCCCCTGACAGTCACGTCAGACGGACAGCGGAGGCTTAGTAATAGCGTCCCGTTGGTTAGCTTTTGGGTACGGAACCCTAAAAAAGTCACAAGTTACCTTAACAGCTGTTTCCGTTGTTGGGCGCAGAGAGTTCTCGGATTGAGACAGTCACACCGGTGCTTATATCCCGCCCATGCAGTTACTGGTAAGGAGAGAGATAAAAATAATTATTTTATTCGTGTTAAATAATAACTGGATAAGTTTGTAAAAAAAGTTTAATGCATTACTCTACTTACCAGCTTCATCAACTAATTACGTAAGAAATACTTTCTTATATCGGTCTAGTAATATTTTTAATAATCTGTGCAAAAAGCATGATTTTGATTTGTTTAATACTAGCTATGTATCGGCAAGGCGGGCATTAAGTCGAGAGTTTTTTGTGTCGTAATTTAATTTACTTTAAGAACAATTATGTTGTGCGTTTAGCCCTGCTTTTCTTTTCCTTTGTGGCTATTATTGTTAGTTTCACTTATTAAATTTATGATGTTGTGCATTTAAATTAGACTCCATTTTTTGTTGCTCATAATTGTGCTATGTCCTTTAAACGACGAAAGATTATGTTAGTGTATTTCTATTAGTGAGAACCTGTTATTGGCTTCTTGTAAATTTAACATGTTGTTTATTTAAGATATGTAAGCTGTTGGTTTTCCATTATATAAAAATAAAATAAAATAAATGTCCTCCAAAACAATGATGGAAGGAGATGCAAGAGGCTTTTACCCAAATAGGGATCACATAAATAGTTAAAAATTAATTTTACTATCTTGAGAACAGTCTTGTTTCAACGAGTTGAACTGACCCTTTAACTAATAAGGGTGTTGTAAGATTATACACTACCCTATATCGTCCCTTGGATGTCGTAAGTGTTATCGATATCGACTAGTTAGCGTTACGCACATCATTATGCCGCTCCATAAGGGCAATGAGTGCGAGCGAGATAGTGATTAGAATGATTTATTGGGCGCTGAGTCAGTTGATTAGACGGGCACCGAGCATTATGGTGTTGTTGGAAGTCAGTAGCGTGGTGGGCGCCAGGAAGCGCATTAGTAGCCGCAGCACGTGCGCCACCCACTGCCTATGCCCGCTCGTGCGGCGCGCTGCGGGCGGCCATGCTGCGGCGCCAGGAAGCGCGCCAGCTGCGACACTACAGTACTGTTGCAGAGCAAGTGGTGCAGTTACGGTCGTGCGGCGCGGTGCGAGCGGCCATGCGGCGCAGGCGCGCACGCTGGTGGCGGCGCGTTGCTGCGGCGCCAGGAAGCGCGCCAGCCGCCGCCGCGCGCGCGCCACCCACTGCCCGTGCCCGCTCGACTCCGGCTCCGCGCACAGCATCTCCACCTGCCAACCACCCACTCCATACAATCAACTCTTCTCACAATGACCACTGATATTCTTACGCTCACCACATAACTCTTGTCACTACAGTAAACACTCATTAAAAAGCTGCGTTTAAAATCAAAATTTTTCTGTTTCTTCTGTTTATGTCGCAAGCTTATGACAAAACCTGGTTTTTGATCAAAAATTAGGCTTTTGATCAAGAATCGAAAAAAAGACAGAATCACTAATAAAATTACTTACCTAGAAAAATCACAATTTTTGATTAAAAACCCGACAGATTTAGTTGTATGATAAACCTTACCTAACCTAAGCTTAAATTTTATCATAGCTCTAACTATAATTCATGTTTTTAATCGAAAATCAGAATTTTTTTCAGGCTAATGATAAAATTAAGTAATAATTTTGTCTTCTTACGATTATCGATCACAAACGCACCTAGATTTTTGATCAAAAACCTGATTTTAGTATAACCCTAAACGTTCTTTAATTATTTTACACATTTTAACTTTTTTATTATTGTTTATATTTTATATTTATTATACTTGTTCCGGCTTTATAATTTACCTCAGACTATCAATAGACACTGTACTAACGACATCTATAATTCGGATCTCGAAACTAGAGTAGTTCAACGGCATACACGGACGGTGTGTTCAAAAAGTTCAGCATACGCGCACCCATAACTTAAATATTATTACGGGCTTCGGGTTCAAGACAATTAAAAACTGCCGAATGAATTACCAAAATTGACACTTTAATTACAACTTAAAACCATACTACTAACAAAACGCAATTATACTACTGATCACTTTAGTTCGCAGTTGTATCGCTTCGAAATATTCGCTTGAATCGACAATTCAACACTGATTCGGGTCCCAGTCTATAACGGCCTTCTATTGTAGAAACATCTAGAATGTTCGATTACATATATAACGGTCCCAATTGACTAAGTGTCGATAGGCTAGAAAGTTCATCCATGGAAATTTCTGGAAGGATCTTGACTCTCCTAGTTCTGCTACACGATATTAGAAGGCGCTAGTAGTAATTAGTGCCATGTACCAGGCATTAATTGTGGCGCGCCTCCTAATAAACGTTCGTCCAGAGCATTATCGGCCCCATAACCGCCAGTCGATCCACATGGACGATCTTAGAAGTACCTCTTGCACCTTACTGTACCCGGTAGGTTGCGTCATTGATCCTCGTCACAATCCGGTACGATCCGTCCCATTTAGCACGAAACTTAGGAGATTACCCTTTGCTGAACGTAGGCCTCCCCCAAGTAATGCCACAAAGCACGGTCCTGAGCCACCTGCATCCATCGACTTCGTGCATGTCTTACCAGGTCGTCACTACATCTAGTGGGGGGTCGCCCTACACTACGCCTACCGGTACGAGGCTGCCACTCGAGAACCTTTCTTCCCCATCGGTTATCGGTTCTTCGAGCTATGGCCGGCCCATTGCCACTTCAGCTTACTAATCCGTTGGGCTATGTCGGTCACTCTGGTTTTACTGCGGATATCCTCATTTCTGAGTCTATCACGCAGAGAAACTCCGAGCATAGCCCTCTCCATAGCTCGCTGAGCGACCTTGAGCGTCCTCATACGGCCAGCAGTTAAGGACCACGTCTCAGATCCGTAAGTCATCACTGGCAACACGCACTGGTTGTACAATCTAGTTTTTAGAGATTGAGGTATACCTGACGAAAAGATATGTCGTAATTTCCCGAACGCTGCCCAGCCGAGTTGAATCCGTCGATTGACCTCTCGGTCGAAGTTGGACTTACCTAGTCGGACTATTTGTCCCAGGTAAACGTACTCGTCAACAACTTCGAGCATATTGCTCCCAGCAAATACCGGCATAGGTGTGACATGGACATTAAACATAATCTTTGTTTTGTCCATGTTCATCTTAAGACCTATCCCTTGGGAGACACTACTGAGGTCATTGAGCATAGTGCTAAGGTCCTCCAGCGATTCTGCCATAAGGACTATATCGTCGGCAAATCGAAGGTGAGTGATGTACTCGCCATTGATGTTAATACCTATTACCTAGTATCCTTTCCAGTCCAGTAGCTTGAAAACGTCTTCCAACAAAGCGGTGAAGAGTTTCGGGGATATAACGTCACCCTGTCTTATACCTCTCTGCAGTTGCATAGGTTTCGAACTCTGATTCTGTACTCGGATAGCCATCGTAGCCCTACTGTACAAACACTTTAGCACTTCGATAAACCGACAGTCAACTTGGCACCGCTGAAGGGACTGTAGCACCGCCCAAATTTCGACGGAATCAAAGGCTTTCTCATAGTCCACAAAGGCCAGGCAAAGTGGCAGATTGTACTTTTCGGTCTTCTGTACTATCTGCTGCAGGGTATGTATGTGGTCTATGGTACTGAATCCTTTTCGGAAACCGGCTTGTTCGGGAGGCTGGAAGTCGTCGAGTCTGCGTGCGATACGATTCGTAATGACTGTCGAAAACAGCACGTAGACGCGGCTCAGAAGGGAAATCGGTTTGTAGTTCTTCAAGAGAGCGTTGTCGCCTTTCTTGAAGAACAAGACCACCGCATTTCTGCTCCACGCCTCCGGAGTAGTGCCACCATGGAGGACGGAATTGAAGAGCTTCTGAAGGACTTCAAGTACCGGTGTTCCACCCGCTTTCAGGAGCTCCGCTGTAATTCCATCCTCGCCCGGGGCCCTGCCGTTTTTAAGGTGTTGGAGAGCCATTCTAATCTCGCTCAGACTGACGTCCGGGATATCATCGGAATAGTATCGGGTAAGACTTGCTCTTGGAACGTTTCTCACACTTGCGTGTGGCTCCAACGATGATGTGTACAGCTGCCCATAGAACCCCTCAATCTCACTCAAAATCTCAGGTGTCACGGAAACGATGCTGCCACACTCAGTCTTCAGCTTTGACAGTTGGCTCTTTCTGGCAGACAGATCTCTGGCAAAGACTTTGGAGCCCTGGTTTCGCTCGATCGCTTCTTTAATACGAGCAGTATTAAAGTTGCGGAAGTCTCGCCGCATGCATTTGGAGATCTGTCTGTTCAGTTGCCAGTATGCTGTCAAATCTGTTGACGATTGCAGCCTCATCTCCCGTCTAACAGCTATGAGATTAAGAGTGTGATCGGAGTGTTTTTGTATTTTTCTGCGGCGGGTCTTGCAGAACTTAGCTCCGACCGCATGGACAGTTTCCACGAGCTTGTCATTCATATCGTCCACTGCATTACAATCTTCTAGGCACTGAAAGCGGTTACGTAACTCGAGCTGAAAGGTTTCGGGATTCTGGATTAGAGCACGAGGGGGACGGAGCGTTGACTTCATTAGACGAGACCTCTCCAACTTAACGTTAAGGTTCAGTGTGCCTCTAACCATTCGGTGATCGCTGCCAGTTTTCACCCTTGCGACCACTGAGACATCACTGAACAGTTGGCGTCTGGTCGTCATAATGAAATCAATCTCATTTTTTGTCGAACCGTCGGGGCTCGTCCAGGTCTACTTCCTGTGGCGCGTGGGGCCGCTTCTGCAAGAAAGAGTTCATCATAAAGAGTCCCTCTTTCTCCATAAAGTCAGCCAGCTGCTGGCCCTTACGGTTCCGTTGCCCTACTCCAAATTTCCCTAACTTCAGCTCACCGCCTTCTCCTGTGCCTAGTTTTGCGTTGAAGTCTCCCATCAACACCGTGTAGTGGGTTTTGGAGAAATGCATGGCTCTAGAGATATCCTAATACATTTTCTCCACCTCCTCATCGGGATGTGCCGAGGTTGGTGCGTAGACCTGTATGACCTTCAGCGAATACCGTTCGGTGATTCTGAGTATCAGGTACGCGACCCTCGTCGACACACTCCCAATCTTTATAACGTTGTTGACGAGAGACTTGTGGACGATAAATCCGACACCTCCTTGGGACAGATGGTCGCCCTCCCGGTGATAGAACAAGTTGCCGGACTCGAGGATTACCGTGTCCTCCCCCTCTCTTCGGACCTCAGATAATCCAATAATATACCAGCGCAACTTGTCTACCTCTTCTTCCAGCTCCAGTATCTTCTCGTCAGTCCTCAGGGTGCGTCAGTTATACGTTGCCAGGTCGAGTCGTCGTAGGTGGCAACCGAACCTCACCTCCACCATTCTTAGCACCCCCTGCCCCGTCGTTACCATGGTCACCACCGTAGCCAGGAATAGCGGGGCCGCCGGGGACTGGGGGCCGTTTGTTTGCGTCGTTGCTCATGGGGGGATATTTGCCATAGTTGCCACGCTTGGCGAGCGGGTTGGCAACCGCAGTTTTGTCTGCCTGTCTCCCTCTGTCACCTCTTACGACACCCACGGGAAGATATGGGGTAGTAGATATTCTCAACCGGCACTATACAGCCACGTGCTCATAAACGTGCTCATAAATGTCATTCATTTTGCGTATACTGCGTGGAGCATCAGGTGGTATTCCGGTGATGAGGTCTTCCGACAGCCGTAATTCTTTAAAAATTTTGCAAAAGCCAGTGTCACTGATGTACTTTCGTGAACAGCGCTTCGATATGACAACAAAGACGGTTGTATGTGCTTGTCTCAGTCTTGTTGCCGATATTCCACAACTTTTGCTAGGTAATTCTCCAATATCTGTTTAATCATATGAAATCGTTCAATCATTCCATCAGATTGTGGGTTGTAAGATGTTCTTCTTCTTTTATGAGCACCCATAACTCGGCAAGTTTCCTGGAATATTTGAGACTCAAAAATTTTCCTTGATCGCTGTGAATCTCTAAAGGTACTCCAAAACGACAGAAGACTTCATGAACTAGTTTATCTGCAACTGTTAAAGCTTCTTGATTTGGAATGACGAAGACTTCTGTGCACTTAGTAAAGTAATCAATCACAACCATGAAATACTAGTTGCCACTTTCACTTTCCGGAAACGGGCCCACACAATGTTCAAATTTCAATGCACCTCTACTACGAGTCTGAGGTCCCTTTACAGCCGCACAACTTGTACATTTTGCAACATCAGTTTTCAATATTGTTCCGACAGTGGACGCAGTAAAGCCGTCCTCGGATATTCAGTAGAGTTCGTTTAACTCGCAGATGGCCTCCTGAACAATCATTATGGTACAGCTGTAGAACATCTGGTACTTTTAGCTTTAGGGAGAACCATTTGTAAATGACAGCTGTCTCCCCGACCATTTTCCTATTTACGGTAAGGAATTCCATTCTGAAGCAGCAAACTGTCCCATTGAGCCCAATGGCTTTTAGCGGTCGAAATCATCGCTGAGACGTCACTCCACTTGGGCTTAGGAGTCCCAGCCTTCATCCATTCTAGAATCAGCTTGATGTCCGAACCTTCCTACTGTGCATGTTGTAGGCTGTCCTTCCACTAATTGCTGAGCTGGTCTGTCCTGAGCATCCTCACAGATACCACTTTGTTATCCTCTCGAGATCGATCGCCTTCCCTTTCTATAGTTCGCTTAGGGCAACTGGATCGAAGATGGCCCCTTTCCCCACAGCCGTAGCACCTAAGGCTATATCTATATTGCGATCGCGAACTGTAGCTGCTGCAACCTCTCTGACGTGATGGAAACTATGATCCTGCCACGTGGTATGGTATGGTATGCTTTTCGAACTGGCTTCTCTACGTCAAGGGCCCACTAATTCAGGTTTTCATTGCTGTGTTGCACGCGATCTTTGAGCTGCGCATGTTGAGAAACCCTATCCTTCACCTTCCTTATCTCTTTCCCGAAGGTATTGTGAAGGTCCTTCATGAGGAGCATCTGCCGTTCCTTACCGCGTTGCAGCTGCTCTTCCAACCGACGAGCCTGTTCCTCCTATCAGCAGGCCTGCTTCTGCAGCATCATCGTTAAAGCACCTTTTCAAGTCAGGTTCTGCATTTGCAGAACCTGACTTGAAAACTTATAGGTTCGCGTCACTGATGAACTCGATATGCTCGTGACGTATTGCGATAGCGCATGACTTTTACATTGTGTACGCACATATACACTAAAATACATTGTATATACTTGATTGTATCATATGACTTTATGGATGGGTAAAATCTTGTGATATCGCGTCACAGACATGCTGTATGCTGAAGTTATGTCGACCACTTGAAAAGTTTGTTTTGTGTATAGTGTGCATTGTTTTTATTGTATTTTTGATAATCATTATTTGAATTGATTGATTGTAGAATTACTATGCAGTACAATAGTGAGTACTTAATATACTTATATGTTCATGTAGAAAAGTAAACGACAAAAACAAAGTACTTATTGTCGAATATTTCCAACAACGTTATTGATATTTGCGTTCAAAAAAGTGTTCACTTCTGACGTGCAGTCCAACGACTAATAGTTTTTTTTTTTTTTAAATTTGTGAAAGAGTCAATACAATTATAGCAATGAGATACTAAATTAGTTTTCCGAGGTAACCATGCACCACAATCTTTGCTGTAAGTCGACTGCAGTAGTTATTTATAGATAAAAAAAACACATACCTTAAAAGTGATTGTCGAAGCAGTCTTAAAATTCTCTAAAATCTTGCACAATCTTTCCACAGCATACCTGAAAAAAGTTAGTAGACTGATTAGAATTGTCAGCCTGTAGAATACTCTTCAGAGCCGTGGTAGCTCAGATGATTAATGCTAGCTGTAAATATAACAGAACGCGAGTAACCCGGGTTCGACCCCCGCGGGCACCAATGAAATTGTCAATTGCAATTTTAAGTGCTGATTTACCACGTGCTCGGCGGTGAAGGAAAACATCGTGAGGAAACCTGCATGTCTGAGGAATAAGAAAAAAAAATAATTTCGAAGACATGTGAAGTTCGCCAACACGCATTAGGGCAGCGCGGCGGACACTTCCTTGCCCTAAAACCCCCACAGAAATTAGGGGAGGCCTATGCCCAGCAGTGTGACGTATATAGGGTGTAACTTTACTTTACTTAAAATACTCTTCAATTAAGTATGGATTTAGCTGTCACAGTACAGGCTGTGAGGCAATCCATCTTAGTCACGCATCTGAAGTCTTCATTGCTTGAAATTGGTCTATAGGTGGACCCACGCTGCAGCTATATTGTGGTTGTAGGACCACGCTCTCACAGAATACCAGCGTAAAATAGCAGCTTAATGCTGCTGTGTTTCGTATGGTGAGTGTAGGGAACCGGAGATCTGTTTTACTGGAATCGATGTATTCAGTCTTAGTCCTCACGGGTGACAACGCATCTGCATTTTGATTCTTAATCGAAGTTGAATATAGATGTCTATGGGTCACAGCATCCACTCACCAACCGTTGAACTGTGTGCGCATTTGCAAACCTTATTCTATATAAAAAAAGGTGTTCATGGGCTGCGTAGCCCCTTACCATCAAGTAGACGTTAAGTTCGTGTATCACTTCATTTTTACTAACAAACATGTTAGCAGGTAAACCCAACTTTCCTGGGAATTTTTCTTGTATTAATATTACAATTCTCAAAACACATGTCCACATTGAAAAATGAGATTGAGATTGTGCCATATAGTGGCACATTATTTAGCACACTAGCGCCACCATGGATACTCACTCCTTCTCGAAGGGGCGCTCGTGTTCCCGGCACTGACATATCTTATGTACTATCTGACCAGCGATGTCGCTCTGCTGTGACAGTCGGTTCAGCTGCTCGTGGACAATGGCCGCACCTGTGGAGTTAGTGGATCAGTAAGCTGAGGTAGCAATAGAACCAACGGGAGAGAAAGGCTCTCCAGTCACACATGCATCCATCGACTTTAAGGATACATTAATCAGGATTGTTTTGTGGTATTCCTTGGTCGAGGCTTATTTTCAACTTGACTTGCAAAAGTTATAGTGATGTTGGTTGATGGCCAAAGAGGGTGGTCCATTTCAGGCCCAGTGTGTGTACACTATATAAAAAACTAGGTAAAAAAGCGATAAATACAGGGATTTTATTTAAAATAAAATAAGAAAATAAATCAAACTAAATGACTTGCTAAAAATAAAAATGCAATCCCAATATTTGATGATTATACAAGATGGCGCCCTTCCAGTCATAAAATTATGTGTCAAGTGTGATGTGTGAAAAGTGCTTTGAGTCATGAAATAATGTATGTAGTATGTTTTTTCAGAGCTTATTCGTGCAGTTGTGAACTCGTTAATGCGTTTATTGCGTTTCTTTTAGATTTCTCTGGCGATTTTATTTTTTTATTTGGACTTTGGATCTGTTATTACATGTTTGACTCGGCTTTTGTTTTATGGACTTCATGATTTACGTGAGATTTTGATTTCATTGATATCGGACATCTGTAGAATCACAATTTGAATCACTAGGGGCTCAAAAAAAACCGTACCCTTTTTTTTTTTTTTTTTTTTTTTTTAAAATTTTTTTGTAATATTTTTTAAATAAAAAAAAAATAAAAAAAAAAAAAACAAAAACATCAATAACATCATGACAGTTGACAGCTAACGTCAAAACGACTTCAATTCGCCATCAGTGTTGCAGTTTTTGGTAAGAATAAAGTATTAATACCATTGGAATAAAGGCAAATTCGTGGATTTAAATGACCAAAACTGGTGTAATATACTAATTTATTCATTTCCCTACTTGTACAAAACGAGGCCTACGCTTCATACAAATTTGGACCGTCTACTTTGCAGAGAAGGTTCAAAATAAGTTATATAGGCAAATGGTGAAGAACATTAAAATATAAGTACTATGTCGTACGAGAAGCTCTACCAAACAAAAAATATGCGCTACTCTGTCTTCGGCCGGGGAGGTTAGTAGAGTCACGCATGCGCAGTTGATATAAGGCGCGTTGCACCTGCGTGGACAGTTTTTGTCATCATAGATTATACGCAGGTAGAATGATTAGAGTATGTAATAATTGCGTTTTTAGATTGTGGTCTTAATTATATCTAGTACAGTTTTTTTTAAATTTCATACGTACTAATTTCAAAATATTACATATTTTGTCACAATATATTCGAAGTAAAATATAAAAAATGAAATTTATTATCAACATCATTCTTATTACATTTGCAAAATACGCACGTCACATTTTCTGAACTTGGACAAATATTAGTTGATATTTTGTACTAAAATATATTCGGGAAATTTCATTACCAAATGGTTCAGCCATTCTGAAGATTATCTGACAGACGGCAGACACACAGAACTTTTAATAAATTAATAGTGAAAAACTGTTTTAAAAACAAGCTTTTATATTAACGCTCTAAAAATAAAGAAAATTTTTACACGTGGTAGTCACGCTGCAGCTATATTATGTTTGCAGCACGAATGGGTCGACGATGGGTTTTGCATGACAACAAGCTTCGAGTCCCGCGCCTACGTCACAGTGAACGAGTGAAGCCGGCCACAGTCGAGCGTGTACCTGCTGTACTGCCATATGTTAGAGGAGTCACTGACAAGATTGGCTACATCTTGAAGCGCGCTTCCATCAAAACATACTTCAAGCCGCTGAAGAAGATTGGTCACTTTTTACCATCGGTCAAGTGTAATGTCCCTCTGCAAGATGCAGGAGTGTACAAGCTTGATTGCGAATGTGGTCTCTCCTACATAGGACAAACAAAAAGATCAATAAAAACCCGCGTTAAAGAACATATAGCTGATGTGAAGAATCGACGCTCCGGGAAGTCTGCAGTCTGTGAACACGTACAGGATCGCCCCCGTCACTACATCAGATTTGATAGATCGCAAATCCTCGCTAAAGAACACCGATTCCTTCCAAGGATGATTCGCGAGGCTATTGAAATCAAAAAACATCCTAATTTCAATAGAGAAGATGGCTGGGTGCTACCATCTGCTTGGGATCCTATAATAAATAAAATGAAATCCCAACCCAAGCATACAACTGCAAGACTTCAAGATACCATAAGTTCATACTGCATAGATCGGAACAAAAGTTAAATTTTAATCTATGGTAACCGCGGTTAACTATGACATATGGACGTTGTACATCTCAGTCCTGCCCGTGACCATGAGTGCTGTAAGGCGTTCGAAACATCGGGTATTTAAAAAGTTAAATATACGCGATAAATTCCGTAAAAACTAGTATTATTTCGACGTCACTATTGTTATTGTGCTTTTGCTCATCAAGCCCTTACATTTGATACCCATATCATAGCGGTTATTATGGAAATTATACATCGCCATTTTGTGACGTCCGCCATATTGGATTTAGAATAACTTCACTTTACTAATTGTTTCGTTTATCACCGATAAGAATGCCATGGAAATGGTAAAACGCTATTTTGTAACGTCCGCAATATTGGAATAAAAATGGCGGTATTTAAGTAATGTTGCATTGTCTCAAGAACCAAACGTGTTTGTTAAATTTTAGCCCGATAGCTTTAATGGAAGTGGGTGGATTATTGATTGCAAAATTCCAGAACATGTATACAAGTGAAGTTAACCCTTCAGCCCCCAAGCGGTCTCATGAGACCGCAGCCATATTCCGCCAAATCCCTAGCGGTCTCATGAGGTCGCACCCACCCACAGCACGTTAACCCATAAAAACTTATATGTAGAGACTACTTTTCTATAAAGAAGTTTGGCATTATATAATCAATATGAAATACTCTATCCTCACGTGCAATAAAAAAATTTATCCTAAATCTCGTTTATTTCTCGCCATTTTTAATGTTATTGTGTTGATTTTTTGATTTTTCTATTGTTTTATTAGTGTTTTTAGTATAGTGTTTTATTATAAAATTGTAATGAAAGTTTTTGTGTGAATATATATCTTATTACGTAAATAATTTCGAGTAATATATATTGAAATAATTGTGATATTCACGCTGCCGACATTCGCATGGTATGTTTTTTTTTAATCAAAATACAATAGTCTTTTTGTAATGAACTAAAACCTGACTTTTATATAGAGAATTTTGTATAGATTCTATAATGCCAAACTTAATAGAAAAGTAGTCTCCAAATATAAGTGTTAATGGTTTTAAGTGCTGAGGGTGGGTGCCGTCGCATGCGACCGCTCGGGATTTGCCGGGCGCATGCGGCTGCATGAGAATTTTAAGGGGCCTGAGGGGTTAAATAAAAGCTTTTAAAAATGATGATGACGATGTTTTCTTACCATCTGTTTATTGGCGGGGATTAAATCAATCCTTGGCAATGAATAATGCAAATAGCATGAGCAAAACATTGTAATACTGACCGTCCTCGCCGAAGTTCAGTCGCTGTAATCGAGGCAGGTCCCATTCAGAGACTCGACTCGCAGACCCCGCTCGCAACCGAAGCGCCCGCATTATACCCGCAGCCGCATTGGTATTCCCACCTGGGGATGACATCATCAAATTATAATATTGTTTACAAGAATCCCACCACTAGGCATAGGTAGAAAACATGAGTAGGATTTATTTCCCACAATATCAGTATCCCCTCAAGTATTATGTCAACCCAATGTGGTTGACAGCTAATGCGTGCCGACGTGTCAGCTGATCCCGTGTGTCCATTTGCATGAACGCTGTTTGTTTCCGATTTTATTCTTCGAATAACATATAAGCGAACTTCACTGCATACAAACTTCGGTTGATTTTACCTGATGATTTCTTAAATTTACGCGAACACTACACATTGAATAAAACTAATATTTACGGATTTTATCGCGTTTAATTACTTTAATTTATTTTTATTATTATCCCGACGTTTCGGGTGCTTTACAGCGCCCATGGTCACGGGGGGGACTGAGATGTTTGACGTCCCAATGTCATAGTTAGTCCGGCTACCTTCAGTTTTTTAATATTAATTTTTGGTCCGATTTACGCAAAACGAGCTTATAGTATCATGAAGTCTTGCAGTGGTATGCTTGGGTTTGGGTTTAATTTTGTTAATTATAGGATCCCAAGCAGATGGTAGCACCCAACCATCTTCTCTATTGAAATTTGGATGTTTTTTAATTTCAATAGCCTCGCGTATCATCCTTGGTAGGAATCGGTGTTCTTTTGCGAGAATTTGTGGTTTATCAAATCTAATGTAATGGTGGGGACGATCTTGAACATGTTCGCAGACTGCAGACTTCCGATAAAATCCGTAAATTTGCGATAAAATCCGTAAATAATAGTTTTATTCAATGATTTTACCTGTTTTTTTTTAAAGTAGTAAGATTTTAAAAAGATTGTAGTTTGAAAAAAATGTATTGAGAGGTGCGATTTTTTTATAACTATTTGATAGAATGTTGCATTGTTATGCAAATATAACAAATACCTTTTTATATAATAGTTCAATTTTATAATTGGATAGGGATATAATTCATGATCATGCTTTATGCATTACTTGGGGGAGGCAGTTCAGTAGTGGACTATTGAATATATTGATGATAATGATGATGTTTCCTTACCATGTGTTACAACCAAAACAGCAGGGTAGTCAAAGATGCGTTGCCAGCCTTTAAAAAAAGAAGTAGCTTAGTTTCTTGAATGTCTCTAAGTCGTACCGGTCCGGAACAACACATTACAAGTGGTAAATGTTTCCACAAAGTAGTCGTGTGAGGAAGAAAAGTTCTAGTAAATAGCACAGTCGTGGTTTGCTAAGCATCCAGATGGTTCGTATAATATTGCGAGTTTTGTCGCGACGTACGCTGTTGGAATTGGGTGGATGGAATTAATCCGAACAATTTTGTCCATGGGAGGTGATGTAGAAGTCTAATTAAGACTATGTTGAACAACAGGTGTCAAGGGTACCACCACTCCGAGCGGACCGTCGCAACGCTCGTGCGTTCCGAGTGCTGCGTCCTGCGGACATGCTCACCGTGCGCGAGCGCCCACACGAGCCCACGCAGGAAGGCGTGCAGCGCGGCCGCGTTGTCGGCCAGGCACAGGCACAGCCGGCAGTGACACCCGAACGACGCGCGGTACCACCACTCTGAACGGACCGTCTCCACACTCCTGCACGTAATCAATACCATACAATACAATCATTGTCACATATATTACAAGAATTGTTAGATTTAAAAATTTTGCACAACCAACTTCAATATAAATAAAATGAGAATATCATCAATGTACGAGGGGTGATCCAAAAGTAATGATAATGAAAATAAAACACGGTAATTAAAGTTAAAATAATAATTTATTTTTCTACATAGTCTCCTAACAAATCAATACATTTAGTCCATCTTTTTTCTAAACCCAGGATTCCCTTTGAAAAAAATTATTTGTCTTGACCCTCCCAAAACGCTTCAACAGCGGCCATTACTTCGCTATCGTCTTCGAATTTCTTGCCTCAGAGGCGTTCCTTGAGCCGAGGGAAGAGGTAGAAGTCACTAGGAGCTAGATCTGGCGAATAGGGAGGGTGTTCGTGCAGTTCGAATCCCGTTTCTTGAATGGCAGCCATCGCAACTGCGGCTTTGTGAGCCGGTGCGTTGTTTTGATGAAACAGCACTCCAGCTCGCAGTTTTCCGCGTCTTTTTTCCTTAATGGCCTCCAGTAATCTTCTTATTTGGTCTGCGTAGTAAGAGCCCGTAATAGTGGCTCCCTTTTCCAAATATTCCACCATAATTATGCCTTGAGCGTCCCAAAAAACAGATGCCATAACCTTTCCCGCCGAATTTGAAACTTTGAATTTCTTTAGCGTCGGTGAGGAGGCCCGCTTTCAAGTCATCGATTGTTGTTTCGTTTCAGGATCAAAATGGTGGATCCAGGTCCCGTCCATAGTCACAAAACGGAACAAAAAATTTTCTTGATCTGCTTGGAACTTTTCGAGGTTGACCCTCGAAATGTCAACTCTATTTTTCTTTTGCTCGTCAGTTAACATTCTGAATACCCAACGCGCAGAGACCTTTTTCATACGCAACTCATTCGCAAGGATTCTTTGAACGCTGCCATGTGAGATCCCCGTGACCTCAGCTACATGCCTGATGGTCACTCTTCGATCTGCCAACACAACATCTTCGACTTTTTTCACGTTGTCTTCAGTGAGGGACGTGGATGGGCCTCCTTCGCGATGTTCATCTTCAGTGGATGTTCCGCCCAGTTTAAACTCCTTGGCCCAGCGTGCAACTGTAGAATATGGAGAAGCAGAGTCCCCCAATGTTTCCACTAAGTCACTGTGTATGTCTTTTGAAGACATTTTTTTTCAAACAGAGGTACTTGATGACAGCTCTAATTTCGTTTTTCTCCATGTTGATGTTATCTCTTTGACAGTTCGTATTCAAATGAATGTATCTCCCGGAAATCGTGATCTATTTATATGATTTTTTAGGCTGACGTAGTGAGTATATAAGCAAGCAAAAAATATTTTTTTTTTGGATTTTTATGCGGACCTGAAGTAACCGATTATCATTACTTTTGGATCACCCCTCGTAGTCCAAGTCAATCAAATAGGCATTATTAAGGATAACCCAAAAACTACTGGTCTGGATCTTGATCAAATTTATACGGGACCACATATAGGGTATGTCCCGAAACGTTTCCCAAATGACGTCATCAACCCTAACATTGAAATTTTAGATATTATTATTTTCTTCTTAAGTTTTGTTCTCAACATATAATACATTCCTATATTTTCTATTATATTATAATACCTTTAAACGAGAAATTCTTATATAAAAATATATATATATATATATATATATATATATATATTCGGAATCTCGGAAACGGCTCCAACGATTTTCATAAAATTTAGTGTCCAGGGATCGGGAAAACTCTAAATAGGATTTATTTTTAGAAAATGCAATGAAAAACTGTTACAATATAAGAAGGTAAATTTTGAGACGGTGTTAATGATCGTAATAGCTCAAGTGGATATCGAGCGGCCGTGAAATCGTAATAACCTTGGTTCGCATCCTGTCTTCGGTCCGATTTTTTTCCTTTTCAAGTTCCCTTCTTTTTGTGAGAAAATCTATTATTTCGAGCCCTTTTTTTAGTTTTTTTTTTTAAAAATACGAAAATTTTAATTAAACTAATTGCACGCATGATTTTTTATTCAAATAACCAGTTCAGTTTTTTCTATTATGTAAATAAGATTAAAAAATATTATTTCATCAGTATGTAATTTGTATCAAATGTAATATCAAAAAAAAACCGAGCAAAGCTCGGTCATCCGGGTACTTTCTTTTTATTTATTCAAATACAAAAAATTATAAAATAATTGGTATCTGCAATTATTTTATAATTTTTGTAGTAAATCAAATAAACTGGTATCTCCATTAGGAGGATATAATAATTTTTGGAGCACAAAATGACAATAATCGCCAACACTTTTCCAATATGGCGCTAATGTATGACGTCATATACTGTCCTATGTTTTGGTACGAATCACCAGTATAGTGACGATTCATGACGTCATTTGCATTGGACAGTACACTGGGTTCTATTTTGGAACATACCCGAGAAGTATAGCTTTCAAATAAAAAAAGAAGCATCAAAATCGATTCACCTAGAAAAAAAGATAACAACAAACAAGATAACACATATAAAAAAATTGAAGTTGGTTAATAAATTGCAAATTTTAAGAAGGAGTCCCTCGTAGCATAGCAATGGTCAACGCTAGGGTTATTGTGAATCAATGAAATTAGAAATCAAGCTAAAAAGTGTCAGCTTTTCTCCAATAAAACCACGACAACTCACTTATAGTCAACCAAATCTAAGAAATGAAATACGTTTTGACAGCCGTCATACTTATTGCACCAAGCATGCTAACCAAAAAACGGGAACGTACAATATTAGATTCTTTAAAAAATCGATATAGATTATTTAAAGTTGGTAATCATTTACAGTTTGGTTTGAATAATACCAAAATAAATTAAAAACGGATAATTTAAAACAATATTTATCAGTTTTTTCGTATTTGTTGTTACTGCTTATTTCTAAAGGCAAAGTTATAAACATTTAAGATTAAAACTAGATTAAAAATAAATTTATTCAATCACTTTCAGTGCAACTAGTTGAGCTTTCATTGTTTAGATTAATTATTATTTGATTTTCAATAATGCAGTCAAAATTAATGTCTCTTTCAAAGTCATAATCAATATTTTGTTTTTCTACCACTTTTGCCCAAGCATCCTTTGTGACACGGGCACATGCTTCAACGCATGTATGTAGAAGAAACAGTTAAAATGTTAAAGCCGAGTCATAAAATAAGAAGACAAACATAAAATCACAAAATTAGGCTCCCGAAATGGCGGGAAATTGAAATTACATAGTGATTTTTTCAGCGCGGCCTCGTATATGAGTTTTTTGCCTACACAAATTTACGTTCGTAAAGTTAAAAAAATAACTTGTTTTATTCATGCTTCATGTAATTTAAAGAGTTTTAAAAATAGAAATTTTGTTAAAGAAATAATATATTAAAAAAATTATGATTCGATTATTTAAATAGTTTTACCGATTATTTGAATATTTTTGCAGATTATTCGAATACAATGAATTTTAATCATCTAAACACTACGGTTAGGTAAATAGCGACATATCATTGAAACGACGTCAAGTAAAAAAGTTGATACAACTTATTTTTTTAATATATTGCTTTGTTTGAAAGATTCGAATTTAAATTAGTGATAAAAAACTATAAAAGGTTGTAATGAAATAAAGACCACTTCATAATTCTTAGGATTTTCGTAAAAGGTTATTTGAAATGGTGTGAGTATGCTTGTGCAAATTTATTGCGGAATTATTAATGTGAAACGTCAAAAGGTATTTCTTAGATTTGGTTGACTATAGTTAACTGTTTAACTACTATGTACGTTGTTTAATTTCACTCTTAAATTGTGTATAATACTTTATAACACATAGTGTGTTATAAAGTATTATATACAATTTACTTTACTTTCACAAAGAAGACTATATATTAATTTAACTTTAAACACAACCTTTAGAATCACCTTATTTCACAATAGAGACTATTATAACCTTCTCAGCGCCACTGTTCGCAATCAACTGCCGCGAGCGTCAAGTGTACGCGCTTTTATATTGTGACTCAATTTTAGAATTAATGTAGGTAGTTTGAAATAGATTCATATTAATTGTGGATTGCTAAGTAATATTGCATAATGATCATTTATCTAACAAAAGAAAACAAAAACTATCATCGTATTATAAAAACAAAACTAAAAATATTGACTTTTGACAACTTGACTAGAAAAAAGGCAAAATGGTTTTTTTTATATCACTAGATATTGACCTCACTTCATTTGAAACTCTATGAAGTCATTTGGAGGTGAAACAGATTTCAATTAAGTTCATGCATTTTTGATAAAATTAAATGTCATTGTAGCGGCGCTGTCGTCGCGCCACAAGCGAAATACACCGAAGCTTTAATCACGCTATCAACATTCCGAATCATAGACAGTATATATAGAACTTCTCCGAACTATCACTCGGAGTGTTGGCCGCTCCCCGGGCAGAACACCTTGCCCGGCGGGGAGATCTCCCCTTTTCCTTCCACGGCCACAGTGGTGACTACCCGACGTGATCTGAACACGCAACCAAACAACCTTCGGAAACTTCAAGCTTCATCATCGTCATAGAATACCCCACCCATTCGCTTCCGAGCAGATATAAACTGCAGTCTTCATATCCTGCAAGCCTAGCTTCACAAGGTTCATCGCAGCACTGGAATAATAATGCTTCCTGTTCCTTCAAGCTACTCTCTGCGCTATACAGTGTTCGGCACGGCTCTGAGCCTTACTGCTCGCCTCTGCCTCACGGCACTCTCGCAGATTACTTGCCTTCTTCTCGACTCACCGCAGACTACAAGGCAATCTCCTGGCACTTGCACATTCGTCGGCAACGAGGCTGCACTATCGACCTCCGGTCTGAGCAGGGGGTGATGTAGCGGCGCTGTCGTCGCGCCACAAGCGAAATACACCGAAGCTTTAATCACGCTATCAACATTCCGAATCATAGACAGTATATATAGAACTTCTCCGAACTATCACTCGGAGTGTTGGCCGCTCCCCGGGCAGAACACCTTGCCCGGCGGGAGATCTCCCCTTTTCCTTCCACGGCCACAGTGGTGACTACCCGACGTGATCTGAACACGCAACCAAACAACCTTCGGAAACTTCAAGCTTCATCATCGTCATAGAATACCCCACCCATTCGCTTCCGAGCAGATATAAACTGTAGTCTTCATATCCTGCAAGCCTAGCTTCACAAGGTTCATCGCAGCACTGGAATAATAATGCTTCCTGTTCCTTCAAGCTACTCTCTGCGCTATACAGTGTTCGGCACGGCTCTGAGCCTTACTGCTCGCCTCTGCCTCACGGCACTCTCGCAGATTACTTGCCTTCTTCTCGACTCACCGCAGACTACAAGGCAATCTCCTGGCACTTGCACATTCGTCGGCAACGAGGCTGCACTATCGACCTCCGGTCTGAGCAGGGGGTGATGTAGCGGCGCTGTCGTCGCGCCGCAAGCGAAATACACCGAAGCTTAAATCACGCTATCAACATTCCGAATCATAGACAGTATATATAGAACTTCTCCGAACTATCACTCGGAGTGTTGGCCGCTCCCCGGGCAGAACACCTTGCCCGGCGGGAGATCTCCCCTTTTCCTACCACGGCCACATCATCAATTATTTATAATACATCTAAATAGGGTTTCTAAATGAACAATCTCGAAACAGTTTCAAAATCAGAATGGCTTATAATTTTCTTTACATACCAAATTATGAAGAGTCGTTGTTCGAATACTATCATTTTTGATATAATTTCTACAAGAGACAGACAAACGAGCACAAAAGTCCTGTTGATGGTGAGTGGATAACGTAGCCCATAAGCACCTACATAATAGTTTTGCTCAGAATGCGGACGCATTGACTCCCTAGAGGTCTAAGGAGGAATTTCTTATTACCAGCACAAAAGGGTCATCGGTTCTTAGCTTTCACTATAACATTCACAATAGCATTAATCTGATATTTCATGGTGGTATTCTGAGTGAGTGTGGTCTTTGCTCTGTCGAGACAACTTATTCATATTGCAGCTGTATAACAACCCTCCAGACTGCTGTATAACATAGCTCTATCGTGTATAGTTAGTATGCTATTGCTACTCACATCTCGGTGCCGATGAGGGTGTACATGAGCGCGCTGATCTCGCACCAGGATCTGTAGATGCCCAACAGCCACTCCTCCACGGGATGGAACCTACTCGCATCAGCCTCCACCGCCACGCCGGTCTCGCAAGCAACACGCTCCGCTTCTACAAAAAATTAACGAATCGTTTTAACTTCTACTTTATTAGAAAATAAACCCCCACCGCTGAATGTGGGCCTCCACTATTATAAAGAGATAAATATGCAATATTTGCCAGACTTGGCAAGTAGATTGGCGAATACAGTATTGACGGCTATAACTATCCTATATATACATTTTTAGCTTGACATTGACAGATTATTATTATATATTGGCATTACAGAATAATAATATATATTAGATATTGGTACCAAATTAAAGAGTACGTCTTTGTCTATGTCTGTATTATACATTCCAGTATATCTTTGTTAGTTTATAATGACAAACCTATTTTTGTCGGGTTGGCCCTCATAAATTCTTAAGGTACACATGTGTTCCTCTACCGAGCGAGCGTCGGCGCGTCGTGTCGGGCACACATGTGTCCCTTAACGACGCTACAGGTTAAAAATAAAAATGCAGATCTTCAGCTATATTATGGTTTTAGCCCAAATTGATCAGCACCGGAAAAAGACTATAAGGTTAATGCTGAGTGCAGAGAATCTGAGATCCTTATTTTTTTTTTATAGAAGAGGGGACAAACGAGCATGCGGCTGCCTGATGTTAAGTGACTACCGCTGTCCATGATCAACCGCAACACCAGGGGAATTGCAGGTGCGTTGCCGGCCCTTTAGAAAGGAGTAAGCTCTTTTCTTGAAGGTCCCCAGGTCGTATCAGTCCGGAAAAATCGCCGGTGGTAAACTATTCCACAGACAGGTTGTACGCGGAAGAAGACTCCTTTTGAAACGTACTGTGGTGGACCGCCAAGCATCCAGATGGTGTGGATGGTATCTGGACGTTTGCCGCGTAGTGCGTTCACGAAATTTGGCGGCTGGGATTAATCCGAACAATTCCTCAGAGCACTCTCCATGGTATATGCGAAATAAAATGCAAAGAGATGCAACATCTCTTCGCAGTGCCAGTGAATCGAGCCGATCGGAAAGCACACAGTCGTCGACGATTCGAGCCGCTCTGCGCTGGATGCGGTCAAGTGGAAGAAGCTGGTACTGGGGAGCCCCAGCCCAGAGATGGGAACAGTATTCCATGTGCGGCCGAACCTGCGCCTTATAAAGTCGCAGGCGGTGTGCCGGCATGAAATACTGTCCCGCTCTGCTGAGCACGCCAAGCTTTTTAGAGGCCAATTTGGCCTTCTCTTCCAAGTGACCACGAAACTGCACGTCACTCTATATGTCAACGCCGAGGATTCCGATACTGGCAGAGGCAACAAGGGGAGTGCCTTGAAACTGAGGAGATACGACAAAGGGGTTCTTTTTAGCGGTTAACGCGCAAACTTGTGTCTTCTGGGGGTTAAACTGGACTAGATTTAGTCGCCCCCAATCCGAGGACTCTGTTCAGCAAAGACTCGACTTCAGACACAAGTTTGTCCCGGCACTCGGAGACGTTTCCCCGAGAAATATTGGCTCGGCCGGTGTAAAGAGCATCACCAGTGCTGTCATCTGCATAGCAATGAATGTTACGGGTTTGCAACATATCATTGATATGCAGAAGAAACAGCGTTAGCGATGATAGCACGCAGCCTTGTGGAACACCAGCATTAATAGGCTTGCAACCGGAGCTTGCACCGTCTACAACGACCTTGATGCTCCGATCTGCAAGAAAGCTGGTGATCCAATCGCACAATTTCTCGGGAAGCCCATAGGAAGGGAGCTTCGAAAGAAGCGCTTTGTGCCAAACCCGATCGAAGGCCTTCGCAATGTCCAAACTAACGGCCAATGCCTCGCCCTTGGACTCTACTGCCTCCGCCCATCTATGAGTTAGGTAGACCAGAAGATCACCAGCTGACCAACCACGGCGAAAACCGTATTGGCGGTCACTTATCAGTTGGTGATCCTCAAGGTACCTCATGAGCTCGCAGTTTACAATAGACTCCATTGTTTTGGAGAACAAGGAGGTGATGGCGATAGGCCGGTAGTTGGACGGGTCTAAGCGGTCGCCTTTTTTAGGGATCGGGTGGACGAAAGCCGTCTTCCATGATTTTGGGACTACGCCTAGGGAGTAGGAGTACCGGAAAAGACGCGTCGCGTTAAAACCGGTGCCAACTCTGGAGCACACATCCTCAGCACAATTGGGGTGATTCCGTCAGGCCCACTCGACTTGTGGATGTCCAGGAAGAGGAGTGCTTTGCAAACCGAGCGCTGTGTGAACTGCACTTCCGGCATGGAGCACTCACACCGCGGGATGGTCGGCGGCGTACTTCCCCCCGTCATCGAGAGTAGAGTTGGACGCAAAGAAAGAGCCTAGAAGATCGGCTTTCTCCTTTGCGGTATGGGCCAGTGAGTCGTCCCCTCTGTGCAGAGATGGAAGAGATGGCTGACAGAAATTCCCCTGGACAGCCTTGGCGAGAGACCAGAATGCACGGGTTCCAGAAGGAAGGCGGACTAGTTTCTCGCCAATTCTGCCTATGTGCTCTGACTTTGCCTTGGCATTGACTCTTTTGAAGGACCTAGAGGCGGAATTATACTTGTTTTTAATAGCGCTGGTGTTTACATCCCGGGACGCTGATGCGTCAGCCCAGGCTTGGTAGCACTCCTGCTTATAGCATGATGCTATTTTACAGGAGCGACCAAACCATGGCTGAGATTTACCTCCAATGCGCACCACATTCCTCTGGAAGGAATAAAAAGTTCCATACACTGAAGTACCACATCAGCGACAGAATCAGCAACAACGTTGGGATCGTCCGTCGAGAAGCAAACCTGCCCCAAGAGTAGGATGCAAAGAAGGACCGCATCCCATCACAATCGGCTGACCTATAGTGCCAAACACGGCGGCAGCCTGCAGATTGCATCTGCGATTTCAGCGTGAGTGGCACCACACTCCGGACAAGACAATGGTCCGAGGAGCCTAAAGGGGCTTCGACGGAAATCTGATATCCATCCGGGTGAGAGGTCAACAGAAGGTCCAACAGGGAAGGTTCATGATCCTCCACATCTGGAATCCGCGTAGGCGAAGTAACCAGCTGTGTCAGACCATATGCCAATGCAAAATCATGAACAGATCTCCCCGCATGATCGGTTAAACGTGAACTAAGCCATTCGGCGTGATGGGCGTTAAAGTCGCCGAGGATCACCGACACCTGCGTCTCGGTCAGAAAGAGCAGAGCCGGCCTCGCCGTCTCGAGATGGTAGTGGACGGCGTTTAGGTTAGAGTGAAGTCCCCTGATATTGCATAAATTCACGGACAACGTGGCAGGGGTCGCCTTGGTCTTGTTGCTCCGTTTTCCCCGAGCAGTTGTAGTCTTGAGCGGAATTTTGCCCCCCCCCCCGCCAGGATACACGGGGCAGCCTGAGCACCCACGCTCAGAAGTTGAGAAACATGGTCGTGGATGCTCAGCGAGGGATTCTCCAGCGGTGCTGGTACCCTCCTGGGGTAGTCTATCATTATTTAATTCCGATCAAGCCCCGCCCAACGCCGCCCCCCCACCAATGTTTACTCAACTACCATAACAACTTCACATCCATTTTTTTTTTTATTTAGTAAAAGGGGGGGGCACAACAAACAGAACGGGGTGCCCAAAAAAAAAAAAAAAAAAAAAAAAAAAAAAAAGAAAAAAAAAAAAAAAAAACATGTACTGTTGTGTTTCATATGGTCAGTGAGAAGAACCAGAGATTCTTCATACTAGTAATAAGGCATTCCATCTAATGCGGGGTTTCTATATTTAAAACGTTTCGTTTTCTTTTACGAACCGTTTTTCAGTAAATGAAGTGTTTTAAATGTATACTATTTAGAAGCTGTTTAAAGTTTTGTTTTTTATTTAAAGTTATGTGGCTGAATGAATAGTTTGAAATATAACATACTTTTACATGCAACTTAAATGTTATAAAACAGATCGTTACGGAAAATGAAACGCTCCTAGAATATAGAAATCAGGCATTAGTCCTCAGATAGCAATCATATCAACATCTACATTTTGATGGATTTAGGTTTATATGGGCCACACCATACACTTACCATCAGTTGGACGGTGTGCTCTCGTATTTCATCTTTAATGCTATAAAGCACGGTCCAGAGCCACCTGCATCCAATGACTTCCACCATCTCTTACCAGGTCTACATTCCATATAGTGGGCGAACGCCCTATATTTCGCTCGCCGATAGACTAATAATAAAATATTTTCGATACAAGGCTTTTCACGATTTGGAAGACCATACACAAGCAGTGGCAAAACACAGCAAGAAACTTCCTGGTTCATTATCCTATGTAATAAGATGAAAAGTATTGAGTCATACCGCAGACATAGTGCAATAACGCTGCTTCTTCCTCTGGAGTTACCGCTGCTTCCTCACAAATAAACATATCACTGCTTGGCAACCTGGAAAGTTATACGGTTTTAATATATTACATAAAACATTTAAAATACAAGCATAAAAGTAATTGTTTCATCCCAAATATTTTCAAATATGACAGTATACATTGCATGACATATATGCCTGTATATCTTTGCTTTCATTTTTAACATAAAATAAATATGATCATTTTTTTATATTCTGGACATACAGAATTCTTCGCCTCGCCTCAGGTTTCTTCATCGCCAAGCACGTGGTATGTCAGCACTTAAAATTGCAATAAACAATTTTATGTATGCCACTGGTGTTAATTAACAAATAATAGTAGGGATGTATGTCTTTATAACTGATACAAGTTCGAAATTCCACTGTAATTAATTTAATTTTAAATATGTATACTCAGCAGGCTGTATTTAACTTTCAGCTGCATGTTAATATATAAAACACAACAAAATAAACGCTGTTTTTGCCTTAATATAGACTTCAGAGACTATTAAAAAAAGAACATTTGAATTCACACAAAATTCACAGCTCATTCAATCAATCAATAAAAAAAATAAACACTTTTTTGACCTTGAGAACGTCAACATATGTATATAAATCATTATATAACTTGAATGTCACATATGTAATGATTTCTTATGTTTACGCAAACTCTACACGCTACACATTTAAACAAAACTGGTTTTTACGGGTTTTATCGCGTTTATTAACTTATTTTATATTCCCGACGTTTTTAGCACTATACAGCACCCATAGTCATGTCACCATCGAAGTTTGATTAATACCTACGAGTGCCAAACCACCGCAGTTGTATGAGTTACCAAAAATACACAAGCCCAATGCCCCACTACGTTCCATAATGGATCAAGTCGATTCACGAAAATACTCTCACCGCTTAGGAGTCATACAAGTGCAAACAAAAATGATTCCTACCATTTTGTCAGCAAAATTAGACCTTTGATATGCAGTCACTGTTCACAGGCTTACCTGTTGAAGACTGCATCTCAATTGTAACTAGAAGGCTAACAAAATGACCATAGTATATGCAGTATTACTCAGACACTGCCTTAATCTGGCTACCTATTGTGGAAGGACGAGTCTTACAAGCAAGTAGACGGTATGGCGATGGGCTCATCTGTATCTCTCATTGTCGCAGACATATTCATGCATTTTGAGGAGAAAGCCCTGCCTCTCCCGGAAATCTTAGATTCTACAAGCAGTATATAGAAGGCACTTTCTACATTTAGAATAGAATTCTACCTTTAGGTAAAACTGCACTTTTAGATCTATAATACAGGGTGGCGCAGTAGAACGTGCATTTATTAAGTATAGGCTAAAAAAAATAAATACAAAAGGTATAGTTGAAATAAAATATAGGATGATTAGGTAATTAAATGTAGTTTATTTTTTAAAAATAACATCATCTAAATGACGGCCCTCTCGAAGACGGCACTCCTCTAAACCATTGACTTATATATTACTAGCGTAAGGACCGGGCCGACCGAACAACTAAAACGGACCAGTGCGTTGGCCCTAAAATTACAGTTTAGGGCCAACGCGAATCGGTCGACAGTGGTGCGCGCGCAGGACAGATTTGCCTGTCACAAATATGTCTAGTTGCGTGGTAAAATAATGCAAAAATTACGATACAAAGATAAAAAAAACATGGGATATCGTATCATCGGTAAATAACCTTATATTAATTTTGTTACAATTAAATTATTATATTAACACATTTTTAAAGTATTATTTCGCAGTTAGTTCAATTACTTTACCAAGATTAGGCCAGGGTTGGATTCAGACCCTCAAAAATATTGTACATGGCAAATAAAATTATACTATTTTAAAAAAAATATATCACGTTTGACGTTTCATGTTTCTTTTTTCCATTTGGCGGGATTTTGGCGTCACGCGTCTAGTTTATCTATACGTTTCGTTTTTTGACGGTTTTATTTTTATTTCTGTTTAATTTTTGTCTAAAGAATTTAGTGTAAGTTAAATTTTGAATATTGGTACCTAATATATTTTATATTCAATAAGTGTAAAACGAAAAGAGAACAAAAGAAAAGGATCGATCGAGCATCGATAGACCAGAAAGGGAGCTTATTCTAATTTTATTAAAAAAACGCGGTACTCATGTACAATACAGAAATTCTCAATATCGCAGGGTTAATATTGAAATGTAAAAGGACCCAATAAATTATTATTATAACTAATACATAATTTAACCTAAAGGTCGACTTGTATTATTATTGGGTCATTTTACATTTTAATATTAACCCTACGATATCGAGTATTTCTGTATTGTACATGCGTACCACGTTTTTTTAAAAATAAAATTAGAATTAGCTCCCTTTCTGGTCAATCAGTGCTTGATCGATGCATTTATGTTGCATCCTTGATACAACTATAATGAAGTCGACGTTTGTATTATGACAGATGCGCTACTTTTTCTTGTATGAAAAAGCTATGAGTAAAATATTTAGATGGGCCTATCCTTCCTTCCTATTGAAATCATTGCTCTAAACGCGAACGCAGATTTGTGAAAACTCTTGTCAATAAATCTGGGGTGATGATTTTCCTTTAGCCGACTGATGATCCTCGGATAGTTCATGTAGACATTATGTTTGAGGTATCCCCACAAAAAAAAGTCAGGAGACGTCAAGTCAGGGCTACGTGGGGGCTAAGTGATATCACCTCTATTGGAAATTAGTCTTGCAGGAAACATCTGTCTCACAACCGCCACAGAGTCATTTGATGTGCGACAGGTCGCTCCGTCTTGTTGGAACCAAGTCCTCGCATTCGCTATTCTCGATCTCGCAAGTTCTGGAGTCAAATATCCCTCTAACATCGCAACATAGCGGTCGGTGTTAACGGTGATGTTTGGTCCTCGTGAATGTTCAAAGAAGAAAAGGCCAATAATTCCTTTGCTTGAGATTGCTGCCCATACCGTTACTTTCGGACTATGCAGTGGTTTTTTGATGTTTCATTTTTAGATTATCGGCAATTTTGTCAGTTTACGAACCAGATTTTAGTCTGTCTGTCAGATTTATCTCACAGAATACCAGCGTGAAATAGTAGCTTAATGCTGCTGTATTTCGTATGGTGAGTGTAGAGAACCGGAGACCCATTTTACTGGAAACGAGGCATTCCATCTTAGTCCTCACGGGTGACAACACATCTGCATTTTGATTCGTAATCGAGGATAGATGTAGATGTCTATGGGCCACAGCAACCACTTACCATCAGGTGGACTGTGTGCTCGATTGTCACCCTATCCTATAAAAAAAAAAAAAAACCATTTAAATGAAAATGAGCCGTCAGAAAAAAGGATGTTGTCAAAAGAGGAAAATCGACTAAACATTTCTACAGCAAATGCCAACCTTGCTCCAAAGTCGGCGTCTTTTAATTCCTGTGTTAACTGGAGCTTATAAGGATGCAGTTTAAGATCCAACTTCAAAATTCGCTGTAAACTTCGTCGCGACAAGTTTAAAGCCGCCGATCGCTTCCGAGTAGACACTTGCGGATTTTTTTCTACTGACTCCTTCACCCTCTCAATATTGTCTGTGGTCCTAGACATTCTTGGACGACCTTTTGCTGGTGGTTTAAATGTGGAATCGGTCTCTTCAAAACGCTTTATCCATATTTTAATTAAATTTGCACTTGGAGCTTCATTAATGTGTGTTAATCCACATTCAGAACAATACATTCGCGAACACAAAAAGCGCGACGCTTCCCGTCGAAGTGACTCATGGTTACTAAAACTCCACGAGTGCCACAATCCAACCACGCTAGGCTCCCCCCGCCCGCGCACTGTTTACCCCGCGAAAAAAGAAGACGCAATATGCACGTTCTATTGCGCCACCCTGTATATATGCCTATAATGATGATGAAGAGTAATCAGTTGACTACGGAGTTGAGGCAAACAATTCTTTAGTTTTTTAGATGTGTTATCAATTCGGAATCCTGACATACAGATAGATATTTAAACGGTGATTCTCACCACCATCCTTCACAGTTAGCTACCGTGGGTAAATTTTTATTTCAAAGAGCAAGAGGGATCTGTGACAGTAAACACCTGGCTGCAGAGCTCCAACATGTCAAGCAAGTTTTGCATGACAAGCTTCAGGTCCCGCATCTACGTCATATTGAACGAGTGAAACCGGCCACAATCGAGCGCGTGCCAGCTGTATTGCCATATGTCAGAGGTGTCACTGACAAGATTGACTACATCTTGAAGGGACCTTTTATTACAACATTTTACAAGCCGCCGAAGAAGATTAGTCAGTTTTTAGTATCAGTCAAGTGTAATGTCCCTCTGAAAGAAGCTTCATTGTGAATGTGGTCTCCCCTACATTGGACAAACTAAAAGATCTATAAAAACCCGAGTTAAGAACACATAGCTGATGTGAAGAATCGCTCTGGGAAGTCTGCAGTCTGTGAACCCATGCAGGATCACCCCCATCATTACATCAGATTTGATAGACCACAAATCCTCACTAAACAACACCGATTCCTTCCAAGAATGATCCGCGAAGCTATTAAAATCATGAAACATCCTATATCCCATCTGCTTGGGATACTATAATTAATAAGTCCATACTACGTAGATCGGATTAAAAATTAATAATTTCAATCTGGAGGTAGCCATGGTTAACTGTGACATTGGGACGTCGAACACCTCAGTGCCCTCGTGACTATGGGTGTATAGTGCTCGAAACGTCGGAAATATAAAATAAGTTAATATACGCGGTAAAATCCGTAAAAACTAGTTTTGTTTAAATAATCATCACACTCCACACACAGCTCATTCAGTCATATTAAAATTCTTTGGTGACAATCTCTACTCTGTGCAACTGTTTGACTACAGACTATTACGTATTTGACATTTTTCTTATACAGACTATTAAGTATTTGATATTTTTCTTAGACTAATAACATACATGTACTTGTACTTTGAGACTTTGGAGTATGAATGTCAACAATGTATGATTAATTTAATTTAATGTATTTATATGTGTTACACATATTAAGTATAAATTTTAGCTTTCTGCACTCCTCCTCTATACAAACTAACTATGCCAAATCTCACACTCCTATGTGGGGGCAATATTCTTAAAAAGGAGTACAAATTTTTCCTTACACATATTAATATATAGATTTCTTTATACGTCTTGATTTCATATATGAAATTACTTACATGTCAGGCTGTGAATCTAGCGCGGCTTCATCATCCTCTAGAGGAAGCTCGTCCCTTACACTTTCTTCCGCAGAGGCCAGAAGCTAAGAAAAAACATTATGTTCTTAATTGTACAAATAGATAATTATACTGCATATGATCATAATACCGTTACGGCAGACAAGTTAAATATATTGTTAAAAATAAACCTGCAAAATATCCTCGTGGCGGATCAGAAAGTGATCGGGATCTGGAGGAGCTGGCCCCGCACTCAACAGCGGGAGCAGGAACTGACCCAGCGCTGGAGCTTCCGCCTACAAAAATTTTTTTAGACCAGTTAGATAATGTTGATATTCTGGCAAATATTGACCACAACCCTTTTAGTCGGCTAAGAAAAACCCCAAGCTATTAACTATACAGGAGAAATTATCATCCACATTGTAATGTGGTACTAACAGATGTAATGTGTAGAGCAATTTTTCACGCTAGGTAATGTGGGGTGTTAACCAAACGTTGCCTTTATTTACTCTTTTTATAATTAAAAACAAATGTAGCATAGGACTGTAGTTCAGTAGTTTAGCATTTCGCTGCAGTAAGCTGTGGGTCGCAGGTTCCATTTCTATATTTTTTTTTATAGGATAGGGTGACAAACGAGCACACAGTCCACCTGATGGTAAGTGGTTGCTATGGCCCATAGAAATCTACATGTATCCTCGTATGCGATTAACCCGTGAGGACTAACTAAGATGGAATGCCTTGTTTCCAGCAAAAAGGGTCTCCAGTTATCTACACTCACCATACGAAATACAGCAGCTTTAAGCTACTATTTCACGCTGGTATTCTGTGAGAGCGTGGTCCTTCCCCGGTCGAGCCGACCCCATTCATGCTACGACTATACTACTAATATAACTGCAGCATGGCTCTATCACACAGTACAACATGGAAGAAAATCCACACAGGGTTAATATGAAAAAGAAAAGAAAGAGGCAGAGGCATTCGCTCGTCCTAGCCAAACCTTATCAGATGTAATGCTAACATATTAAAACGAAAATAGGCTTGGATATAGTGTCAAACAAGTGTAAAATTACAACAGTCAGACCCAAACACAAATTGGTGTTTTTGCATAATAGTACCCGGTTGACCGAGCTTTGCTCGGTATTTTTCACTCGGTTTTTTCTAATTCGTGTGTTTTGAAAATTATATTTAGATACAAATTACATACTGATGAAATACGAATAATATTTTTTGATCGTAGCGACATAATAGAAAAAACTGAACTGGTTATTTGAATAAAAAATCATGAGTGCAATTAGTTTAATTTAAATTTTCGCGTTTTTAAAAAATACTAAAAAAAGGGCACGAAAAAATAGATTTTCTCAAAAAAGAAAGGAACTTGAAAAAAAAATTAAAAAGTCGGTCGGTCGGTCTGGGCTCGAACCATGGTATTACGATTTTGTGACCGCCCAATATACCAATTAAACTATTTGTAATCATTAATAAACTGTCAAAATTTACCTTCTTATTCTAACGATATTGTAGCAGTTTTTCATTGCCTAAAAACACGGACAAAAAGACATTTTCTAAAAATAAATCCTAGCTAGATCGATTTATTGCCCCCGAAACTCCCTGCACACAAAATTTTATGAAAATCGTTGGAGCCGTTTCCGAGATTCCGATTATATATATATACAAGAATTGCTCGTTTAAAGGTATAGGATATTAATTCCACTTTAAGTTCGAAACTAGGACATTAACATAGTAGCAATGGGTGCGTTTGGCAGAAAAAAGCGATAGCAAGCGCTTGTAAGCAAAATGGCGATCGTAAGCGGTAAGCGCTGTCAAATCGTAAGTAGCTATTTTCCTCCAGGACACGATGTTAGTTTTAACCGGAGAACCTAACCTAATTTAAATATATGTTTGTAAAGTATTCATATTAAAAACTTACCAATCATGAATTTTTAATAACATGTATATGTCTATTCATGTCATTATATTACTTAAAACTAATATTGCACAAAACAAATTATAAACTCTACTTCAAAACAAACAAATTAAATAAGCAAAATGGCGGATTGTGTCAGCGCTACTGAAGTAGCAATCGTGTCCTGGCCGAAAACTATTTTAGCGCTTATAAGCGCTTGCTAGCGCTTTTTTCTGCCAAACGCACCCAATGAACTTAGATTACTAGGCCTCTTATAATAATTATTTTAACATAGTGCACAAAGTACGTTACTTACCGGTTCCTTGTGGTAGTCGCTGCAGTCCACATCGCCAACGCCAGCCGCCTCCTTCCCAGATGACGTGTCGGATAGCCCAGCTAAAAATTATTTTCATTAGAACTTTGTTGTGAGAGGGCTGGTATATACACGCACACATTCAAGCACGCTCGCACGTACGCGCCCAAATAGTAGGAGGCGCTCAATGATGCACTTGCCAGTATGAGGCTGGCACTTGAAAACACTTTTTTCCCTATTGGTATATTACAGGCTATTTCATGTTGATGTTTGCTAGAGGTCTTAGCCCACTTACACGACTCCGCTCCCACCCGGAAAAATAATATAATTCAAATATGGGCTTTAAGTATTGCTCTTTAGATATATTTTACATTGGCAACATAAATTAGCCGCACAATTATTACCCGCACCCAAAATCTTCGTCTGTTGTTTTTTAAGCTTCTATCTTCATCGTCAAGTCCAATAGCAATAATCGCTAGTTCTCGCGTTGTGAATCGAGACATACCAAAAATACGATGGAAACTGACCACGAACTGTGTCTATCGCGAAAAGCGAAAGCGGTCCGCGCGTAGACAGCTGGGTACCTGCTAGCTGTCGCCGCGTGGACTGCTGGGTGCCAGCTAGCTGTCGCCTTAGTTCAGGGCGGTATTGGGTATGAGCGGTGTTGGAGCAGAGTCGTGTAAGTGGGTTAAGACCTTTAAGGTGTCCATTAATTGTAGTTGGTGGTTTTTAAGACAATTCCACCAGGTGGACAGCAAACCAGTATGCAGTTTTTTTCCTAGTTGATTGAAGCATGAAAATGAAACATGCCAAAATTCATATAATCCGCTAACAAAAGAGATTTGCTAATCTGGCTCTTCGGCTCACAAAACCGCGGTTTTGCGGTGCTGTTATGATCCACCCGCCGAGAGGGCGAGGGAAATTACGAAAAACCTCTACTATAGTAGACTATATTATATGCACTGATAAGGATACTCACAAGCATCATCCAACTCCGTCCACTGGTCGTCTGAATCGGAGTCTGCGCCGACGTCAGACGCATCTGAGGGGGGGGCCCTTCGGGCGCGCAATGCTGCTCGACGAGCCATCGCGCTCCTACGTCGGGACGCCTGGACACACAAAATTTTCTTATTTTTATGCTATGTTATTTAAAAACGATGTTCATGCAGTCACAAATAATATCATCATTATCATATCAAAAAAAAAAGTCAAAAAAAAAAAAAAAAAATGCCGAACATAGCCCTCCGCCTTAAATTGCCTCATAGGGGATAATGGCCTTTGTGGGGTTTTCTCCTCTTATCATAGAAAAAATATTTGCTTGCAACCATAATTTTAGGAAGATGTAGCTGCCGATCTTGTTTCAGATTAGCCCTTACCTATCATGCTGAGACAATAATTGAGGTATTGACTTCCAATCGCTTAGGGTTTTACATTTTCGGATAGGTATATGTAGGAAGGTAGTTAAATAGAATTAATAAATTTTTGCAATCACAAAATAGACAGATCACAGGTAATCAACTATAAATTGACCGAGACTAATTTAATAGCTGATAATAATAATTAATTCGTTTCCATGAATTAATTATCCGAATAGTCTAGGATGAGCTAGTAACGGGCTACAACATGAGAACCATGCCACGCCAGAACCATGACTGCCTGCTCCTCTCTATTATCTAGATGTTAGTGCTGTTAGTCTATGCGACTCTTACAGCTTCACCTTGTCTCAGGGCTAAGCTAATTAAAAAGGGAAAGGCAATGAGGTGAAAATGATGATGAGATGGTTTATGATTTGATATTGTTACCAATCATCATGTCGCCTTTTAGGCGTTTTTCTTTGAGCTATCTAACCGCAGTCCGAGGGGGGGTGTGCGGACCCCCGTCTCTGACTGCTCAGCTCGTGTCGGTTGGTGGTCTGGGCGGTGAGAACCGTCCGGGAACGCGGGTGTACGGTGTGTACGCGTTGTGAGCTGGAACGCGTCGTGCTCGTCTACGGGTGCGACGCGTCCCATTCGTTGTCCTATGTGTGCCTGCAACGCTTGGGTCGACTGGATCGAGCAGTAGAGGTGGTTCCATTAAAACATTTCGCGGTCTACGGAGATAGGGCGCGACGTTTGTTATCGGAACGTAGTTAGCTGCGTTTGCCACTAGCAGGTTTCTACTCTATCAAAGTAGCGTTGGGACATCTCTTTAAAATATTCGGAGATAGATGGTAGTTCACAATCATTGTGTAAATCAGAGTTCCGTTGATACCACCGTGCACCGGTGGTTTTTCGGATGAAAAAGTTTTGTACTCTTTGGAGTTTTAAAATATGGGTCTTATATGTGTGGGCGAAAGCTACACTTGCATAGGACATAACTGGTCTAATGCAGGTTGTTGCCGGAGTTTGTGTCTTAGCGACAGCTTACTCTTGATGTTAACGAAAGGGTGTAGACGGCCAATTATTGACTTGGCTCTGTTGCGTACTACACTTATGTGCGTCTTGAAACTCATGCGGGAGTTGAAAGTGACACCAAGATATTTGGCCGATTTTTCCCAAGGGATTGGGCGGTTGTATAAAGAGATTGTTTTGGGTTTAGAACCTCCTGTAGAATTCCGTTGAAAGTATACTGCTACACTTTTTTCGGGATGCACGTCAATTCTCCATAGGGCGGAACCATTCACCAAGGCGATTGGTCGCTTAAAAAAATCGAGTAAGGCACACTGCCTGCTCCGCCGCTGCGCGGTCGTTTTATACCCGTTGTTGCAAAACAAGCCGAGTAGTGGGGTGGTGGGGGAAGCTGAGCGATGCGCCGGGAGGCGCGATCGGTGTCGTCATATACATATAAATAAATATGGCAGTGGTAGCAGATGTTAATCTAAATCTGCTATTGAAATTGATGAAATCTCCTCTAATGTGCAACTTAATAAAAGGCAATTATTTCGGTATAACAGATAGATTCTTCTATTATTTAACATGTGTTCAATTTCATTAACATGTATGGATCAGAACGTAACAGAACTAAACACACCTCCTTGCCCTTGGCGATGGGACGTCTACGTGGGGGCGCTCGCGGCCTTCCGGATTGTCGCCGACCCGACCACGATGACGACGAGGAACCACTGCCTGAGCTCCGGTGCGCCATCTTTAAAATTAAAAGTACATTAAGTTTGTTTTTAATTATGCAAGCAGCTATGCAGTTCTAAGACCAATATCATTGTGATCTATAAGATATATTGTGATGATCAATACTATGGCTATAGTTCACAGCTAAGCCCATAACTTAAATGAATTGGAGTTGATTAACTGTGAGCGATTTCACCTCTTTTGGGTTAAAGTACATAGTTGTCCAGTTGAGTGTTAGGGTGTGCAGAGGTGTTTCTTGCGTTAAGGAACACTATCAGCACAGTTGTTTATTTAAACAATGTCCAGTCAAGGCTTACATTAAGATACTTAGTGCTTTAAATTTTTTTTATATAATAATGTCCTCCAGACCGAATTATGGTCACGGCGGCCAGCCTCAACGAATACTAGCCATCGGGCAGAACAGTATTATAGTGCCCAAAGTGTATGCGCAAGCACAGGTGCATTCATGGGAATAGCCCTTACTTTCATGGACTGATGGGACAGTAAACCGACAACCGGAGAAAGATCAGGCGCAGGACAACAGCTTTACGTGCTTTCCGAGGCACGAGGTGATACATCACCAACTTCCTGACTCCAGGCAGCTACTCAGAATTTCTTAAAACTCAATAACTGATATTTTTAGCCCGACCCGGGATAGAAACCCGGGACCTCATGATCAGCAGTCGCCCTACTACAACCACTAGACCAATGAGGCAGTAAACTTTTTTATACAAGGGTTTAGTATACAAGGTTACTTTTTTATGAATTCAACTGATTGCTAGTTTAGACACCTACATTTATCTTTGATAAATATGTAAAAATAAATATAATGGAAAATACCAAAAATTATTATAGAATTCAATAGATGGCAGTCTAACAATCTCATTTGTTTCAGACATAAAACACCCAGACCGGTAACGGGCAACTATGTCAAAGGTATGAACCACATGGTACCGTAATCCTCAATCGATCTGCCGAGCATGACAATCAAGGCAAATAAAGTTCATGCCCAGCAGTAGGCATTTACAAACCCATAAAAAAGAAAGTCAATAGTGCATAGAGTATTGGCATATTTCTTATGTTTTTGAAACATTAAAAAAAATTTAAAACATCATCTTTGTGTTTTAGTTGCTTAAACTTTCAGAGTTCAGCTCATTAAGGATCCATTTGGGTTGCTTGCATTCTTTGAATTTTAATAGTTCTTCTGTTCATGGTACGGTATAAACATGATTCTAAAGCACTTAAGGAAAATAAATCTATCTATGCACCACTTCTACTATCAGAAACTATCATCTATGCAGGGAATGATAGAAAACCACAAGTGTACATGCATACGCACATCTTATCGTTGCATACATGTAACTGAAATCATCACAGCCCTACATAGGCCCCGAAAAGAGATGTTATGGTTCCGAGCCACCTACATGTTTTATTTAATGGTTTCTTATATACACACTACACGAAATAATACGTTTTTATTATATATTTTAACTTTTTAAATACCCGACGTTCCGAACGCTTTACAGCACTCATGGTCACGGGCAGGACTGAGATGTTCAATGTCCACATGTCATAGTTAACCGCGGTTACAGGTACACAGTCGAGAGTGTACCTGCTGTACTGCCATATGTTAGAAGAGTCACTGACAAGATTGGCTACATCTTGAAGCGCGCTTCCATCAAAATATACTTCAAGCCGCTGAAGAAGATTGGTCAGTTTTTACCATCGGTCAAGTGTAATGTCCCTCTGCAAGATGCAGGAGTGTACAAGCTTGATTGTGAATGTGGTCTCTCCTACATAGGACAAACTAAAAGATCAATAAAAACCCGCGTTAAAGAACATATAGCTGATGTGAAGAATCGACGCTCCGGGAAGTCTGCAGTCTGTGAACACGTACAGGATCGCCCCCGTCACTACATCAGATTTGACAGACCGCAGATCCTCGCTAAAGAACACCGATTCCTTCCAAGGATGATTCGCGAGGCTATTGAAATCAAAAAACATCCTAATTTCAATAGAGAAGATGGCTGGGTGCTACCATCTGCTTGGGATCCTATAATAAATAAAATTAAATCCCAACCCAAGCATACAACTGCAAGACTTCAAGATACCATAAGTTCATACTGCATAGATCAGAACAAAAGTTAAATTTTAATCTATGGTAACCGCGGTTAACTATGACATATGGACGTTGAACATCTCAGTCCTGCCCGTGACCATGAGTGCTGTAAAGCGTTCGAAACGTCGGGTATTTAAAAAGTTAAAATATACGCGATAAATTCCGTAAAAACTAGTATTATTTCAATGTTTTATTTATTTGTCCCTTGAAGTGGAGCGTCACTCAACACACCGCTTACGAGTACGAAAATGTACTGCTAACCGCTATCACTTGAAAAACTAGAAATAACTATAAGAATTAAAAGTATATAATTGGCCGGCCCTTTGCCACTTAACCTAAATGTACTGTTTCAACAATGGACATAATAATTACAGATTTACAGATTCAATCTGATGATTCACTAATAAATTCAGTGTTACAAACATGGAAACAGTAACCATAAACAGTTCTGTTTGCAGTTGAACTCAGGACAACACAACTGAGCACAAGAAACTACTAAGCTACTAAGTAATGTAAAGTGGTGATGATATACTAAGCTACTGAGTAATATATCATCACCACTATAGACAAATATAATGATAAACATAATACTGTATAGTTTTTCTAACAAACATTTTTCAACAGTGCCATGAAACTTTTTTTTTTATAGAAGAGGGGGCACATGAGCATACGGTTCACCTGATGTTAAGTGACTACCGCCGCCCATGAATATCCGCAACACCAGAGGAATTGCAGGTGCATTGCCGGCCCACAATCAAACAAGTTAAAAATAAATTGGGCAAGTGTCCTAGATCAAAATATAATATTGTGAGTTATCCAAAATAAAAATATAATTATGTTCATGATTATTATCATAGAATAAATAATAGTATCAAACATACAGAAGTTGCAATCTTCTGATCTTAAAAAAGCTACTACATTTTATATGTAAACATTGTGCGCCCAAACCAAATTGCACTTTGATAGATATTAGCATATGTTGTTTGTCAACATAACACTGCATGATTTACCAGGGTTATTGTTAATGGAAAAAGAAAACAACAAGATATTCATAATAATGTTTTAAGTTAATCAAAATGAGTATAATATTCGAGTAGAAAACTGGATTATACAACATTTAGATAGTTTAGATACATTATAATCATAAATTAGTACTTAGAATTCTGGATCTAATAATATAGTAAGTATGCCTAAGTACTATTTAAATATTTGCGCTATTGTCATTATCCATGGAAAAAACAGAGGAATAGGTTTTTATTGACTAAACTCTGATCAGACATCCATAAAGAGATAGGCCTTTAAAGGACACAACCTCACACGGTGATCGGATGCTCGACAATAGTAGCAGGGGGCGCCTCCCTGGCCACTAGGCCACTATAAGAAGGTAGGGGGCGGCGCCCTCCCGCGGGAGCACCGCTCGGTCTGAGGGGGGGTTGACGACGACTTGCCCGGGGGATTCCGCCTCTCCCTGGGCACGGCTCAGTTGGCAGTCTGTAGGTAGTTGACAGGGCCCGCTGCGTTTTTGATCTGCCTGCACTGCTCCTCCAAGAACCGCAGCAGATCCCTGAAGGGCGGAATATAGGAGGCGCCGTCCCCGCCATACCTCTCCTCGAAGTGGATCCGAAGATCGAGGGGCATGCGGGACAGCACAATGTGGAGTAGCAAAAAGGACCATTCGTCCGGCGGTAAATCCAGCCGCCTCAAAGAATTGCAGGCCACCAAGACTGGATTTACGATGTCCGTACGTAGTCTGTTAAGAGGCAAAATTGGGATAAAGTTTATACATCCCACTTTGCTGGGTGTAGAGTTCCAATCATTTTTGAGAGTGTTATGGAGCAATTAGTTTGAAAAGCTGTTTCAATGCACACTGGCATACTTAACACCCTTGAATTTCTTTAGTACTAGAAATATTGAATTTCTTAGACATGACACAAAATATGGTATTTTATTTGTTAGACAACCACATACAGAGTTGGACACCACATTTAAAAGAGATTTTCACAATAAGTATTTATAATCTATATTGAATAAACTAGTTCCTGTTTCTGTAACATATTTACGTGGTAGGGCCATGGTGGCTATATTACGGTTGTAGCATGAATTGGTCGCTTCATCCAAGAAAGAATTACACTCTCACAGAATACCAGCATAAAATAGGTAGCTCAATGCTGCTGTTTCGTATTGTGTGTGTGAAGAACCACCCCTTTTGAAATTGTGAAATTGACCCTCTTTACTGGAAACAAGGCATTCAATCTTAGTCCTTAGGGGTGGCAATGTATCTGGATTTTGATTATTATTTGAGGATAGACGTCGATTTCTATGGGTCATAGCATTCACTTACTATCTAGGTGAACTACATGCTCCCTTATCACCATTATCATGACTTCTATTAAATGGCAGCGTAACAATCCGTGCTTTGTGGCATTCCTTGAGGGAGGCCTATGTCCAGCAGTGGATTTGTGAAGGGCTGTCATGATGATAATGATAACTAACTTTCCACCAGATGTATACTACCCAGTAATGGAGCACTGTCAAAGGTGCAAGATGTCTGTTACTGTGACTGCTAATCCTTCTGCCAAAGGGGAGAGATTTTTGTCATTGAGACTGGACCCCATTGAGACTATCCAAGCTGCCGTTAACTCATTACTTTTGCAACAGCGGTAGCATATACTCTGCCCTACTCCCAAAATTAAGACATCATAATTAGACTTCACCTGGCCCTAGATTGCTACCTACTCACACAAGCACTTTCCTTGCCAAAAAGTGGTTGAAGGATGGAACAAGCTTCCATCAGAATCGATATCAGTGCAATCAATTTAAGAACAGATTGGATTAACAACTAAAACAGAAGGACTACACATTTGAAACTAGGATAACGGCTTACATCAGTTGTTTCAACTGCTGACCTGCTTAATAATAATAAATAATAATAATTGAGAAAAAGAAAACTAATTATATTCGATTGATTCATTTATTTATTATTGCTCCATGCTATTTTACTGCTGAAAATAAGTCTCCTATTTCTATTTTTAAGAAAACCAAAATGACAATTAAACTAACAGTCCACCTGATGGTAAGTTGCTACAAAAGTCCATAGACACCTGCAGCCAATTTTAAACAAAGAATGCTATAGATACCTCCATAGAATACTATAATACACAATAACACACCAATAGAATACAAAATAATTCAACCTTATTTTGTATGAGGATCAGTGTCACAGGGAGCACACATATAAGCAATTACATCATATTGTCACTACTAAAAACCCGATTCACTGTATTGACAGACTTATTGTTTTTGACACTACAATATTTTTTTTTATTTTTAGAAAGATATTTAAGATAAATAGTTTCGACTTACTGGTTTTACAATATGTCTCCTTTATTTAATTTCCATTTCCCGCTGTTTTTTCAACACAATTATTGCACAATTTGCCATTTTTTAAATAATTTGCATACAGCGACGCTTGACACGAAAATTGAAAACAGTTGATTGTGTTGACATTTATAGGTGTGGATCGACATGTTAGTGGCTACACGGGCTCCGCCCACTCCCCCCCCCCCCTTCTACTATGTATGTATTATAGTATCCTATGGATGCCTCCTTAATTCTGAGGATTAAGTTGGATTTTCCCACAGCTTGTAATAATACTGGCTCTCTATTTATCGTTCAATGCAAACACTGCATTTCTTTTAAATGTTACCTCCACACTAGGATTTTCTCATGAATCGTGGGGGCAGTTTACTAAGCACTACAACTGTTGATATTATAACCGTTGAAGTGTGATAATATTAGGTAAGAAAGTGATACCAGTCCAGACAGAAAAGGAGGCAAACCAAAAAATACCCACTACAAAGAATAACAATCTGATAAAACTTGTAGGGCAGGGTTAGCAAATCAATAGCATGGGTCACAATATTTTGGGCATGCCACCAATCACAAAATTCAACAAAAACAAACACAAAATTCACTATGAAGTATTATATTACAAAGGAATGTGAGTGATCCTAGTTACATCGTGGACTACTATTACAAATGAGACAATTTGTTTCATCACCATCATCATTACAGCCCTTCACAAGTCCACACCTCCCACAAGGAATACATAGTTCGTTTACGCATAGCATAATAGTTAATTTCGTGGACACAACTATATTTATAAGTTCATTTGTGTTATATTTGGGATTTTACAACCCCAATATAAGTTATTTGTCATCTAATCTACAACAGAAGTCACACTTATGTTACTATAATTTGAATTGTGCATATTAATAAATGTATAATAACTCAAAACTCTTTATTCATTTTTTGTAGCAAATAAAGAGTTTTGAGTCGAAAGTATTTAGTACTATTATTTTCCCAATATTCACAATGTCAATTTTTTTATGGCACATCTATAACCTAATTAAACATTTCTTTAGAAAAATGGCGTGTTGATACATAAAGGTTGGCCACCCCTGTTGTAGGGTGTAGGTGGCTCAGGAATTTACATTGTATACTAATCATCTGTTCCGTCCATTACAGCCTATAAAAGCTAAACATTAGCGTCCCCCTTAGACTGCCTAAATTTTTCCACAACTACCACACTTAGAATGGCAGGTTGGAAAGTGCAGTTTTTTTCATTATTTTCAATTGTTATCTAGAAGTTGCTGCTGCCCATCTCCAATTTCAGTTTATCTCAAGACAATCTCGAGACAATATGGATTAGTAGATATTCTTACACTATAATAATGTCCTCCAGACTGAATTTCGGCCACAGCAGCCTGCCTCAATGGAGGCTAGCCATCGGCGCAGGACAGGATTATAGTGCACAGGTGACTGCGCAAGCACAGGTGTACTCTCTATTCCCTCACTCTCATAATCCGATGGGATGGTAAACCGACACAACCGGAGAGAGATCAGGCGCAGGACCAACAGCTTTATGTGCTGTCAGAGGCACGGGGGTGAGACACCGCCAACTTCCTGACTCCGGGCAACTACTGAGAATTTCTTGACAGAAAAACTAATTTTTTGGCCCGACCCGGGATTCAAACCCAGGACCTCATGATCAGCAGTCGCACTACTACAACCACTAGACCAACGAGGCAGTCATTCTTACACTACCAATACAATGTACATTAAAAAATTAAAAAATCCGTACATGTCTTTGCCAATTTGGAAAATAATACTTTCATGATCATTTTCCCACAGTATCATTTATTTTCCAAGTGTGAAAATTATACCAGAATTTGATAAATATAAACCATATGGATAACGATTGTAAATAAAATAAAGATATTATTTCTTGTACTTGTTTTATAAGTGTACACTAATTTAGTTAATTTTGAAAAGTAATGGGCGATTTAATTTTAAATTACAATCAACTAATTTTTATGTCAAATATAACAAAATATTCAACAGTGGGATACTTACAGCGAATTCGAAGAGCGACGGGATGTCTGGTTGTGGCTCACCGTCAGCAAGACCAGCTAATAGGCCAAGCTCGGCACTCAAATCGGCTAACTCTGCGCCGATGCGATCCGCCCGGTCCGCATCACCCAGTTCATCTTTCAAAATATCTCCAATTTCATTAGAGACAGCCGCGACAGCCGAATAAAACTCATCTGAAGGCACACCTTCCACCACCAACCCTCCACCACCGTTCATCTCAGATTCTTCAGACGTCCCGGACCCACTGCGCCCTGAACGTTTCTCCATAGAAAACATCATTTATATACCAATTCACGCACAGAATCTGATATAAGAATCATCTAAATATACGACAGAAAACGTCCAATCACAAGAACACAAGAGATTTAGTCGCAGAAGAGCGAAAAATCATTTTTTCCTAGACCCCGATAGATCGCGAACTTTTTGACAATACCAATATGGCGACGGTATTTTTAGGTATTTTGTGACCAGCCGCGAGAGGATAGGATAAAGTGTCTGATTACGTATGGCAACTTATTAATCTGACATCTATATTAATCATGCTCCATGTTCACATTAATTTATTTAACAAAAAATATTTACCCTGCAAGCAACTACATGCATCAGATAGAATCACAAAATAATTTATATATAATGGAATTCTGCGTAGGAAACTGCTTCCACAAGAGAAAGGACATTAATAACTTAAATATTAGGTGTTTACCTGTGAAACCGCCGTTTTCTATGAAATAAGTTACCAATTTTTTTTCTAGATTTCTTTATTTCTATTAATCAAAGTAATTACCCATGCAATCGATGCATCTTTGCCAAAGCAGTTTATTGATGTTCTTCTTGAAAAAATCAGCTAGACAAGAGACACTCTTGGGTATTGAATTTTTTTCTCGAAAAAGTAGAAGTCTGTAGATACAAGGTCTAGTAATTACTGCGGATGGTGGAGGGCTTCCAACCCAGCTTGTGTAACTTGGAATAGCTTTTAAAACTCGCGCATTGTCGTGCAGGACAGGAGCAGTGGGGATTAGCATTTGACTACAGCTGATTGGAGACGTGCGAGCTTCTCCGTGATAGTGTTTAGTTCTTCACAGTATACGTCTGCAGTAATACTTATCACGTTTGGTAAGAAGTTGTGAGGACTGATGTCACCGGCGCTAAACCACCAAACAGTGAACATCACTTTTTAGAGGTAAGTTTTCGTTTAGGGCATTGTTTAGGTGCTGAACCGGGATTGGACCAACTTGTTGAGTATTTGAAATTGTCAGAGATAGTTTGTGTGCCTGTTTAGCAGTGCAAGGCACTTATACACACGGATAGAGTTCGTGGGGAACCCATTTGCCAAGCTTTTTTGTCGAAAGCTGCTGTTAATTAAATAAGATCCGTCCGTGACGTCAAATGAACAACATCTCAACGGTTGTACTCTCGCAAAAAATATTCAAATTCTTAGTTTAATTACATTAAAAGTGCTAATAACTTCATAGCTTTGAAGTTAAGTGTTTATTTGTGGCTGTGTATAGTGTACCTGGTGATATAATTAGTGGAAATTACTTCAAATTCTAACAATAAGAGTTCAGTTCATAAACGATCATTCAAATTTAAATTACGTTCAAGGTGTTGACAAAAACGCGTAAGCGCCGCTAATTGCACGGCGCGAACGACCTTTTTGTCACAACATCCTACCTTAGATGCGGCCTGTGAGAGGGCTTGACTAACGGCTTGCAACAAAATAATATTGCATACTGGAGCTTAACTTCTCTGCTTTTGGGTGACTTTTGCTTGGCTTGTCTTGCATACAGTTTAAATAAAATGCCTCAAAAAGCAAAATACTGTGCGGGCTGTTCGAAAAAAATCACAAACCGCGAATTTTTGTCGTGCTGCTTATGCAATGATACCTATGATATTGAATGCGTAAATTACTCGTACAAGTTATTTTGTCTTATGGATAAGGAAAAGTAAGACAATTGGAAATGCCCAACATGCAAAAGTAAACAAATGAAGTTCGACAATACTAACACTCCTGTACAAGGCTGTCGTATGGATTCGCTTTCATATGCATCTGATCAGATGACCGAAGACTCTGAAGAATGTAATTTAACTCAACGCAAACCGCTAATCCCAGAGAAACAACCATTATCTCCTGGTTCTTCTTCTATCATGGACGATAAAGTTTTAGTCAATATTGTACGTCGAGAAATACAGCAGTCTGTGACGGAGGCTGTTGAATCAGCCGTCAAGATGTATTTTTGGATTACCGATGTTACCAAATCGGTAAACAAATTAACCCCTAACAATTCTTGCTGTAATTTAGGATTTCAGTTTATTGACTTCTTGTCTTTAAACAATTTATCACAATTTAATGCCGTGAAAAACGCTAATAACAGAACCCTTCACCTTGTTTTAAGTAATCTTAAGAATATAAATGTTGCCGAATGTCCATGTCCAATAAGTAAAACTGAATGTCATCAACCTGCTTTAGAGATAAATGTAAATATGTCAGTACCGCATTTGTTGAATAATAAATCTTTTGCTACTCACAATTTTAAAAAGGCTGATTATACTAAAGTAAATTCTAGGTTAAGTAAAATTGATTGGGGTTTTGAATTTAGTGATTGTCAGGAGGTCGATGTCATGGTATCATGGTATCTCTTACAAAATACTTTATTCCATTGTTGATGAAACTGTGCCCAAAACGAAGCCGTAATTTAAAGTTTGCTATTTGGTTTACGCCGAACTTAATTAAACTGATAAAAGAAAAAGAAAAGATCCGATTAAGGCACAACATTTACAAAAATCCAAGAGATACATTAGAACTCAAGCTCTTAAATTACCGGGTTAAGTCATTGGCCTCTAAGAATTATTTAGATTATATACGGGAAACCGAAAAATCCATTCAGTCTAATCCTAAAAAGTTTTGGTCGTTCGTCCGTCATCGTAAATCCTGCGATTATGCTTTTCCAGAAGAAATGTGCCTAGACAATCTCTCGGCTAATAGTGGTGAGGGGATATGTAATTTTTTGCTCAACATTTTTCATCTGTGTTCTCCCAACCCAAGTGCACTGCAGCACTGAATTGTTCGATGTGTATCCACAAAGTTATTTGCATTATATGGAAATAACAGAACGTAAAATCCTGAGTATACTCAAGTCGCTAGATTGACTAGAAGTCGCGAGACAAAGGAGTGGGTCCTGACGGCATTCCTCCTCTTTTTATAAAGATGACATCAAAATATCTAACTCTTCCTCTAAAACTAATTTTTAGTAAATCGTTATTAACCAGGTCTTTTCCAACTGACTGGAAACGTTCCAATGTTATACTTATTTACAAGAAAGGAGATAAAAATAACGTTAAAAATTATAGACCAGTTTCAATTATAAGCTTATTTATTTCTAAAGATATTTGAATGCTTAGTTTATCCAAGTTTAACAAATCATCTAAAAAATATTTTCGTAGAGGCACAACACGGGTTTTCAAAAGATAAATCTACTGTTAGCAATTTGACGGATTACGTCATGAAAGTTGCAAGTGCAATGGATGGTCAAATCCAGTTGGATTCCATATACACAGATTTTTCTAGTGCATTTGATGTCGTAGACCATCAATTACTTATATCTAAATTAAATTCATACGGCGTGCATGGGAATTTACTTCGTTGGCTAAGTTCTTATCTCAAAAATAGATTACAAAATGTCGTATTGCATGGATATAAGTCTAATGATTATGTGGCTCTATCAGGCGTACCACAAGGTTCACATATTGGTCCTATTCTTTTTCAATTTCAAATTCAATTTCAAATTTTCTCCGTTAAGCAGATGTATGCGAACTTACAACAGCTTAAACAATCATGACATCGACATCTTTTGCGACCCCGAACGTGAATTTAATAGAAAATGTAAAGATTTACTGTTACCTGCCTTGCCAGACTAAAAACTCAAAATTATTATTTATTGTAATTATTACTGGATGTGGTGCTTTTACATTGATTGATTAGTTTAATTCCTTTTTGTTTTAGAGTTTATATGTTGTTTAGGTTTTTTTTCTTTCTTATATTGATGTATACGCCTGTAGTAAAGACATATCCTATATCTAAAAATCTAGTATTTTGATTGTTACAATGTTTACTGATATTGTCGATGGTGTATCTATTTAAATAAATAATTCGGCAGTAGATTGAATATCATCAGCTTTCACAATCACCTTTAATTATACCAAAGTTTTCGGACGATATATAACAGGTGGTGCGTTTGTTTATAGCATTCGCTCCGTAAACGTCCTTGATGTTGTGTGCCGCTTGTACCGCGTTGCAACCACAACGGTACTCTTGTTCTATAATTACTTGAATTTTAACGTATCCATGATGATGATGATGATGAGAGATTCAAATGCGATGAAATCAAAACGCTAATTAAAAAACAAATGACTATCAATAAATATGAAAAATAACTATTAAAACGCTAATCAATATGTCGAAAAGTACAACACGATAAGCCAATTATGTGGAAAATAACAGGATAGCGTTAATTATTAAAAATGGTGAAAGTGTGAGAACTGATGTTCAACTTGCTCTCTTGCTTGCGCAATTTGTCATTATTAATAATAGCACAGCGTTACGCTGTGCTATACATTCAGCATAGAGTAATTACAGTTTGACCATACCGCAGTATATACCAGTATCATCATATATCAGTGCGATGTGAAGAACACAACTACATGATAACACCAAATTATGCAAACCAACAGCAACCTTACCCATCTCAACGTAATACAGCACAGCCTCTCAGCAACACCATCCTCCTTGTCTGCACCGGAATAATCACCACAATGGACAGAACAATGACTATCTTAGCACGCGTAGAATGGGTGCGTTTGGCAGAAAAAAGCACTAGCAAGCGCTTGTAAGCAAAATGGCGATCGTAAGCGGTAAGCGCTGTCAAATCGTAAGTAGCTATTTTCTTCCAGGACACGATGTTAGTTTTAACCGGGGAACCTAACCTAATTTAAATATATGTTTGTAAAGTATTCATATTAAAAACTTACCAATCATGAATTTTTAATAACATGTATATGTTTATTCATGTCATTATATTACTTAAAACTAATATTGCGCAAAACAACTTATAAACTCTACTTCAAAACAAACAAATTAAATAAGCAAAATGGCGCATTTTGTCAGCGCTACTGAAGTAGCAATCGTGTCCTTGCCGAAAACTATTTCAGCGCTTGCTAGGCGCTTTTTTCTGCCAAACGCACCCAATGACTTCACTCGTGAAACGACTCAAGCGGAATCTGTCGCGCTCTATTTTTTTTGCGCCCGAAGCAAATATGGGCAACCCTCCGGAAAGCGGGGGAGGGAGGTTGGGAATGCTCATAGCATACCACGCAGCCGGCTGCGTGGTTATTGTGACTTTTACCCACTAAACCCAACCTTTTAGGAATTGGCTTAACATCTACAAATCTCTAAGCCGAAGAACGCGACCTCCTTGGCAGAAAGGAGGGTGCAGGCCGCGCTCTACCCCTACACTGAACTTTATACTGCACAAACGAGTGGGAGGGTTTCTCGATATACCCTCAATTTCAACTAGTCACTAGATTCAACCGGCATTTTATAGTTGCGCCTACAAATAAAATAATTTTGAAGACAAAGTTCCATGTTTTTAAAATAAAATAAATTTGAAATTAAAAAAAAAATTTAAGTACGAAATGACTTATTTCGTGAAACGGACTGTAAGTTAACATGCGTCTATGGCTAAAAGTCAGATTTTGACAGTGAATCGTCAAACGTCAATGTGACAGTGACATTAATTTTAAATGGGCATGGTCGGGGCATGGTCCTGTTTTCTGCTTCTGCGCGGCAGGTGATGCCTTTAAAACTTAATTTTTTTTTAATGAAAATATACACTGCAGGTGAAATGCCGCATTGCGAAGCTCGTTAAATTTGTCCTCGACTGCTTAGACTTAAAATTCCGTACAAGTTAATTCAATTATAATTCATATAATCTACAACTATCTAGTAGAAATATACGTAAAAACAATGTTTTAGATATTCAATGTTTTAAAAATAAGTCTTGAAGATCGAAAATTACATGTGATTAAAAAATAGAAGGTTATGGCGGTTCAAAATAAAATTCTGTATGCATTTCGCGGGTGGATAGCCTTCGTGGCGTTTGTGGATTTGGGAACCGCTGGCCGGTCCTATATTGAAAGAAGATCATTTTTAAGTAATAATGGGGACAGTGATCACTTAGACGGTAAGCTTCATGAGCATATAAACTAAAGAGTACAATATTCAATAATCAAAGATAATGATGCGGCCATATTGATTGCATGTTAGCAAATATCTTGATAATACGATTTTTTTTTGTGTATTACCCTCTGTAAAACTATCTTCAAAAAAGAAAAACGTACAAAATAAAATTCACTTGTCACAATGAAAGCATAAAAATTATACTGTTTGTTGGCAGCTTTTTGAAGTCCACTCCTAAGCTCCCAAACATAAAACAATTTAAATTTAGTTTCTTTTGTTTGAAAGGTGTCTTGATCGGCAGTGTTCTTAGCTATGATTCAAGAAAATCTTTTCAGCCGTTTGAAGATAATCAGTTATATTTCAAGAGTAATTAAAATTTTATAATTAATTTATCAAAAATGTGCTATTTTATAAGCATGTCATGATACACTGTTTCTATAACTACCAATACGGCAGTGAATATATGTATAGTTGTGAACAAAATGCAATATTAAAATGTTGACTACATTTTAATATGGATATTTTAATAGACAGATAGTGTGAAAAACGAGCACTACTTATATTTTTTTTATAGAATTATGGTGACAAACGAGCACAGTCCACCTAATGGTAAGTGGATACTGTGGCCCATAAACATCTACATTTATCCTTGATGAAGAATCAAAATGCAGATGCATTGTCACCCGTGAGGACTAAGATGGAATGCCTCATTTCCAGTAAAAAGGGTCTCTGGTTCTCTACGCTCACCATACGAAACATAGCAGCATTAAGCAGTTATTTTATGCTGGTATTCTGTGAGAGTGTGGTCCTTCCCCGGTCAAGTCTACCCATTCGTGCTACAACTATACTATTAATATAACTGCAGCATGGCTCTAACATGTATAAAAGATGTAAGACAGAAGGCACAAGAGAAATATAACAGGAGATGGGCTCTTCCTGATAAAACAAGGAAAAATAAAAAACTGTAGGTTGTCAAGCTTGCCAATTCGTGCTACAACTATACTACGAATACACCTGCAGCATGGTTCTACTGTATGTGTTAATTTCCTTCTGAAGAAAAAAATGATTTCCTGCTTAGGAGGATCTCCTGTCTATTTGGGCATGTAGCAGTGCTACTCAGTCTGTAGGGTATAGAGTACCAGTATATTTACAGGCTTTGAAGTTTTGCTGGGCTGCAGTAACTACTTATCATCAGTGGACTGTCAGTTCATTTGATACTTCAACTTTATGAATAAAAAATTAACTTAGTATGATGGTTTTTTCTGTTCTCTGATCCTTTCAGAAGTAAGATTGTGGATCACTAGGGCCTAGCAGATAGAAAGGCATAACCTTTTGCTGGCATCGTAAACAGAGTGGAGTAAAAGTCTAAAGTCATAACTATCTTTATTTCAACAAAAGATTCAATCAAATTGTGTGACATTGCGCAGATTTGAATTAGCGAATTGAGGTGACAGTAAAAGAAAAAAAAATCTCCAAATTCAGATTTTTATTGTTTACAAATGTTGTCTGCGTTGAGCTACAAATAATACCGAAAAAATTATGTAAATTGGCCTACCGGGTACGGAGGGGATAGATTTCAAAGAATCGTTTTCTTGCACCATGGGAGCTCCCCTTTAAAATTTTAAAAGAAGCAATGAGTGAGTTCAAAAAGTTTGAATACTTTTTGAATCCTTACACTTTTTATTTGTTTATTTGTAGCTATACCAACAGCATAAATATTTACTAATAAAGCACTAGCTGATACCCGGGACTTCCTCGGCATTCTTAAAACCTTAATTACTTTATATTAAATGAAGATATCGCACATTCTAAGAAATAAAACTTAGAAAACCTAATTGAAATCTATCTAGTAGTTTACCCAGGCAGAACACCTTGCCTGGCGGGAGATCTCCCCTTTTCCTTCTATGGCCACAGTGGTGACCACCCGACGTGATCAGAACATGCAATTCATTGTCAAAATTCTATATATTATAATTATATAGATTTGAAATTACAAAGCAAGAGAAACATCAATACTTAATATAATTTATGAAAAAATTTAATGAATAAGAGACAAACGAGCACACGGTCCACTTAATGGCAGGAGGATGCTGTGGTCCATAGATATCTACATCTATTCTCTAACTACGACTAAGGTAAGGAAGGTAGGAAGGTAAGGAATGCTTCGTCTCCAGTAAAAGCTAGCTCGCGTTAAAATAGTTCGAGAGCTATTTTACGCAACTCCTTATCTAAGCGCGTATTTTGCGTGAATAAAAATATTAAATGTGATAAAATCCATAAAATTAGTTTGATTGACTAACAAAAACTTAAATTTATTCCAGGTGACTTCACAATATCTCGTATGCTTGGCATGTACTCTGTGCTAAAAGCTCTGGCACTTATTCACTGCACACTCTATATTCATTACAAACCGTAAGTATTGACTTGTTCTTTTATTTAAAATATACTATTATTAGGCAACTATCTAAGGCTTCATCATTTTTTTTAACTAATTATAACACAGCACAGGCTTATAACAAGTGAAAAAAAAACAAGCAAGGGTTCTTGTGTTTAATTTAAGTTCGATTCTTGCTGGCACCATTGAGATTGTCAATAACTATTTTAACTTTTAGTCAATTCACATACAACTATAGACTTCCATTTGAATCAATCATAATACACCTTTTATTTTTTATCTTCCACATATTTATGCAAACATGCTTAGCTCAGTTAAATGTATTCTTGATTTAGCTAATACATACATAAACATAAACACTCACGCCTGTCACCCAGAGGGGTAGGCAGAGACTACAGACTTCCATTTGGCACGATCCTGACACACCTCTCTTGCCTCCTTCACATCCATACACCTACGCATACATGCTCGTCGGTTAAGGGTACTCCTAATTTGGCCCGTTTTCAATAAATCGCCAATTTCGTCGATAAATTTTCGCCTAGGACGTCCCTTTCCGACTCTGCCATTCACTTCTGCACCATAAATTTTCTTTGTCACTCTTTCCTCATTCATTCTTTCCACATGACCAAACCACTGAAGCATTCCTTTCTTAATCCTGGTCACAACATCATCTTGCAAACCACACTCTTCTCTTATTACACAATTTTTTACCCTGTCACTCAGATTCAGCCCTAACCTACTTCTTAACGACCGCATTTCTATTGCGTTTATTCTACTCTCGTGCTTCTTTTACCACACCCAATTTTCACTACCATACATTAAAGTAGGGACCAACACAGCATTGTGAATTGCCATACGTGCCTTTTTCGACACATTTTGACTCTTCACAATAGAGTGCAAGGCCCCATTTACTCTATTTCCCGCATTCACTCGTCGTTCTATATCCTTATCATATCTCCCATCCCTGCTAAATACGCAGCCCAAATATACAAACCTCATCAGCTTGCTCGATCAACTACCCTTCTATTCTTATTTCACAAGTCGTTTTACTTTCTGATCTTTCAAAAACCATAACCTTCGTCTTACTTGCGTGCACTTTCATACCCCTTTCTTTTAATGATCCGTTCATTAATGTAACCATCATTTGCAACTCGGCCGCCGATGATCAAGTTATTCTTGCATCATTATAGAGCTAATTTTTCAATGGTTAGGGCACATAGAAAGAATGAATGAGAAGTGACAAAGCAAATTTATGCTACAGTTGTAAAGTCGGCAAGGGACTTCCTAGACAGAAGATTATCAACCAAATTGGGTTTATTGCATGATAAATTGAAAGTGAGCTAAATCTCGAAACTTATTTGGGTTGAGCGCTGGCTTGATACAGGCATTGGAGTCTCTTTATAGGGACTCTAGTGCTTGTGTTAGGATCAAAGGGGTCTACTCGGACTGGTTTGGCATCCATAAAGGTGTCAGACACGGCTGTGTGGCTTCCCCGTGGCTGCTCAACCTATTTATGGACAGTTGTTTGTAAAATTTGAAAGTTGAAGAATGCAGATTAAGAATGGGTGAGTTAACAGTCAAATGCCTTTTGTACGCCGATGATCATGTTATTCTTGCGTCGTCGGCAGCCGAGTTGCAGATGATATTTACATTAATGAAGAGATCATTAAAAGAAAGGGGTATGAAAGTGAATGCAAGTAAGACGAAAGTTATGGTTTTTGAAAGAGAAGAAAGTAAAACGATATGTGAAATAAGAATAGAAGGGGAGTTGATCGAGCAAGTAGATGAGTTTGTATATTTGGGTTGCATATTTAGCAGGGATGGGAGATGTGATAAGGATATAGAACGACGAGTGAACGCAGGAAATAGAGTAAATGGGGCCCTACACTCTATTGATTCAAAATGTGTCAAAAAAGGCACGTATGGCAATTCACAATGCTGTGTTGGTCCCTACTCTAACGTATGGTAGTGAAAGTTGGGTGTGGCAGAAGAAGCACGAGAGTAGAATAAACGCAGTAGAAAAGCGGTCGTTAAGGAGTATGTGAGCTGAATCTGAATGACAGGGTGAGAAATTGTGTGATAAGAGAAGAGTGTGGTTTGCAAGATGATGTTGTGACCAGGATTAAGAAAGGAATGCGTCGGTGGTTTGGTCATGTGGAAAGAATGAATGAAGAAAGAGTGACATAGAAAATGTATGTTGCAGAAGTGAATGACAGAGTCGGAAAGGGACGTTCTAGGCGAAAATGTAACGACCAAATTGGCGATTTATTGAAAACGGGCTAAATTAGGAGTACCCTTAACCGACGAGCATGTATGCGTAGGTATATGGATGTGAAGGAGGCGAGAGAGGTGTGTCAGGATCGTGCCAAATGGAAGTCTGTAGTCTCTGCGTACCCCTCTAGGTGACAGGCTTGAGTGTTTATGTTATATGTTATGTTATTATCATAACTCTTTCTAGTAGGGGGTCGCCCTACACTTGGCTTATCAGTACAAGGCCTCTACAATGTTTCTTCATCGGTTGCCAGTTCTTCATACCAAAGACTGGCATGGCTACTTCAGTTAGTAAGCTGATCAGTAGATAGCGAATAGACCTGCCGATCTACTGATCGCCGCAATGTACTACAAAGTGAATATAATATTGATGTCAACAAAGTTAGCGATTAGGCCTGCTGTTGAGCTATTTCGATTACTCTGGTTGCTTATTTTTTTAGAATAAATGTTACAAACTAGCATGCAGCCCATTTGATGGTAAGTGGATGCTGTTGCCCATAGACATCTACATCTATACTCGATTAAGAATCAGAATGCAAATGCAATGTGTCCTTTCCAGTAAAAAGTGTCTGGTTCTCTACACTTATCATACGAAACAGCAGCATTTAGCTGCCAATTTACGCTGGTATTCTGAGAGTGTGGTCCCACCCCGTTCCAGCTGATCCATTCGTGCTACAACTATATAGCTGCAGTAAGGCTCTACCACATATAAAAGGTTGTAATAGATTTCTTTTTTTTTTTCACTCTATCAGAAGATAATAAGTCTGTTTCTTTTTTCAGAGTAGTGTCAATGGGGTATTGGTCACTAACATTGACCATTATTTTGTACTTCACGGAGGCTTTCTATTTTCATTCCACTAATCTAAATTTCTACATCGTATTCCCCTGTATATTAAATAGTAAGTATTATTTTGATGTTAATATTTTTTTAATGATGGCTCTAGTTCTTTGTGACTTATATAAAAAAGGTTGTGTATTTTTTTTAATAGGATAGGGTGACAAACAAGCACACAGTCGCCCTGATGGTAAGTAGTTACTGTGGCCCATAGACATCTACATCAATCCTCGATTACGAATCAAAATGCAGATGCGTTGTCACCCGTGAGGACTAAGATGGAATGCCTCATTTCCAGTAAAAAGGGTCTCCGGTCTCTACACTCACCATACGAAACACAGCAGCATTAAGCTACTATTTGACACTGGTATTTTGCGAGAATGCGCGTCCTTCCCCAGTCGAGCCGACACATTCGTGCTACAACTATACTACTAATATAACTGCAGCATGACTCTACCACGTAAAAAAAGATGAAAGAGGACACAAGAAAATAAACAGCAAAAAAAAAAAGCTTGCCAATTATGGCAAATATACACACAGATAATTTGTATGTTCAGTAGTTGATTTTTGACAGAGCTCTCAAATCACTCAATAATAGCATTGTTATGAAGATAGTGGCTATATTTTCAACATTATTTAATATAAGATATAATTCCCAATAAGCTACAGCCTCGAGGTAATGTGTTAGGCTAAATCCGACAACAGTGCCGTGCGCAGCGATTCCCCCACACTCGAGCCCACCCGTCCGCGATTCGCTACGGCTGACGGCTTACTACGGCTGACAAACGAACAACGACGGTTCGTTTGTCAGCCGTCAGAGATGGAAGTGTTGATCGCCGCTCTCGCCAAGTGCGAAGATCGAGCAGTAGTTCGGTTTCTCCACGCAAGGAAGTTACCGCCCGTGGAGATTCAATGGCAACTGACTGAGGATTATGGTGAAAAGTTCCTTCAACACATCCGCAAATGGTGCAGGGTTTTTGCTGTGGGTCGCAAATATATATCATTTCATTTTAAACTGCCAGAAGAGAATCGATGAAGATTATAAATAATATATCTTGTTTCAGTAATCACCCTCCTAGGACTTATTTACCTGCCAGGTAAGCTAAAACTTTGGGGAACGGTGCCTGGAACCTCGGGCATGGACAGGGAGGATGACGACGAAAATCTACAAATCTTACGACAAATGGGCAACTTTAGGCGGAGAAAGGCTGGCCACCCCATCAAAAACAAGCACGTCTGAGTGGTTATGTGAAAACCATCCTCGACTATTTCGGTTAAGTGGGATGTCATAGTTGAAATTAGAGGGAACCTATTGGGTTAATATTGAGGATATAGGGGCATTGCACGACTCCTTAAAAATTGTGATAAATCCATTATAAAGTCAGTTCTAGCAATAGTGTTAAGTCTAGATATTTTTAAAGATTCCTAAAAGAAGTTATGTCACCTTCAAAAATTGTTAAAGCGCAATCTATAAGACTTCTGTTTAGAAATAGTTTTAATCTTTCGGGCCAAGATTCCTGACCACAATGAAGAAATAAAAACATTTATTTCGTCACTACAGAATTCAATTTAAATCAGGAGAGTAAAATTGAACATTTAATTTTAATGTCCTATTACATCCCAAATTAGAAAAATGTAATAACACTTATTTACCTCCTATTTAGTATAGATTCCCTAAAATCTAGATCTGAATGATATGTGTATATTTTTAAGGCTATGTGTGTGTGCAAATGAGTGTTACTAGTCATTAATAATTTTAAAACTGACCAGTTTTTAATTCTTAACTTTTTATCTTTTAAAAATACTTTGCTTTATAGTCTGTGACATACAAATAATGAAACATACTGTGTATTTTAGTGCCTGCTAGCTTTTTAGACCTCATTATACAATAAGGATATTATATAAGATTATATAAACTATCGACCAATATTTGTACCGAAATACTTTTTGTTTAGTGTTGTGTGTGATTATGTTACATAGTTTAAACTTACTACTCGTTCAAATGGTGGTTAGTCAAGACGTAAACGACTTCGGAAATTAAGCACTTCGTAATTTAACCGCAGGATATTAGTACATGAAAAACAAACATAAAGAATGTGGTTAGTTAAGACGTAATCGACTTTGGAAATTAAAGCACTTCGTGATTTAACCGTAGGATATTAGTACATGTAAAACAAACATACAAAATAGTGGTTAGTCAAGACGTAATCGACTTCGGAAATTAAAGCACTTCGTGATTTAACCGCAGGATATTAACATAAAAAATAAACATACAAAATAGTGGTTAGTCAAGACGTAATCGACTTCGGAAATTAAAGCACTTCGTGATTTAACCGCAGGATATTAACATAAAAAATAAACAAACAAAATAGTGGTTAGTCAAGACGTAATCGACTTCGGAAATTAAAGCACGTCTTGATTTAACCGCAGGATTTTAGTACATAAAACAAACATACAGAATAGTTGTTAGTCAAGACGTAATCGACTTCGGAAATTAAAATAATTTGTGATTTAATCGCAGAATATTAGTATATGAAAAACAATCATACAGAATATAGACTTGCTTGCGACATTATGTACTCTGGTATAATATACATGAATTTCATATATCTTATTACTATATTCTTATATAGATTGTTAAATCTATATGTGTTTGTGTCTTTTGTAAATAGCTTGAATTAACAGTTTTCAACTCCAGGTATGCTTGCATTGTGCCTATACCTATATCTTTCGTCATTTTCTTACAAGTAGTATTTATTGAATGAAGGTGGGAAGTATTTGTTAGGTTGTCATTATTTAAAAAAAAAAAAATAACTGCAGTAGGACTGCATTTAATATTTCTGAAGGCTTTGTCAGACAGGACGCGTATTTTAGCGCTGCGTGTAGCGTTATAGCGTCCCGTTTTAACATCGCGCGAGGCTTCGTCAAACAGAACGCTTTAGCGCGCGTTAGGGCGCTGACTCGATGACACGGCGCCGCCATTTCGCCATTCGCCAAAGCGTAGTGCAGATCGTTAGCAGTGTGAAGAGTTTGTTCGTTATGGAGGTGTCAAGTGATTCAGATGTGGAAGAATTATTACTTTTATATGCTTTATCACGGTCACAGAGAAAAAGAGTGTGGGTGCACGACATCAATCAAAAGAGAAAGGATTTAGGAGAATATCATCATTTGTGTCGTGAGCTTGCATCACATGAAGATCGTTTTTTTACATACTTTCGTATGTCTCAAGATTTATTCGAAGATACTACATGAACTGCTCATCCCAAAAATAAGCAAATGTACCACAAACTGTAGGAGGACGCCTATTTCTACAAGAGAAAGACTTGTAATCTGTCTAAGGTAAGAAATATTTATTTTTTTATATACATGTTCATTGCGTTATTATTATGAAAATCAGTCAAAATCAGCTGAGTTGTAATCAGATGTCGGTGTTCCAAAATTAGTTACATGTAGAATATCGATTTCGCGTAGTGGTTGACGTAGCTGCTCAGGCTGTTGCAGGTATGATGAAGTACTGTTAGATAGATCTATAACAGCTACTGGGGATGAATCTTCGGGCACAGAATTGGGTACTGCATAGCAGACGGAGTCTTCGGTACTAATAATGGAATAATGTGGTGAATTCAATATCTGGACGTTTTCTTGCAGTTCCTCTGTTTCTATGCTTGCAAATAACTTGGCTAGTTCTACTTTGGCTTTTATCTGGTTGTCTTTGGAAAAACTTTTAAATGTTTGGGCATAACTTTGGAATAGGTGATCTATGGCATCATACTCTTGTTTTTTTTTTATTTTGAAGATAATTTATAACTTTATCCATTTCGCTGTCAGTTTTTTTTATTTTCTTAGCTCGTGAACTATTTGTGTCATTTGTTTGGGGCGTCTCTAGCGGAGGTGTTTCTGGCGGGGGTGCGCTTTGTGTTCTTGGTGGAGGTGTCTGTGGTGGAGGCGTCTCTGGAGATTGAGTTTCTATAGCTGACGATGTTTCTGGTGTAGGTTCTCGAATATTTGAAGTTGTTTCTCGATCTGTCAGAGTTGAGTCAAGGAACTATAAGTGGGAAGCCCAAGGCCATTTTGTAAATTTTTTTGCAGCTTGTCCTGTAGTATCTGCAACCTCTTTTTTGTATCTCATATAATTGTCTCTCAAGCTCTTCCATTTTTTTTTAGCTACTTCACCTGTAAAATAAACATAAATTGTATTATTTTCTTTCAGGTACTTAGCTACGGGTGATTCACATCAGACCATAGCCTTTTTAAGGGTGGTATTGTAAAAGAAGTCTACAGAAATCTGGAATACATTGCAACCAGAATATATGCCATCGCCTACTGAAGAGACATGGAAACAATCAAAGAAGGGTTATAGGGAAACCTGGAACTTCCCGAATTGTGTCGGTAGTATTGACGGGAAACATGTCTCTATAAAGTGTCCCAAAAATAGTGGATCAGAATATTTTTGCTACAAGAAGTTTTTTTCCGTAGTTCTTCTTGCTATAGTCGATCCATGTTACAAATTCACCGTCATAGATGTCGGTAGTTACGGGCGGCATAGTGATAGTGGTATATTCGAGAACTCAATATTTTATCGACAATATATCCACGGAAAATCTCTGCTGCCAGATAAACCTCTTCCAGGCACCAAGGAGCCCGTACCTCATGTACTTATCGGCGACGAAGGTTTTGCTTTAAAAACATATTTGATGCGTCCATTCCCAAGAGCATTAGCTACACAAGACGAAAGAAAAACAAATTTTAATAAAAGACTTTGCAGGGCACGTCGGGTGGTTGAAAATACGTTCGGAATATTAGCACAAAAATGGCGCATTTTTTTACGACCTATTGACTGTGATGTGGACACAGCAATTGATATTATTAAAGCTGCATGTTGTTTACATAATTACTTACGAACAAAACAAGGTACAGCGATATTAACTCCGGAGTCGGGAGACGAAGTATGCGTGCTCTAATAACTCATCGTCCAACAAATAGAAGATCAACGACTGAAGCATTCGAAACTCGTGAACAATTCGTGTCTTATTTTAATCAATAAACGATTTTTTTTACTTACCAGTTTCATTAATTTCTTCTCCGATTTGTGCCCACAATTTTGCCTTCATTGATATATCTTTATACGAACTATCCTTCGTATTATATAAGCATGTATATTTTCTAACCAATTCTATCAAATTTTCGGTCATTATGCAGTATTTTATTATTATTTTACACCTATTCACTCCGACGCTAAAATAAAATTTGTAAAAAAATACAACACCCGACGTTAAAGCTACGCACAGAGTACCGACGGTTCTACGATGGTAGTACAACACATCTTAGCGTCATAGCGCGGCGTCAAGTTAACGCTCTGACGCGCGCTAAGTACGCGTCCTGTCTGACAAAGCCTTGAAAACTCCGGTTTATTGACAAAAAGAGAATTCAATTTATTAAAGCTATAGAAAATAGGAATGGTCTTTAGTGAAGTTTGTAGAATTTGTTTAAGTATTTTTTTTTTACTTTTTTAACACTTTTGTAATTTTGTTACATTTCCTATAATAATTATAAATTTCTACGTCACTTGCCTCTTTGGACTACTATTTGTAAACGTGACTAATTTTTGGTCGGGCCAAAAATCAGTTTTAGGTTTTTTTTTGTGAAGAAGTTCTCAGCAACCAGGTAACTCCAGCCACATTTAAAGCCGATGATCTTGTGCTTGTTCATGAGAGTGAGGTATACACACTAGTGCACTGGTCTGGTGGTTGTGGTGCGACTGCTGATCATGAGGTCTCGGGTTCGAATCCCGGGTCAGGCCAAAATCAGTTATTGAGGTTTTCTGTCAAGAATATCTCAGTAGTTCCCCGCAGTCAGGAAGTTGGCGGTGTTTCAATCCCGTGCCTCGGAAAGTACGTAAAGCCGTTGATCCTGCTTCTGATCTCTCTCTGGTCGTATCGGCTTGTCATCTCATTGGACTATCAGGGTATAGTGTGTTTTTGTGCTTGCGCACACACTAGTCCATCAAAATCCTATCCTGTTCATATAGAGAACATTGTTATTGAATTCCTACGTTGCTATTTTACGCTGGTATTCTGTGAGAGCGTGGTCCTACCCCGGTCGAGCCGACATAGCTGGTGGCTCTACCACTGCCGAAAAGATGTGATGGTAGTTTTAGTGTTTGATACAATTATTCCCAGTGCAAATATTAATATTAATCTGTTTTAAAAAGAGAAATAGTCAATTATTGAAATCTCATATCATAACATTATTACATTTTATATTCAAATTATTACTGATTCAAAGCGAAGAAATTTAATGATGCACCAGGTGTTTGTAAGCTACATTATAAATTATTTAAATTATTATTACTGCTATAGATTATCTAGTTGTCTTATTTTCTAATTAAAATTACTTGGAAAAGTGCATAATTGTAAATAAATTCATTATACTGCTCAATAGAAGCAGATGTCTGGGTAGCTAATTCTTTCGCTAAGTTAATATATAAATAATAAGATAGCACGTACGCTGTTAATGAGTATTAATTAATTGTATTGGTGAAGACAAATTTAGTAATATTAAATTTTATTTATTGGGTTTTAAGTAGTCTGTACGGCCATAGTTAGTGCAACGTGCATAACTAAATAACTGACAACCGTTTCCGACTGACGAAACCGATACTGAAGAGGAAGACATATGCTATAATATGTAATAATAAACTGACAGCAGCGCGAATTGATTCGTCATCATCTGATTCATCAGTGTCTGATACAAATGGTTCTTCATGAACAAATCTACATTCAGGTTGCGGTTCACGTTATGGTCAGAATATAATTCTTCATCTGAGGAATTATGCAAATTCAGTTGCGTTGCGATTACGCATAAAAAGAAGTGATTATATTTCTATTTCTTCTTGAACATATATTTTCTGTTAACCCCCTTTTGTACCTTTTCTATGTCAGGTAAACTATCCAAACTTAAATCGCCTAAAATATACAAACGTCTAAGCCTTTTGGCTCTAAATCTGGTTCAAGATGACTTTTCGCAACTTCAAGGTCATCAGAAAAGTCAAACAAATATTGTAACTCCTCGATCTCTTTATCTTTCAGTATTCTTAGCATTTTGCAAAGTATAGTAAAAGTTAGTAAGTGAGAAGGCTGTGGCCAAATTATTTTACCAAAATAATAGAACATAATTATTTATTTTATTTACTAATACTAAATACAAAATTGATGACATAATCTACACAACATATTATTATGTTAATAAATTACTTATAATCTTCACAGTACACAATTAATATGTACCGAGAGGAGAGTGCTGTTTCCTAACTAATTAAATGAAAAGTGTATATAAGTGTATACTACTAGCGCCACAGCGGACGCCCATATAAAACTATAATGAAAGTTCTCTGGAGCATCAAGTTTAAGTTAAAAAAAAAACTTGACAGAAAAAAAGCAATGTTGGCGATATGTAGGTACATTGCCATCGCCATAAAGTTATATGGGTATGCTTGCTGTAGTATAAAGTACTATTGTTTAATGGTTCTGACCATAGAATACTATAATTACATACATAATATAACGGGGGAGTGGGCGGAGCCCGTGTAACCACTAAAATGTCACTAACACGTCAATTCACACGTATAAATGTCAACACGAGATATATTTTGACTTTACAATCGTTTCCAAATTTCGCATGCAAATTATTTAGAAAATGCCAAATGCACGCTATTTACAAATAAATACGTATTAAAATCTGTCTGTCCACACAGCGAATCGAGTTGGTAGTAGTGATAATACTACGTAATTGCTTGTATGTGTGTTCCCGGCGACGCCTATCGTACAAAATAAGGTTGACAGCCATTCTATTGTGTGTATTGTAGTGTATTATAGTATGCTATGGTTCCGACCACGTCTCAAAAGAGGCTTGATAAGAGTTTATATTAGTTGCGGCACTAGTATGCAATGGGTTGACACATTGTTTTGTAATAAAAGTAATATTTTTAATATCACTGGAGATGAATAAGGTACGCGGCCGTAAAGTATGCACATCGAGATTAAGTAAGACTCGGTCACAAACTGCAAGCTTCGGCTTTGTAGCGCTTCGTCTCTGTCACTCTCGAGACGTCATTGTTTTTTTTTTTATAGAATTAGGTTGACAAACGCGCACACAATTCATCTGATTGTAATATAGATTCAGTGGCCCATAGACATTTTCAAGTGGTAGCGGGAGACTTGTGAAGAGTAAGGTAAGTCGGCACTGCGACTGCCGCCGGAGCAAGCATTAGCCTCTCTCGCGCAGCCGTCTTAAGCGACGAATACGTCACGTATTTGATATCAACCTACTATTCTCATGTAACAAGTTTAATACTTTATTCAATACTTGCGATCCTGTGGTCCAAGTGATTTCTGGATCTTACGGGCCTATTATACCTCAGCTCAAATTCGAATTTCGCCTCCACTTTTCCGCGCCACTCGTTCGCATACTGTACGAACTCGTTCGCACACTGCGTGGCTCGAGGTCACGCGGGAATACGAGGCCAAAGCGATTTTGTTATAGTGGCACTTCACATGGCTATTTGGTATTTGTGATAGCATGTTGCCGTATTTGGCAAAAAAATTGACGTAAGGGCAAATAAACGATATAACCGTCCACACATGGAGCCAAATACCAAAAAATGAAACATGTTTGCCAGCGTAAAGTAGTTGTACCTATAAAATGGACGTTGCACTTTCAGCTGGATTTTATTATTTGAACGCATGTTACTATTACATGTTATGCGTAAAAAAATACAAAGTGATAAAAAAAAGACCAAGAGCAAGGCGATGGTGGATGCTGACTGTGCATAAAAATCGAACCAAGTAAGTAATTTGTTTATTTCATTTGTAGAATGACTTTTGCATGACACGCAAATCATATTAACGAAAATTCCAATAAAATAAGAACCTAAATCTAATTAGTATATACAGAATAGAATAGAATAATTTTTTATTCAATATAGATCACATGTGTAATTCTTATTGAAAGTATTTTTTTACTTTACCACTGGTTGGAAAAAAAACCCTCTGTCCTGAGAAGAACTAGCAAGAAATCCAGCAGGATTTTTTTTAAAATAAATTTTACAATATAAATGGTTACAAACTATTTACAATTTATTTTAGAAACAGATTGCAAGCGACTACCTCGTTCCCAGGGTTTATTATCAACCATGTATTCATTTATATTAGCCCTTTTTATAGAGTTTTTCATTAATTAAATATTTAAACTTGGTAATAGCTATGGAGTGTAGAGTAGACACTCCATAGTAATAGCGTATACATTGCCCCAAGAACGGGTTACTGACTTTATGGACTCGAGATATAGGTCACTAGCTTGTGTTTGTTCCTAGTGTTTACAGAGTGTATATCACTTTTTACTAAAACTGTCTATGTTCTTGTGAACATACATAAAATTTTGGTAAATATACTGAGAGGCCAAAGTTAATATATTAATTTCTTTAAATTTATCTCTAAGAGACTCCTCGGTTTTAGGTTGTAAATACACAATAAAAGTTATTTATATTTCCAGGGAATCTATGGAGACAAGGTTTCAAGAAATGTTAGCAGAACCCTCTAACGAGTTTGATAATTTCTGCCGAATGTCTTATGCAGATTTTAATTTTTTTGTTACAAAAAGTCCATCCCATAATTTCTAAAAAGGATACAAAATGGAGAGAAGCTATACCTGCAAAAGTTAGATTAGCGATTACTTTACGATTCCTTGCATCAGGAGACAGTTATAGAAGCCTTCACTATACCTTCAAGATATCAAGTCAAATAATCTCAAGAATTATAATGGAAGTGTGTGCTGCTTTATATCAGGTTCTAAAGGATCAAATCAAGGTAAACAACATATATAATTTTCATTAACTTTTATTAATCGTAATCAAATTATTTTTAAGTAGGTATTAAATATGCTATTAATTATTTTTCCCTCGAGGTATTTGCGATGGTGATGGTGTATACGACACCATTCTAGAAGTAGGATTCGGTAGATTCAAAGGAGTATCATTAGAGTATTCTGAGTATTCAACATGATATGCAGGAGAAGGAGCATCCATTTGCGGTGAAGATGACGTATACAAAACCTTTGTAGAATTTGGATAACTGTTAACACAATTAAGATATTCCACTTCTGTCGGAAATGCAACCTGTGGAGGAGATGCGATATT